TAGATTTAAAAAATCTGTAATGACTCACTCTATCTTTCTGTTTGCCATACTTGAATATATTTTGTGCTTTATAGACTATAAAATATTACTCGGAGACTCCAATATTATGTTCTTTGTAGTATATTACAACTCCGTTACATATACGCGCCACACTCTCGTCTCCTTATATCCAAAGAATGCCGTCTGATTGATAATGGATAATCAAATGATGACCAAGTTGTCTATCCTTTGACCAGCCAGTGAAAGTATGAACTATTTTTATGAGCGTGACTATTCGCGATTATTAATGTCAAATATGAATACGCTTCACTGCCCACTGATCCTTACGAGATACATATATAGTAATGTGACAGTGTTCGACAGAAAAGTATTTTTCACCACACCTAATTTGCATGTTGTCAACTTGGCGCGCAATCCTTTGACGCATTTGTGGGCGGTCATAATAAAACAGTAGGAAATGGCAATGATTCAGATCACGTGTTAGACCTTTAGATAAATATACTAATCTCATTGTACAATACAATCCCATAAAGTACTTCAAGGAAATACATGTATATGAATGAAATTTAAGTGTGTGTGAACTGCGGATATGGGTATAATAAGTAGTACAGTATTTAAACATAACCCGCCCTTATTATTGTTGTTTATTAAAGTGCGACATAACTTCGATCTAATTAAAATTAGATATTCATTTTGTTCCAGGTTTTTATTATTGGACTCTACTCCCAGGACTGGTCTCTGTTGTTAACCCTCGTTAGCAATAAAGAACATACACACTGACTGACAGTGGTTATTCCCTAGACCTGCCTTACGGACTGGATGGCCGAATGGTCTAACGCGTGCGCTTCAGATCATGAAGTCTGACATTAGGCCAAGTGGTGTGGCTTAGATCCCACGCTTACGCCTGCCTAACTCGGGTCTTCCGGTTTCCTCCCACTAATAAAGACCCCTGTGCAACCTGATTATTAACATTAAATTGTGCCATGTTAGTCCCCAAATGATCTAGTAATGCCATTTTTTTTTCTCTCTCCAATCTGTTTGTCTGTTCTGACTTATTGGTGTTATAATTTAGTCACGGGGGCTGGTGGGGGGGGGGGGTAATTTAACAAAATATATTGATACGTTAGAAAAGAATGACTACCAAGACCCAAAGCTCTAAAGTTCATGACTTATCGATGAATTTGTCATCAAAGAATGTTTTGTTTTTTTTAATTTAAATTCTTCTGAGAAGTTCACTAGACTAACCGGTTTGCAGATACATTATGAAGGTTGTAACACCTTCAGCAGCGTTAATCTTTGTCCAGCTTAAAGGTTTAAATACCTAGAATAAGACGACGATCAACTGTCACCTTATAACAATTTGACTTTTTATATCTCAACCAGCCAAAAAGTTCTTAAATCTAAAGTTTTCTATACTATTTGAAGTTCGATTCAGAACGTTTTGAAAAGAATTAAATATTTTACTTTAAATGGCATTAGGTATCACTATCCCCAAGAAAATAAATGTAATTAATTATGAATAATATAATATACCTAAATATCAGAACTCCAATCTGTGACATATTAACAGAATGTTTTTCCTATCATGTATCATATACTAATTGTTTCCGTAAAACATTGGCGGTAGCCGGGCAACTTCCCGTGGCTTTCGGATAAGTATCTGTCTTCATATTATAATCTATATATTTATTGATTTAGTGCCCATTATCCCAATAAAACACCAGGAAATCTTATATATATTGTAATTTATAACTTCCAAACTTATCATACTATCTGCTTTAATGATGATTTTGACAGAAATATACATAGATAATAAATACTATTACTCTGCTGCAGGACATTTCATGGTGCGTACAAAGTAGTAGCTATATAATAATAAAATAAATATATTTTCAGTTAGTCGATATTTTAATCAATTACAGCTAATCCATATTTTTTGCTAACTTGGCAAATCAGATTATATGATATTTATTCTCGGTTTCGATCTCAGGACTAATTTTCGACGACGAGTCATTACACCCCATTTATGTTTTTCTCGGATCAAGCGAATCATCAATGATTCTAGTCACAGATTCTAGGAAGGAAGGAATATAGACAGGCGTTTTAACTTTTTAATGACAGGAAATATCAATCATTATAAAATACACTACAGTGAAAAACTTCATCTGCTTTATTTAGTTATATCATAATGATAGGGACAAATCAAGGTTGTAGTGATTTTCCTACATCGTTCAACGACTGTTGGACTGACATGGAAAGTGCAGTGACTATAGAGTCGTGTAAAGTTTGCACAGCTAACCATATAAAAAAATAACATAAGTAATAAGTAACCGAAGTGACGAGAGAGAGAGAGAGAGAGAGAGTGTGTGTGTGTGTGTGTGTGTGCATGGGGGGGTGGTGTCACGTGCACGCTCGACACAAACTAGGTCATTTTATTTCAATAATTGTTAGCGCGTTTGGATCTTAGCAGACCCTCGTTAGTCGTCGACCTTGTGTTTCTTCACATTTGGGCATATCAAACCGACACAAAAGTGCTCTAAATCAACCCCTGTTCCTCATAGAACTCAATCAAGACATTCACCCATTCAACACCTACACCAAGTGAAACATTCTTCCTGAAATAGAAGCCGAGTAGTGACCCAAAGTCTCGACCAATAAGATAACATGTCTATGGTCACACGGACAGACAAACTGAAATGAAATGAAATGGGGTTTAACGTCCTACTTTTCTGCTCCTAACCTGGGCTAATGAAGACGGGCATACGCCATACAGTGTGCTATGAGGGAAATTTTGCCCCGGCAGCGGCGCTAGGGCCTACTCTTATATCGAATTCCAACTGTCAAGGGATCTTTTACGTGCACGCCAATGTGTACACGGGACCTCGGTTTTTCGTACCATCCGAACGACTAGACAGCTGTCCTTGTCAGGCCCTCCATCCTGCATCACTGACAAGGGGAAACCAGGCCGGAAAATCTGGATGAACTTTCTCGGCCAATGCAGGGATCGAACACCCGACCTCCAGGCTAGCCCGACCTCCAGGCTAGCGAGCCAGCGTAATACCCACTTAGCCACGTGATCCCCGACAGACAAACTAAAATAAATGTAATCAAATACACGATCATTACAAAATGGATAAATGCATTCTTTTTTAAAAAAGACAAGTTTCATAAAATTCGGAGATCAAGGGTCATAAAATAAATATTCATCTAATTGGAGGCAGATCAGCATTAATTCCGCGACAACTGGCCCCCTCGTGCTGACAAGCATTGCAAGGAGTGTGGACACTTTTCTGGAAAATGAAGCATAAATCTAAAAATATTATTCCGATTTTGTGGGAAAAACAATAAGGATCCTTATAGTTATTACAATACTATTGTGCTGACAAGAAGTATGGACAGACCGACGGACGGAACGGGTGATAGCAATATACGAACATAATGTAAAACACAATTTAACATATTAAACACAATTTTTTTTTGGTAGTTTTATCTACTGTTAGCTTTCAAGCAGTAGATTTGATATCTTAAATGCGGGTATTTGTGGGAATAGCTCTGTTTTGGATGCGTTTACCTATCCTATTGTTATTTATATGGTAACCTCCCTGAAGATTGAACCATGTAATAAGACAAATTCTCAGCATTATATATTTAAAAAAATAAAAAAAACAAACATGAACATTTCTTATTACGATTATAACAATTTGTAGCACAAATCTGAAACCTCGATTCTGATTATCTAAAATTCATTATCTATTGGAGTAAAAAAAATAAAACCCCAGCCCCCCCCCCCAAAAAAAAAACACGGCGAAGTAATACAATTTTTTCGCATCGACGTTGAGTACACTTCAAATCTTTTTTCATGAAAATAAAATTTAAATAATGGAATATTTGAACGATTTATATCGGATTTTTTGAATATCAGAAATAACAGGCAATGCCGTTCACTAATTTAATTTTGTAATTTTAGCGGCGATTGAATCCACAAACTAGGTCATTTCGGGACTAACACATGGTTCAATTTTATTTCAATATTTCGCTTGTGCGTAGGGATCTTTAGCAGTGTGAGGAAACCGGAGGACCCGGAGAAAACCCACGAGGTGTATTTCTCAAATGAGAGAGAGAGAGAAATGGGGTTTAACGTCCACTCGACACAAACTAGGTCATTTCGGGACTAACATATGTTTTTTAATTTTATTTACATAATTCGCTTGCGCGTAGGGGTCTTTAGCAGTGGGAGGACACCGGAGGACCCGGAGAAAACCCACGAGGTTATACAGGCGACCCTACTCCTTGCCACGTACAACCGGGGATTCGAAACCACGCCAGTCGACTCAATGACAGACTTTATGATACAGCGCGCGAACGCTAACCATTCAGCCATCCAACCCCCCGATTTTTCAAATTAGTTGAGAAGTGGTATCAAACGATAAAGATTAAGCATACCCCATGACATGCACGACACCCGTGAGAATAGTTCACTAGAGCAATATCTGCACCATTTTATACTCTCCCTTTCGGGGTCGCTTTAGTGGAATGCAGACACGCCCTCTGAACTGAGGACACGCCCAGAGTACCCATACTAAGGTTTCTACCCGGATTCTGCGTTTTTATCTTTTCGTCTTATTTTGGGACATTTTCACAAATATTAATCCGCTTCTGGGTTATAGCCAATTGGGTTTAGTGCTATCATTGTTAGTACCGGAGAAGGGGGTGGTGGGCAGAGAGGCCGCAGGCCGCGGACATGTATTTCAGCGGGCGTCCAACAAAGAGTGGGTTGTACTAGCTGTCCTACTTAATATGAATGCATGTTTTATTTCATCTTTTAGACTTATCTAAAATGTTTCCCTTTCTCACATTTGTGAGTACTAAGCCCTCTACTTGATTCTTGGAGCATCATAATCAAGCAGTTGGTCGTGGGCATCACTCAATCTTTGCACGTAGATGAATGACATTATTTGTGGTAAACGGATAGAAGTGGTAAAAAATATAACACATTTACATTCATGTGACATTTTATTCAGTTTTTATTTTATTAAAACAGAACTGTACATTGAACATTGAAATTCGATTGTTTGGAATAGTTTATTAAAAAGGAATAATAATAATTTCATGATATCGTATTACGTTATATTACAATTACAGTTAAAATTATTATTTTAGCAACAATAAAGCCTAACAAAAGCTAAATACTGTATTAAACATTTTAAACAAATACATTATTATGTAGGGGTCTTAATCTATACGTTTTATTACACTGCAATAGGTTTGTAATTTGCTAAAGATTGTCCTTAAAGATGCATTATGTAAGAGTTAAATCAGCCTGTTACAAGGTTTTATTTTAACTTCAAATAATATAAAATTAGACCTTTATTCACCTATAATCAACTCTCTAGGACATCGGATGACGAAGATATGAACAGATTAAAATACGATCGCCACTTAATGATTCAATTTGAAAATGGAAAAGCTAGACCGAGTCTCGATTAACAAAGAACGTTGCTGCGATAATAAACAATCTAGGTCAAAACTTCAAACAGCGATAATGAGCTCAGAATAAAGTAAATTGAATGAAATATTTAATATATTAATTTTGAATTTTCTATTTTGGAACTATTATAGTAAGAAGGACCAGTTCTTTGTCTAAATCTTAGATGGTGCATCTTTAACAAGTCAACAGTAAAATACAATTCGTATTGGAAAAAAATAATTTTCAAGACCACTTTAAATTCTATGGGTTTTTTTTCTGTTTATTTTACCGGATAACTGAAGCTTATGATATTGCATGAGTAATAATCGACATAGTACAAAATATATAGAAACAGAGATCAGCAGAGTCACGTATCATAAACATAACAAAAAAAGTTTTAAAACAATTGACACGATAGCGTACCAATGTGAGCAGTAACAATGACCATTACAAAAAGCATATAAATATAAAAGATACAAGCACAACCATATAACTTTATTTAAAAATAAAACTTGAGTTCCATCATCCCAAGTTATCACGGATGAACAATTATAACTAAGGGAGGTTACTCATATCAGGTTCCAATTGGATTTATCTCCCTGGTCAAATTAAATGCTTATTCGCATTATTATAATAATAATATAGTATTTAATAGGGTTCTAATTTCAAGATATAATTCCACAAAGCCGACTACAAAAAACCACACATTCAAACTGTTAAGACAATGGTCTAAAATTATGCGCAGTAACAAAATGTTTTATTTATTTATGTCGCGAGCTTATCACAAAGTCAAAGATAATCAGAAATATATTAAACATAATAAATGATATGAAAAACATGAATATATTTACAAAAAAAAATATTTACATGATACATTAAAAATTTGTCATTCTATTTTGCTAGGGCATAGCCTTACAAGACGGAACCCATCTTCGTGAATCAGCATTTTCCCATGGTTATGTAGGATGATGGATTGCACCATAGCCCGCTTTTACAAATCAGGATATAAAAATAATTATTATTAAAAAAAAAAGAAGAAAATGTCCCGTTTCAGTGATTTCCATTTAACACTTAAGTTTCATACCCTTTTTAGGGGCTGGCGTTTTGTAGAGTTTCAAGCGGTGTAAGAGATTGGTGAAGTCGCCCAAATTAATAATACCATTTTCCACGCCCATGGTTTTCATAAAGAATTCGATCTCAAGTTCCTCAAGATTTCGTCCAGTGGCTGTTTTTAATGACTTTAAAGCTTCAACTGCCTCTTCATATTCCAACATGCCGCTGCCATCTTTATCCATTTCTTTAAACTTCTCTACTATATCGTGCGCACTAAAATTAGAAAGAACATCTAAAATACAAGCCAACAGTGAGGCTGATGTCCCCCGCCAAAATACCAAAATAAATAGATGACACATTAATTTATCGCACATTTATTTTTTTTAAAGTATCAAGCAATCAAACTGATTATCAACTATACACTTAAGTTTCATCACTCTCTATCAAAGTTATCTTGTCCTAAAGCATCAACCAACAAGGCATTGACCTAATCAACACATACACCAAGTTTGAACATTCTAGCTCAATTAGGAAGAGAGTTATCGTGCCCCAAAGTATCAACCAATCAAATTGCTTATCTCTGCTTACCCTAAGCGGAAAATGCTCATCTTCGAACTCCATCAAGGCATTGACCTAATAAACACATACACCAAGTTTGAACATTCTAGCTCAATTAAAAGTTATCGTGTCCCAAAGCATCAACCAATCAAATTGCTTATCTCTGCTTACCCTAAGCGGAAAATGCTCATCTATCGAACTCCATCAAGGCATTGACCTAATCAACACATACACCAAGTTTGAACATTCTAGCCCAATTAGGAAGAGAGTTATCGTGTCCCAAAGCATCAACCAATCAAATTGCTTATCTCTGCTTACCCTAAGCGGAAAATGCTCATCTTCGAACTCCATCAAGGCATTGACCTAATAAACACATACACCAAGTTTGAACATTCTAGCTCAATTAGGAAGAGAGTTATTGTGTCCCAAAAAGTGTGACGGACAGACAGACAGACAGACAGACGGACGAACCCATTTTAATAGTCCCCTGCTTTCTTCGAAAGGCGGGGGACAAAAATATCAACTAAATACAATTATTTATGCCACTATAGTTTCATTTTTTTTTTACCATATTCAGAATGTATTACATAGTAGGCTATGCTGCCAGCTTGTTTTGTGGCAGCAGTCTTCCCACAAATCGATTTTAAGAATTTAACTGATTCCAAAATTGGCGATATATATATATATAATCGTAATATTAATTAATAGCAGAATACATAAACAGATACACGAGAACGTCTTTTCAGCTATTTAGACGCTTGATTTTAGGTATTTGGCGGGAAAGTATTAATACATTTTCGGACAAAATTACTTTTGTATGCTAATGTTTTATTACCAACAATTCAAATTAACTCCGAATGCGAATGATCGCAAACTCGGAATGACAATGATCGCAAACTCCGCAAAACTCCGCAAACTCCGAATGACATGATCGCAAACTCCGAATGCGATTGATCACCAATAGTTACAATGTGATCACGTGAACATAGCACAACCAATGAATAACAAATTTCGGCCTGACGTCAAGGCTTTATTAACAATAGGATGACGTTCTATAGTACGCCATCAACTGTAAGTTTCCTTGAGTACGGTATGGAATAAGACTCTCTAATTTATTACCACAAATTGGTTGATAAAATCAGAATATATACCACAGAAGTGAGAATGTGGAAACACAGAGCAAACATACCAGAACCGCTGGAGGACATAACCTCCAAACAAAGGTATCATCTCGTGTAACTGCCATTTTATTTACAAAATCTGTCGAACTATTTTCAAATCTGTCGAACTAATTTCGAATTTCTATACTAGATTTTTCAACTGTTTATTTATTTCTTTATTATTACGCCTATATTCAATATTTGTTTAACTGTTTCTTTAATTTTCGCAGACAAAGACAAGCAGAAATTCTTCGTCATCTTCGTGCAACTGGTATTATACAATCTGGTGAGAGAACATCGGGTGGAATGGCGTACTCTATCCCGAATGATCGATTCACAAAATTCTATACCACAAGGTGTAAGGTTCCTCTTATTCCAGAACGTTTCCGCACTTGGGACAAACCAACCGTGAACACCAATTATGAAGAAAAGATGAAGCGTGCAGCAGTAAATAGAGAAGAATATCTTTATAATAAACAGGGAGCTAGATCAAAATTCTATAATACTAACCGTGAACGAGTACTTCAGATTTTGTAAGTAATAATAATATTTTGGCCTATATCAGTATTTCAAAGTCCATTTTCAATCTGTAGGGTTTTTTTTAGCCGTGAGGGCACACGAAAGCTAATACGATCCGCTTTGCATTTTATCATTGGATCACTAGAGATCTGCTTATCTACAACGCAATGTTTGGACCCCCCCCCCCCCAAAAAAAGAAGAAAAAAACCCTCTCCCACGCAATAATAAAAAATAGAATGATACAAAAGGAAGAGAGAAAATAGTATTGGAATAGAGGCCTGCGGTATTTGTGATTTTCCTCATATCAGCTGTGAGTAATTCAAATATTTTCATATTTTAAAACGGGAATTGTTTTCCTTTCAGAGAGAAGGAAAAGGAGCTTCAGCTTCTACAAATGGATGAAACTTTAAACAGAGAGGAAGAAGCAAAAAGACGAAAAAAGGAAGAGAAAATGGCTAGGAAAAGGTTGCGTCGAAAATATACGGATTTTGAATTTCCAAATTAGAAATAAAAGAGCAATATTTAAAATTAATATTGAGTTAACGAATGTTAATTAATATTGAGTTAACGAATATTAATTAATATTGAGTGAACAAATACAAATTGTGTATATGGATGTATCGATAAATATGAACAAAATTTCAAAAATGAAGTATTATATTAAAAGAAAAACGAATTAAATTCATTATAAAATATCTCCTGATTTTTTTTCGTAGCCTTAATTCTTCATAAATCACTGGATAACGCCTTAAACCTAGTCAGTAAGTCTGTATGGTTCTAGGTCTAACCCAAAAGTCAGATCATACATAGTATCAATTAACGCTCAGAAAATATTGAGAAGAAAGGCCATCAGCTGATTGCACCATCTAATGTGCGCTTGAATGGAAATCTTTGAAAGGGCAGTAAACCAAAAGCTTATGGTAAGAGTGGCACCAACTATCAACTAACGTTTGATAAAATAAAATACAAGAGAGTAGAACGTTCTGCTATAAAAAAAAAAGAATCTCACCTCTCTCCAGCACATTCATAGAACTTGTGGAATTCCCAGATACTCATTAAACCATTTTTATCTTTGTCAAAAGTGTCAAACATAATCTCTGCTTTATCTTTTTCCAAATCGAATTCTCTCATTAACATATCCACCGCCTCTCCTCTATGTAATGTTCTAACTTGATCGTGTATATAGCGATCAAAAATATCAGTTACTTTCTTACTGAAAGTAAAAGTGAAGAGAATATTATGAAGCCAAAATATTATTAGACCTAAAGGTAATTTTTATTTTGATATGCATAAATATATCATAATATCCTAAAATCAAATCATACGGAATAGATATTTGGAATAGATAGTTGGTTGTTCATAAGTCACGCCTACATAAAGTATGAATTATGTAAAAACTAAGTTCTAACCTCTTGCAAATTTTTTTTAAAGTGTTTGGCAGTATTGGCAGTGTCTCTAATGGTATTATATTGGAATACAAATACTGCGGGTACTAAACACTAAAGATTAAACAAGGAAACCAAAAAACACCAAAGACAAAATATACGCACTAAGCTTAAGTTCGTTGTACACTGTCAACTTTTTATCATAAAAGTTAATGACGTGTATATCGGTTTACAAATGTCGGCAACCCGGACCTCAGAATTTAAACCAAGGATGTTCAGTCAACAAAGAGATCGACACGAACCTGGCATAAGTTTCCACAGTTTACAACATGCTCATTTCAGATTATGCTTGCAATTATTCGGTTACTTAGGAAAACTGTTTACACAAATATATCCAGGAAAACTATTTAAACAAATTTAGTTTAAGGATAATTATTTAAACTACTCACGGAACTTTTCTTTGAAGAGCCATTGTTGAAATTTATCTCGTTTTGGATTTTAAGTTGTTTATGGAATCTGAAAATATTACAAGAAACAATCATTTAGAAATGTTTTGTCTGTTCTTTAATAAGAGTTTAAATTCATATAGGTCAATCGTTTCAATTAGTTCACACATATTTTCCTCAGCTTTCCGACAAAAAAACCTACCACGAAAAACAACAAAAATATACGTCTAGAAAAATATACGTTCTAAATCAACACCGCACACACCTTGTGGCTAGTTGCAGATAACTCACTATATACTACCATTCTTTATTATCTCGTGATAACATATTACCATGGAAACGCAAAAATCCAACATTAGACGCAAATATAGTGCAGCCAAAAACCTGTAAATGATCCTGGCTTCTTTTTATGTATTTTTACTGGCACCTGATTCAGTTCTGGTATCTGATTCAGTGCAATCAAAATTTATGAGGTGCTTTCAAATGTAATGTTTTTTTTTTCCAAACAGATATTAACGAAATACCTTTTTTCTCAATTCACAAACAAATGTTTTGTGTCTATAATGCCTGACCCAAAGAACGAACTGCTTTATAAAACAGTAATCGTAAAGAACACAGAAGAAGTCTGTATTACTTCCAAAAGAAAACTTCGGAAATTATCAGGCGTTGGCTTAATTCAATTTTCTTATCGCTTCACAGTTTGAACCAGTAATGCAATCATGCAATTGCCCGAAATTCCAGCAAAGTAGACACCACTTTGATTGCACTTGACTTTTCTAAATCTCAAACAATTATGTAAACTAGCAGCATGATATCGTGAAAACAAACATCATAGTTTAATTATCAATAAAGATTAATTTGATTATTATTACAAGCTACACCCAAAGTACACGTGCAGTTGATTTAAACTCACTAAATACTTGGATAAGGGTATGAGTTATCCTAACTTTTATATTTGGGAATCGAATTGTTATGGTTCAGATCATAATTTACAATCATTCATTCTTTCACCCTTAAGTCCACCCTCTACAATATCGCAAATAAGCACCTCTATATAGTTTTTGTTTTATGAATTGGAAGTTCCTATTTCATTATCTGATAGGAGACACGGTCGCTAAGTTAGTAAGACACTGGCTCGCTAGCCTGGAGGTAGCGGGTTTGCTCTGGATTTTAGCCGAGAAAGTTAGACGGGTTTTCTGGCGTGGTTCCCCTTGTCAGTGGTGCAGGAGGGAGGGTCTGGCTAGGACAGCTGGTTAGTCGTTTTGTTGGAACGAAAAACCGAGGTCCCATGTACACATTAGAGCGCACTTTTAAAAAAGATCCATTGGCAGTTAGAATTCGGTATAAGAGTAGGCCGTAGCGCGGCTGTCCGAGCAAAATTTCCCTTATAGCACACTGTATGGCGTACGCACGTCTTCATTTCATTATCTGATATGGTTACAAATTCTAATCTTCGAAGGTTGGTCACACAATTTACCCCCCCCCCCCCACACACACACACAAAGACCCCCTCCCCCCCCACACACACACTTACCAACAAAAAACCCTTCATCTTTAAGGGGGGCATTGCATATAATATATAATTACACAGGAGTGATGAAGACAAGTTAAGTATAAACACATGTTAATCAAATATCTATATAGGATCTGGCAAGTTTGTGAGGTTATACACCTCTATATATATACATGTAGAACCTGTCAGACGTATATATTAATAACCTAGCTCAGTATATATAGGTAATTACTGCCAAAAACTACATATCACGTGTAATGTTACTGGCTAAAATGCTAAAACAAAACAAATTACTCTTAATTTAAAATCTAGGAATGGGTTTGATTTTTCAGAAATTTTATTATCTCTTTCAGATTGTTTATCTAGAATTAAGAACTCGCTTTAACAAGAATTTATTTCGTGCTTCCCTCTTCTGAAGTTTTATATGGTTCAGATTCGGAAGTTAATGTAAAATTTAGAACGTCAAGACCTCACACGTTTTTATACAATTAATTATAATAATAAAAAACGTGAAACATGTTAAATGAATCATAAAATAAGTTCGGTGAAAACCAAGAAGAATGGTGAAGTATTAGCGTTAGAAACTTTGTTCTAAAATAAAAAAAAATAGTAACTGCGTGGTATTTCACACAAATAACACATTAAAGCTAAATTATACATATACATAATAAATATCATACAGAAAAGATTCGGTCGAATGTGGACTAATTTGTTTCCTTCTCCATAGTTGGATATTTTATCAAATAAAACACGAATTTCAAAAAGGTATGGCGGTAGTATACTCTTATGATTTCATACGAGAAAGAAACAAAGTTATTTATCCACGAAAATATATTTAGCATTCACATCTTTTAAAAACTTCAAAAGTTATTAAGCTGTTAAACTGAAAATATCAAATCTTCTAAAATAAACCAATAAGAATGTGTTATGCCCTATGAAAGCCCAAATCATGGATAAATAAGAACAACGGGTTTATTTTACTTGGTGAAGACTGCCAATTTACGTCAAGAAACCACAAGAATTTCTTCAAGACTCCGAGATTCCTAATTACTTACAACGTAGTGAGTGTTTCTGATAATTCGTATAGATATTCCTATAGAGACTGTGCCAAGAAAGTCAGACAATTCTTGTACATGATTCCTTGATACCAAGTTCTAATCTTACCTTAAGTGAGATATGGTCCGTTATATTAGTCTTGTGTATGTTTACAATGAAATGTTCTTGTCGTTTCACTTTATATACTATAGAGTAGGGCTACGTCAGAACTGGAGAAACACCCTCTACGTAGTAATGAGTAACGGTATCAGGAATATTCGCGATGTTCAAATCTAAGGCAGTGTAGGTGCGGAATGAATCATCACGTTGATAGGCTTGGGGAATCCTGCGGTATTAGAATTCCAGGTAGATGACGAAATTGAAATAAATGTTGAAAATTTATCTAATCATGATCTACCTATTAGTACTAGTATGGGTAGTAACTATGATTCATTGGCACCATATTTCTTAAAAATATACTCATAATCAAGATACTAAGAAATATTCTAGCGTGAATAATCATTTGATCAGAACAATACCAAAGTGTTGTTGACATTTTAAAAGCTCTTATATATGATGGTCTACACAGGACACAAAACCTCGTGTCACTTTTTCAAAACGGTGGTATAGACATGTCAGAGAAGATTTCAATTTATGAAAATCTTTGTATGACCAACATTTCTAGCAGGAACTATTAATAAGGCATACGGTTTGAACCTCATAAAGTATTGTTAAAACAAGTATTACTATGATACTAACTTCTCGAATAAATGGGGAACGGTATCGGGTGTTCGAGAAAGATAATTATAGTCGGTCATTATTTACAGTTAAATAAGGTTATAGCAGGTTGGTCTTCAGAAATCAGCAACGATCAGCAGTATCGCCAACAGAGAATTATATTTTATTTATTTCCTTTTTTGGTTCTGACGAAAGTTCAACTGATAATACGAATTCGCACGAACTGTGCCATCTTATTTATATTAGAATATTTAGTTCTACAGGACCATAATTATACCCTTTGTTCAAATGATCCGATGGTTTATGGTCTAATGAAGTGGGTAAGGCGCTGGCTCACTTACCAAGGGGTCCGGTGTTTGATCTCGGTTTGGGCCGCAAAAAGTTCCCCGTGATTTTCCTGCGAGGTTTCCACTTTTCAGTGGTGCAAGATGAAGGGTCTGACAAGGAACAGTCTCTAGTCGTTCGGACGACACCGAAAATCCGAGGTCCCGTGTACACATTGGCGTGCACGTAAAAGAACCCTTGTCAAGTAGAATTCGAAATAATAGTGGGGTTTTCTAATTCTTATGTTACCTCGAGAACGGGATTCAGATAAATAGCGTGATCACATCCGACCAAAACTTTTTTTTTTTTTATCTATTTCGAGAAACAAAATATATACTATGCCTTATAATGTTTAAGGAATAATTGTGAAACCGAAAGCATATTATATTATATATAATGCATTTTGAGTATTTGAATAAGGTCTTACCTATATAAGTTGCGCAGCCTTCCACAAGTTTCAGACGTCTGCAAAGATGTTGACCTCTTTTGCTGGGTTCACGGCAAAATGTAATTCTACCTACCCAGGAGTCACATTTTATCATCAAGACGCTTTTGCGTTCATATGGTACATAATGAGTTGTAAATGAATTATAATTAGATAGGCACACGTATCCAGTCTCAAAGGTGTATGATGCAAAGTATAGAGTTGCTGACAGATGATATACTTTATAGATACGTAGTTTCATTATGTTGCCATCAGCAGGGAGCTGAAATGAAGTGAGTAGAAACTCCTTTATAATCCTACAAAATACCTTGTTCAAATACCTTGTTGCATTCCCTGTTTTGTTCTCTAAATGGTTAATCCTTTAAATCACTCAGAGAAAATATTTATTTTTATGATGTCATTTTATAATTAAAAATGCATATTGCAAGAACTAAATCTGTCTGTATTGCAGGTCTTTCTTTAGTCCTTAAACGTTATATAAACTATTAATTAGACATTTATTAACATGACAAGACAATAATCAACTCTCGATGGGTTAGATTTTAAACAGATTTGAATCTGATCCGCTGTTCAACGGCGGTTGATGATTAAAAGTAAAAATGGATAATCGAGACTTAGTTTATTATCATAACAACGGTAACAATGACAACCAAGGCTACAGTGTTTTTGAAATGAGGTTTTCTCGGCTCAGAGTGAAGTACTTTGACTGAAATGGTCAGCATATTCTATTTATATTATCTATCTTTTTTAAAACTAGTATAGCGAGAATTGTCAGCTCTTTATCGAATCTTCCATAATGCCGCTTTAATAAACGTTTTCTGGAATTGGTTTAACATATTATACTTTAATTGTGAAAAGGTTATTTACGTCCAAGACAATTAATAGAGAACAACGTATCAGCTAATTACCCAGTATTTATTATGTGCAAAATTGGAATGTTATGGTATATTTATATTCATATTCTACATTCCAATAGTATTTAAATATCATATATTTATTTTCCATTCACACCAAAAAGATCATGTAGCTGTGGTAAGAGGTTTGCCTCCCTTTAAAATGAATTTGCGTTAATAAAGTTGGAGTTTGTTACGATGGAAGATATTATTTCTAAGCGGATAAACATACGAAACGTTTTCTCTGGTACAGGGGTGGCGTATTTAGAGAAGGTGTGGGGGCAAACGCCAATACTTTTGTTTATAGAAACTATACATGTCGTACCCATATCCCTATATAGATATTATACGATGCACCTACTTTTATATCTGTCTGTAGTAATTAATAACACATAAAAAAAATCAGTCTTCTATGTGGTAGATGCCTTTAAAGATAAAAAAAAAACCCAGAGGATGCACATAATACTCGGACACCAATTGACAAAACGTTTACCACGGCAACATACATAGACCACTTTATGTACTATAAACACTTTTATTTTCAGAATTAACTGGCCAGTTCTTGAACCCCCTGACCTTCTTAAGAAAATAATTTCTTGTAGGATAGTTCCATTGACAAGACGAGACTGGCACGTGGCCTTCGCGCGATAAAACAAATACCATGTCAGATATAACTCACGGTAAATTACAAAATGGCGGTTTCACCTGTTAATAATATCACAATAGATAGGGCGTTGTTTGTTTATACCAATCTACGATATATATATAAAATAATGGTTTGTATGTTACCCTGAAGTTTCACCCTGTTGCTGCACCCTGCACGTTTCAAGTCAGTAGCTTGAAGCGTATATATGGTATTAGTGTCAGTGGCTTGTGGCACGAAGTAACAGTATATTGTCGCATACATAATATATTATGTCAACGCTTGGGCGACATAATATATTGTGTTGACGCTAGGGCAGGGTTAGGGTTAGGGTTAGGGTTAGGCTCGAGCTGTTCCTATCTGAAAGCTGAAAGAAAGTTTACACACGTATCCCAGAAATGGTTTATATAATTTTAATTTCACACGTGACGGTTGATTATAGGCCTACTATTTTCTAATATTAACAATATAATCTTTTACAATTGTTATCGGTGCCATCTTGTTTTTTGTTCATGCCTAGTCACCTCCATCCTAGTTCCAAGCGTTGACATAATATATTATATCGCCCAAGCGTTGACATAATATATTATGTATGCGACAATATACTGTTACTTCGTGCCACAGGCCACTGACACTAATACCATATATACGCTTCAAGCTACTGACTTGAAACGTATCGCCTGGAAGTTTTAGATGTAATTGACATGTGTTAAGTTCAATAATCTCTTTTTATTTATTTTAAAGCCATATAAGACAGCCGGTATTTACACAAAGATCTATTCATAAAATTAAAATTCATTTACTAAAATAACAGTCTATTCATATTACTACCTTTTATCCAGCCTGGTAGGTATTTGTTTGACCAGATATTTAATATTTCACTGACATTAACTGTGGGTCAGTGAGGGGTAAGGTGGTAAGGTGGATGTTAAAACTTGCTTCCCGCTTGTCAGTGCTGCTGATGCTGTCAGGGCAAAATATCCTCATAACACTCCTAATCCCGTCTTCATTATCCCGGTTGGCACTTGGCACACAGCAGTAGTCAATCCCCATTTCATTTGTCACTAACTGCCATTAATAATTACTCAATCAACCATATTAATTAAATACTTGCTACCACATTCCATTCTTTTGTTTCAATAAGCCCAAAATTGACACCATATCATAATGATAATTATGGTATTGATATAATTATGACCAGGTATTTCGTAATAATGGTTCGAATCCCCGGTTGTACGTGACAAGGTGTATAGGGTCGCCTGTCCAACCTCGTGGGTTTTCTCCGGGTCCTCCAGTTTCCTCCCACTGCTAAAGATCCCTACCCGCAAGCGAATTATTGAAATAAAATTAAAACATATGTTAGTCCCGAAATGATATAGTTTGTGTCGAATGGACGTTAAACCCCATATCTCTCTCTTTCTCTCTCTCTCTCTCTCTCTCTCTCTTATAGAGATCTTATCGAAACTCGATCCAGTTAACCTTTTTCGACCATAATAATATGAAAATTAGAACAACCCAAGACGATTTGGGTCTGAAACTGTTACCCAAACCCAGAACCCATGAGGAATTTGTCGAATTCTCAAATGTTGTGTAGAAACTTATGTTGTGTAATCTCAGAGACGTAATATAATTATACCTCAAAACATTAACCATCTGTAAACAATAAGACAATAATAACTTATTGTTGTTTACTTTGGATAATATACTATATCAATAACCTAGATAAATAATATACATATAAAACATGCTATAAGATATATGATGTATCTTCTAGTACCGTTACACTCATCATCATAACGTAATAGACCGTATAATGACGTATACACAGACGAGTTCACTTCGAACTTCTGCTAAACTATTCCCAAATATAGATTCTCTCGTGAACGTCAGGATTCAAGAAGGTCAGAGGTCAACACGGCACTAACTCTTCCTTTCTAAAAATAGCTACAATGTGCGTTTTAGAAGTGGAACCGCGTATCATGCGAGCCTGCAAGAAGAACAGGGCCAAATTCTAAGCAGGAATACATTTCGATTAATGGTAAGTCTCTTTTATTTTCTTTGACACAGTATTTGAGAAAGACCCAAACTTTGTTAATTTTGCATGAAGAATCGTTCTAGAAACCGGAAAGGCACCAATGACACCAATGTTTGGCGTAGTCTAGTACTAACTGTCGTAATTCGTCAGATAAAAAATTGTTATCTTTATCTACGAATATACGTATACCCCCGAGAGTTCTGGAGTAGCCATAATGGCTTTCAGAGAAGATAGAACTTCTTCTCTCACAAAATTGATGGTATACTAAAAATTAAGACTGGATATATTTCGTAAAAGGTTTGATATTTATGTAATGCAAGATGGTTTTAAGTTTTTAAAACTGGGTTGGTGTATCTCAACTTGAAATAAGATAATTGAAAAGGACTGAAAAAATTTGGCACACACGTTTTAAGGTAGGGAAAATGTGTGAATGAGATATATGACTCAGCTGGGTACGAATTAACTTATTTACTAAAGTACAGGTTTAAATACTTATTTACTTATTGCCACAGTACATTTCTTAATTCTGTAATCAATTTCAAGTTGCCATAATACAATAAATCATACCTAAAAATCTCAATCGTATAAGAAAATATATTAGTTATTTATCAATTTTATTTTATTTACTCTATGCTTTATTTACTTCATTTCAACTTCCTATATATGCTTTATTTGTTTCATTTCAATTTCTCATCTGTACTTTATTTACTTCTTTTTATACTTTATTTACTTCATTTTCTCTTCTATACTTTATTGTCCCCCGCCTTTCGAAGAAAGCAGGGGACTATTAAAATGGGTTCGTCCGTCTGTTTGTCTGTCTGTCGGTCCGTCCGTCTGTCCGTCACACTTTTTGGGACACAGTAACTCTCTTTCTAATTGAGCTAGAATGTTCAACCTTGGTGTAGGTGTTTATTAGGTCAATGCGTTGATGGAGTTCGAATGTTCAAACTTGGTGTAGGTGTTTATTAGGTCAATGCGTTGATGGAGTTCGAAGATGAGCATTTTCTACCTAGGGTAAGCAGAGAAAAGCAATTCGATTGGTTGATGCTTTGGGACACGATAACTTTAGTTCTAATTAAGTACGAGTGCTGAAACTTGGTGTATAGTTTCATTACATCAATACCCTGACTAATTTCGATAATGAGCATTTTCTGCTCAGGGTAAGAAGAGTGACAAGCAATTTGATTGGTCGAGACTTTGGAACACAATAACTCTCATTCTAATTGAGTTAGAATGTTCACACTTGGCGTAGGTGTCAATTAGGTTAAGATGAGAATTTTCTGCTTAGGGTAAGCAGAGATAAGCAGTTTGATTGTTTGATGCTTTGAGACATGATAACTTTAGTTCTAATTAAGTGAAAGTGAGGGCACTTGGTGTATAGCTTTATTATATCAATACCTTGACTAAGTTCGATAATGAACATTTTTTGCTGAGGATAAGCAGGGTGATAAGCAATTTGATTGGTCGAGACTTTGGAACACAATAACTCTCCTTCTAATTGAGGTAGAATGTTCAGACTTGGCGTAGGTGTCTATTAGGTGAATGTTTAAACTTGATGTAGATGTGCATTAGGTGAATGTCTTGACTGAGTTCAATGATTAACATTTCGAGCTGAAGCTAAACAGAGCTAATCGATTTCATTTGTCGATGGTTTGGAACAAGATAATCTTGATTCTATCCAATAGAGAGTGATGAAACTTAGTGAAAAAAATAAGTGTGCGATTAATTAATATGTGTCATCTATTTAATTTGCAATTTCGGCGGGGGACATCAGCTTCACTGTTGGCCTGTTTTTACTTTATTTTATCCCCGATACTTTTTTTCATTTTCACATCTATACATAATTTGCTTTGTTGTATTTAATACATATATCATAGAGCATCTACAAAAATAAATGAATCTATTTAATACTTCTATATAAGTACAACACAAGAAGTTATCAAAACTCACATTAGGTGCCATGGGTGTTATCCTTGGTAAATTCAGGTAGTTAATTGCTTTGGTGTAACTTATTGATCCATCGTCATAGTTTTGTTTAATGTTGAATCTGCCTGGATACTAACACAAATATCAAAGCTGCCTTCATTATTACATAACATTAATGGATTAATGATCTCAGATAATGATTTTAATGCCTTTCTGTAATGAAATGACTTGAAAGTAATTAGTGTATACTACATATGGTCCCCACATGTGTTAAGTAAATTCCACTCTGTATAAAATATTAGAATATACATTTCTCAAAATAAGTATTAATAGTATCATCTTTACTTACTACTCTGAACCATCTATTTGATTACATTAACCTTTGTAATCAGATACGAACCAGATGAAAGACATCCATATACATTATTTTTACTTTTTCTTTCTGAGTTTATACACACAATCCGCAAGGTCATGTAAAAAAAACTCTGATTTCTATGAGGATAAAACCAGTTTATTTTGGTTTATATTTATGGATTATCACTTCCTGACGTAAGTTATCTAGCAGGAACCTTGAAGCATTTAACTAAAGCGCCGGTAAATTTAATTTGTGATATAACGTAGATAATCAGTTTATACTCGTCTCAAATTTATAGAAACTTTAAGTTTCGTTAATCTTAGCCGAGCAGATAAACAGTGTTTTGAGAAAGTACTAACAATCTAATAAATTTTAATATTTTATGACTGGTGTTTATGTGCTTTTATAACGTATCAATAGCTTCCATTCAGAAAAAGCTTTTCTTTTAGCAATTAACAGTTAAGGGTTTCTCATTAGGTTAGTACTATCAGGTTTAAAAATCTATTACTGATATTTTTAGCTTTCATTCAAGCTGACACTATCACCTGTGAAAAAATGTACTATTTATATTTAGTTCTGTATCGTATAGGATAAACAGTCTAGACTATTTATTATATTTTACCTTAAGATTTTCTTGGAACAATACAAGTACAACAAATACGTCTGTTTTCTTCTACTTCTCTGAATAGTATCTGTTTGGTTTACAAGTCGATATATACAAACATAAGCGTGTCGTCATTAATAATAAGTAACATGTTTTGAGAGTTAAGAAAACGAAAATGCCATCAGAACAACTACACAGCTGTCCTTGTAAGGCCACTGACAAGGGGAATCTATACCGGAAAATCCCTATGAACTTTCTCGGCCAACACATGAAGCGAACCCGCGTCCCCCAGGCCAGCGAGCCAGTGGTTTACTACTCACTTAGCCAGCGTGGCTCCTGAGAGTTATGGGGTGATAGAAAATTAAAGATATGTTAGATTTAAACAACGAAACTGTTGATTGCTATTGATTTATACCGGATCTTTGTGCATTACTTACATTGTATTTGAAACGAAGATTGTGGTGGGCATTTAAAATGTCTATGATAAAATAAACAATATAGTATAGTCTATAATCTACTGAAATGAAATGAGGTTTACTTTTCTGAACCAACGTGTGTTTCCGCCTACTGTTCCCCGAATTCCAACTATCAAGGAGTCTTTTACGTTCACGTCAACGTGTACACGCCGTTCATTGTCTTGCTCTCTGTCCTGCAAAATGTAGAGGAACGTTCTCGACTACCAGGGGATCGAACCCGGGACCATCTCGTTAAGGATATAGCGCCTTACTCATTAATAAGCCGTGTCTACTTCACTTGAAAGGGCGAAGAAAACAGGCTTTATGTTTATAATAAAGAACTAAACATAAAGCCCTAACCATGATGTGATTTGTCTTTAAATAAAGACTTTACATTCAATTTATTAAGCTGTAATAATAAACAATAACTCTGCCAATTATTTCTAAATGGAATCTAGATGAAACACAGTGATTTCCAAAAACATACAATTTTCACGTTCAATCATGAATAGTATAAATGTATATGAAAGGAATGTTTGAGCAATACTTTCAAAGGCAATGGCGATGAATCTTGATGAATGGATATAGAATACTTATTTCTATAATCAACAAACTTATGTAAATATCGCGTTTACCCCGTAATATGATTGGAATACCGGTTTGAGCAATGCCCAATCTTTTTAAAAAATGAAAGATAACGAGTACATCCTTCATATCATTTCCGTCCATTTTCACAGCTGCGCCATTGCCAAACAGACATCCCAAAATACCACTTACTGATAGAGGCGCGCTGATCTGGCACTCTTCCTATCTATTGACTAACATAAACAAGGCACACAATCCGTCTATTTATAAAATGTCTTCTTAGTTTCTCTTATTGAAAAATACAGATTATCCTGGATAATATTTGACTAAATAACAATTTATATAAAATTTAAAACCAAAAAAGAGCAGATTTAGCTCTTACATAATGTACGATAGACACCACCTGGTAATTTAAATGTATTATCAAGAACGGATGAGAGTGTTAAATTCTTTAAATTTTACGTCAGTTAATATAAACAAGGGCACTAATCTACTTAATTTACATGTTTTTAGCGAATGTGTTTGTTCCCATCCTCGGTAACCCGTCGTTAGTCACCTCGTCTTGGATTGCCGTCTACACTGTTGATCAGTATGTCCGTCTGTCACCCTCAATTTATTTTGCACATTTTTAAAAATAAATTTAAAAATGCATCACAAACACATTAGTGAGACATAGAATCCCTTTGAATGTCTTCAGAATTATTGCCCATGCGTATCAAATCAGTTAAATTTTGGACATAATGTGTCTTGTGTGGATATCTATGACACATCTTTCCTTGTCGGTCATTTTTTGCAATACTTTGGGCGATATTGAAAAAAGAAACGCTCACGTCGGTCCTTGTATGTTCTTGTCGGTGATAAGTAGGATCGTAAAATACCGATATCCTCGATAGGAACCACTAAGTATGTGTGCACCCACACCCATACACCCACACACACCCGCACACACACACACACACCCATGTGTGTGTGTGTGTGTGTGTGTGTGTGTGTGTGCATTGTTCGGTTTCGTTCATTATATCTTTAGATGTATATGCTTTGGATGGATTAGTTAAATGATGTATCTTTGTAAATGTAAAATTCTGACAAGGATGACAGGGCCATCTTTCGTGTTGATATCAGAATGATTTATTTAAATTATCTTAACGACCTATAGTGTATTAGTTTTTTAAAATAATTTACAGATTTCTTTTCCCACTTACTCAGTTTTGATATTTTTGTGTATTTTCAGATTACCACAGAATTTGGCCCTGATCGAAAATGCAGACCCGAAGAACTTTTAACAGTGGATACAACTACTAACGTCCTATATGAGTGATACATCGGACGACAGTGTTGATTCGGTTATTGCGGTGCATGATCCTCGACGCTTAAAAGCTGCTTTCCCTGTCGCTTCTGCATCACCACCAGTCCACACTTCTAAAAAAGCACAAACCCAAAGTGAATCTAAATTATCTTTAGTCCCAATAGAGACTGTTACACCTGAAAAACCACAAGCAAAGAGCCAAGATACCAAAACTAGCACAGATAAGCGCACTAAGCCAAAAGAAACCACCGCTACGGGCACAGCACAAAATAAAAACGACCATAACGTCAAACCTACAGCTTTATCAGAGACGCACATAAAAAATAAAAGCGATAACAAAGACAAAGAAAAAGGATCTAAGACACAAGAGTCATCCCAAAAAGAAAGTTCGCCCAATCAAACAGGAAAAGAAACTAACGAAAGCTCCACAGAAACAAAATCTGTAGATGGAAATAGCCAAGCGGTTTCGGATGTGAAACGTAAGCGTAAACGTCGGAAAAATAAACGTTCGAAAGAAAACTCCAATCAGCTTCAGTCGCCAGACCCCCCAAAACCTTTAAAAAATGTGATCGAATCTGTCATAGACGAGATAACTCAAGACAAACAAACCGCCCCAGATAAAGAAAGAGGAAAAGAGGGCGATAATAAAGACAAGAAAACAACGAATAAAAAAGATACACAGAAAACAAAACCCTTAAAGGTAGCAACAGGCACTAATACAAAACACGTAGGAACAGAAGATGTCACCAAACCGATAACGAAAGACCCACCAATCAAGGACGAAGCTACAAAATCTGATATGGGTAATAAATTTAGTAGCGAGAAACACAAGGGCAACAAGGACCATGATTGTCGAAAGAAAGATAAAGAATCCAAAAAGAAAAACAAAGGCAGTAAAAGTAAATCACCAACTAGTGACAAAGATTTGTCGGTGGATAATAGAAGCAGCATTGAAACAAACGATAGCTACTCGTCAGCTGCAACCCTTGTGGCCACAGCTAAAGCTGCTATCGGTAAAAGATCTCCAAAAAAGTCTCCTCGGGCAATACCTCGTTCCGGTGTCAGATTAAGAGATGCTATATCGTCCGATGATGAATCGTTTGCAAGTGCTGGATTCAGAACTCCCCAAGCAACAACACCATTATTGAAGCGGGCAGCTGACCCTACTTCACCGTCCCAGCGCCTACTAGAATTCGGGAGGAATATGGAAAGGGATATTACTGAAAAGTTCAGAAATATATCGCCATCTAGTGCTCATCCAAATAAGGACAATGCTGAAAAGTCAAAAAAGGGAAAACACGACAAAACTGGAAATTTTGATAGTCCATCTAGTTCAAAAGATACAAAAGAACCAACCGGGACATCGGCTTTACCGGACAAGCTCTTTTCGTCTTTACCAAAGCGTTGTAGCAAGGATGTTAACATCGAAACGGATAGCGACAGTTTTGGCATGTTTGAAAATACTGAACGACTGTATGCTTCACTCCCGAAAGACTATTACCCAATTGATGATAATTTAAGTGATGATGTTTTTATGAGTTGCATCGATTTAGCTGCAAATAGTCCAGACATTCCATTGCGATCTCAGAATTCACCTTCTAGAACCGCAGCACAAATGCACTCTAGTCCTGCTACTTCACGTAAAGATTTAAAACCATATCAACAAAAATCGCCGAAACCGCCACATAAGCAATCAACTTCACCTTTTCCGACGCATAAAACAACTGTGCAACAACCATCCTCAATCAGCCCCATAACCTCTAATTATTCACCAGAAGATGCGCCTAAAAATCCGACTAATCAAAGACGCTCACCAAAATCTCCAGGAACCTCGAAACGTTTACTTAATGAATGTTCCGAATCATCAAAGTTGCAGAGACATACACCAATGGAATGTTCGAAATCTCCAAAATCTCCTAGACACAAAAACTCGGATAAAGTAATCACACCGAATAACCCGATTAATGGGAATGCTACAAAATCTCCTGGTACCACACGCCGTCAAGCGTTGGAGGCTTCGAAATCCCCCACATCTAGTGCATCCCCAGCAGCACAACTTTCACCTAAATCACCAAACAGATCGAGACGCGTACCAACAAGGGATGATTCAAAATGCCTTACAACACAAGGACTAACAAGTCCCGATGTTATACCAAAAAAGAGCCCCACCACGGATCCCAAATCCCAAAAAGAGACAAGAAGGGTGAAAGAATCGAAACAAAAATCTGCAGAGGTTATCTACAGTAAAATTGACAAGACTAGCAAAGCTGAAAAATCAAATGCGATAGAAAAGGAAACTAAAACTGGAAATAATGTTGGGGTGTCGGATATTTCAACATGTGCAAAAGCTGTCGAAGAAAACACCCAAATCCAAGATAGCCCAAAGCCCTCGAAGCAAGAAAAGATACAAGCTGATGTCGAAAAGAAAGAGCATCTAAAATCAACTTATGATAACGTTCCCGATTCCGATGATAGCATGGTCTACTTTACTAGCAAAAACGACCCTGTTTTCTTTGAAGACAATTGTGTTTCAGAAGAAATAATAGCAACAGAGAAGACTCCAATGCATTATAAAGTAGAAGAACCAAGAAAATTTGGGATTGAAATCTTGAAACCTCCCGAGCAAGGTAAAATAGAATGCGTGCTTCTGGAAAGAGAACCCAACAATCCCTCGCCAATTATTCAACAGAATACTTCTGAACAAATCGGAGTAAACGAAAAGCACGGAAATGTCCCAGAAAAAGACCCGGTTGCTAAAATCATATCATCAACCGATAAATCTACTGGGCAGACAACTTTTACTACTAAACAATCTGCAAAGTCCCAAAACCCACCAAAGCAATTCACAAAAAATCCAGACATAGTTCCAGCATCTTCAAAATCACAGAATCAAGAATGCAAAATATCACGTAATCTGGATTTGGTTGAAGCATTACCAGTGTCACCGAATCAAAACCCAGTTCAGGCACCACCAAATCCGAGCATGGTTCAACCAACCCAAAAAACACAGAATCCAGACCTGATTCAGGCATCTCAAAGCTTACAAAATCTAGACTTGGTTCAGTCATCCCTAAAGGTACAAAGTCCAAACTTGGGCCAATTAGCAACTGGGTCAACTGAATATGAACAGGCAAGTAATCAGGGAACAATCACAGAACCAGGGCAACAGCTTACAAAACGTCAGATCCGTAGAAGAAACAAGAAAAAGAAACTAGGAAACCAAGGTAGTTTAGATAGCGGTTCAGAAGTCCCGTTAAGCCCTACACTGATCCCCACAACGGATTCTTTGTCAGCCACTGTACAGGAAACAAAGGAAACTCCAAACATTGAAATGGGGAATATAGAAAAAGTGGTGGAGCACACTGAAACTAAAATCTCAGTTGATAAGAAGAACGTAGACGCACGCCTATCTTTGCCCGAAAAAGACAACCAGCCCTTAAAAGAAGGGAGGGGAGAAACAATACCGAAATCCGATAAAAAAAATCTCCAAAATAAAGATAAGTGTGCAGTCGAATCTTGTATGCAGACAAACGTGTTTGGAACGGAAGATAATGCGTCTGAGTTACCTCCTGTGCTAGTTGAAAAGAAAGTCAGAATAAACTCAGATAAGGATAAAACTACCCATGTACCTCCTCCCAGTCCCATGGCGAGAGACAATTTGATGGAAATAACCGAAGAGGACGAAGAAAAAGAAGAGGCGGAGTGTAAATTATCAAATGAAAAGGACAACGATGTGCTTGTTTTCGGAGAGAGTGTTTTGAAACGTTTGTCGAGTCTTGTAGAATCACAAGGCGACAATAATGAACTCGAAAGGAGATTTCAGCATGATTTCGATGAAGACGAAGACGAAGAAATATGTGGTAAGCAAACTTGTTTAAGTGTGTTGGATGAAATATGTGATATGGGAGAAAAGTTTAAAAAAGAAAATGCATCCAATCAGAACGTAGAAAAAGACATCCCTTTAAAAGAAACTGTTAATGGCAATGAAGCAGATGTCTTACCAGCTTGTGCTAATTTAATCAGTGAAGGTATCCCAAAATCCAAAACCCAATCCCCCGTTCAAAAACGACCTAGTATACCGTGTGAATTGCAGTTAAAAGACTGTGAAAATCCAAAGACAGACTCCCTACCGTCTACACAAAACTCACTCGAGAACCAAAATTCGGAACCCAAGAGAGACTCCCAACAGATAACCGAAGTTATTAACTCCTATAGTGATGTCATTACTCCAACTAATTTATCAAATTTAGAAAATCTACCAAAGCCGGACACTTCAAATGTGATGTTAAATCCCACTGGATTAGTGCTAAAAGAGCTTCGTAGTTCAAGCGACGAAGAATTTCATTCTCCATTACGGAGATTTAGTGGCGATGAACTTAGGATTCCAGCAATAGAGGAGACCTTTAGTGAACTTATGTCCGTAAAGAATATTTTACAAGATATGGAGGATAAAACTCCAACGGCCGAGGTCCTACCGAAGTTTATCGGCCCAGAAGGAATAGCCTCGCCCCCAAGCTATTTGATAGGCAGTGGTCGTCGATCGCGCATGTCACCGGCCATAACAGAACGTACAGAATCCGAACTGGATATGTCCGAACAGCTTGATAATGTCAGCATAGGCACTGACAGCATGTATGCTGACGACGAAGACGACGGCTGTGAATTAATTTTTAATAAAACGTATACCGAGGATAAGGGTGCAGAGTGTTTAGTTAGCTGTACGTTTTACAATACGTCTCATGACTATGATAGTGATGAATTCTGGGCAGATAGTTCAGCTGCCGAGGACCATTATAAAGTTGTAGAGAGTTCCGCTAACGAAGCCTCGTGTACCTTCTATAAAGCCAGAAGTGAAATGCATGATATACAGCGTCATCTACAAGATCTACGACGCCAAATGGAACATTTACAGGAAGATGTTCAAACAACGACTTTAACACCTACATATTCTATGGGGTCTAGTGAATGGCGACCTATAACAGAATAAATCGAATCTGTTGTTTCTGATTATTTATTTGGAAGACTATTGTTCATCGCTAAACATTATAAATTGTAATCCACAAAGCGATAGAAATCAACTGGTTGTAGTGAGAATCGTAAAATTGTGATGGATTAACATTTATTTTCGTTCTAATGTCCAATTATTTTATAAGAACTGCTACGAGATTCTTACTTTTGGGGGTATTTATGCTCTCAGGTTTTGACCGGTTTAAGTTTTGTCTAGAACTTATCGGACTAATATTTCCAAAAACAAAACTGAGTGTTAAATTTGAAACGATTCAAACTTATTGCTTGGGTTTGATGCATGCATTACTAATACAAAATGACATCTAATTGAGAAGGGAAACCAGGTCCCAAATTGGCTTTTAATTTAACGTTTCAAACTTTATCTTGTTAAATTACTGACTAGCTGTGGGATATGCTATTTGACTTTATTGTGTTCACTTTAATTTCAGATAATTAGTTTAGGCACATGTTATATCTCGTTATGATATGAAAATGTGGTTCTTTGACGGAGACAATTGTTTGTCGAACATTGTTGCTGATTTGTAAACTGAATAATTGAAGGTTGGGGGGTTTATTTTCAAAGACTGAACATCTAAGGCAACGTCTAAAGGTTTTATTGAATTATTGTTTTTAAATACGAATGGTGTGCATTTCCTATAAAGGTTATGTTACACGATGCATGGGGGACTAATTATAAGATGTGTAAACCTACTTGTATGAGTAAATGACTACTAAACGATTTATAAATTAATAAAATTAATGTCCCCACGATGCGTGTTTCATAAATTATTAAATTAATTTTTATTTTAACTAAATTGAAAATGTTCCAAGAAAAAGCTAAGTAACCACAAAGCACAAGATTATTTGCCAAAGAATGTTTTCGACGTTTCCTTAGTCGCTCAGAAACCTCAAATTTGTTAGATTTTACGCATTTCATTTATGAGAGCATCCATGAAAGCGAAGATTTGATATTTTTTTTTTCTTCTAAAATAGATGGATTGGTAGTTTTCTCTTTTAAGTTTTGGTATGTTGTAGTGATGGTTGCATTAAGAAGGAATCACATTTCATGCATTTTATTAGCATATGTAAATATATTATTGCACTTGTCATGCACTTTGACACTTGGTCGTTTGCAGTTATACCATATGGATTAAACTATAAACAAAACTTGAACGCAAAAAACAAAATAATAATCAATTCTAATAAACAATCAATATCCAACTTCTGAATCATCAAAATTTTGTCCATATAAAACTGGTAGCACGTGCTCTTTAAGCATAATTGTCAATTTGTAAAAAAAATGCAAAAGAACATCTTTTAGCAATATAGTCAATACTTTTAACAAATACCTCTGTATATAACGCAGGTAGTTAATGGTAATAACTGATTGATATCTTAATAATAGTATTCAATACATGTATAAATAACCAATAAGTACAAACAAAGACCATTAAAATACGTTAATATGACAGTCATGTTATTTTCAAGTATTAAAGAAGGCAAGTCTCTAACTCAGTATCATCCACAGTCTTCGACATTGCAAATACGTCTTTGGTCAATTCTACATTGATGTTGTTATCTTACCGTGAAAAGATGGGCTTCGGATATCCAATATTTAAGACACAATGAAAATTTTAAAATTGGCACACGAATCGCGTGCCAGATACTTTCGAGTGCCAGATACTTTTGTAATGACGCGACTCGATGAACGAGGCTAAACATAACCTACAGGAGAATACTACCGCTGTAGACTGGAATAACCAGATGCCATAGACTGCCATTCAATTTGGACTCGTCGCATATGTCGCCGAATATAACTGATTAGAAATTATGATAAAAACAGAAACGATTGAATGTAAATTAGTTTATGTACATTCATAATACATTACTATATGCGTTGCGACCTATTTGTGTCCATTTCTAGGTGCCAAAGAATAGAGATTTGGCCCCTTTAACTATAGTAATGTATAAATATTGATTATAATATTAATATCTATTATTTTGTATCAAATCAGCTGTTACCTATCTATAGATATGTTAGCTCGGGATGAATGCCGATCTTTAGCTAGACATTATAATATTTGAGTATTTTTGTTTTTATTATAATTGTTTAGTGCTGTAAGTTTATTTAATATGTAAATAAATGGTTTTATAAAGCGTTTCAATGTATATTTACGAAGTGGGCAAAATGGTAACGTGTGCAGTGCAATGGAGAGTAACATCTATTTCTAAAATTCAAAGGGGTATGTTATATTTACGCGCGTATGGAATTACGCCCCTTCATCAAGTAGAACATCCCTGTGAAACGAAAGACGTAGACGGCCTTTACTTCAAAGTCATGAAACTAATTATTTAAACAATCCTACGTTCACTTGATTTTTCGAAAAAACAATCTGAACCCTTTTAAATTCTGTAAGTGGCATTTAGTAATTGAACGGTATGCTACAAACAACGCGAAGGTTCGTCTTTCTACTACTATAAAACGAATAGTTTTCAGCACTCTCGGTTACATTTCATATTACTTTAAGACGACCACGCAAACCTGTGTATATCCGATTTCATATTGTCCAATAAGTATATAGTAATCAGTGCTAAATCTATTTATGTATATACATTTCATATTAATAGTTTGTGCTGAAGGATTCCAATAGACCCTCTTTATAAATAACGTTCATCTTTACTAAAGGCGCACCCTTTGCCTCTACCTGGTGGGGGGAAGTCGAACTCAAAATCGTAGGCTCATGCTAATTTGTCCATCTGTCCCTAGCTCTCTGTTGTGGGCTGAAAATACCGTCTTGGTATCACAAGATTTAAATTTAAAGATAAAGATGTTAATTAGATACAAGTAGAAACTTGTGTTATTTCGAACTAACGAGATCGTTGGTAGAAGGTGAAACTCATGGACAGTAGATTAATTTATTGCTCTACACGGTTTAATATATAATTAAATCGCTTAAAGAGACATTTATTTTACATAATCGTCAAATTCTGGTTTGAAAATACGATGACATCGAATAACCTTAATCCTAAAGGATAATGTTGTCCACCAGTTTTACATAGATTAAACAGATTCCAACTATAAGTACAGATCTATACTGTGGTTGAACCGTAATGCCTACCCGCAAGTTCCGGGTGAGACTATATATTGTCTTCTTCAGAAGACGAGGAGTTGTAAAATGGAACTGAAAGGATGTCAGTTCGAACCTGAATATCCAAACCAAGAAAGTATTTTTTATTCACATGGATACCATGACCAGACATTCTCGACAACATGTTCATGTGGATATTATTGTTAAAATGAATGAAATCGTGTAAACCAAACAGCCTTTTCACTCACCATCTTCTATTTTCGCCACACTAATGCCGGGAGTTTCCTTTGCCTTTTTACGATGGCGCCTTACTAGTGGTTCCATTGATAAAATTAAAGCAGTAACAAAGGCAGTAGCACCGAGAAACTGATAGGCAGCAACATAGCTCCCTGTCACATCCCGTAATAGACCTGAAAATAATATTTTGAATTTTAAAAGCCATATAAAATTGGAATAATATTAATAAAATCCTGATATAGTATAGCGGTTGCCTGTCGGGTTATCGTGTCTATTCCGGTATCCTGTATGAGATATTATAAACGGTAAACCTCTTTGATCTTTGGGGTATATTCTATGCCCGGAATAACTTGCGGTCTGAAAGTTTGGATATATACAGGGAAATTTGGGGTTATTCTTCTGAAAGTTTTTCTTTAAACCTGTAACAGGTTATTCTTCCAGGGTTATTTTTCCATAAGAAAACAGATATAAGGATTTTCTTACGAGAATTCTGGGATATTCCCATTTTGCGTACATGTAAACATAGACGGTTTATAAGAAAGAAAGACTTCAGAAAATAATCTGGACAGAAAAGCCCCGTCCTTCCGGCCTCGCTTTTTCTTTTCTCGGGTTATTTTCTTCAGTCTTTATTTCCCCAGCATAACCACAGTCTCGTACTTTATCCTACACCTATAACCTAATTGGAAATGGTAATATGTATGAGTGCAAACTAAATGAAACAGAGCACTGCGGTAAATTGATAAAACACGTAATATACCCCTATCCCTTCATGTTAAGATTATCGCATAAGAGTTTGATTACGAGAGAGAGACGAGAGAGAGAGAGTTTAACGTCAACTCGACACAAACTAGGTCATTTTGGGACTAACACATGGTTCAATTTTATTTCAATAATTCGCTTGCGCGTAGAGGACCCGGAGAAAACCCACGAGGTTGGACAGGCGACCCTACTCCTTGTCACGTACAACCAGGGAATAAAAACCCCGTCAGTTGACTGAATGACAGACGTATGATACAGCGCGCACATGCTAACCATTCGGCCATCCAACCCCTCTTGATTACTAGCAATACGTATATAAATAAAAAATAACTGAAAACAACATGATTACTTGTAGGTAATCGAGGGATCGAAAGAATGTAAAACTTGCTATGATGTATTTGATAAAATCATTCTTCGTTACCTTTTAATGCAAATTCCTTGCGTTATTGTGTCACCTTGGGGAGATTTGTTAAACTTACCTAATAATGGAAACATTGTTACGCTAGATATTCCACCATACAGCTGCACAAAACCTAACACAGGACTTAATTTAGCTAATCCCACTATATCTATCAATATGACAGTTAATAACGCAAAATAAGCACCAGAAAATAACCCCATTAATACTGTAAACACCACAAGCCGGGGAAAATCGGTACAAAATTCAACAAATTGAAAAGAAACCCCGAGAATAATCAAAGATATAATCACAATATTCTGTTTTCTTATCCAGTTTTTATCAGCTATTATTCCAATGATAAATCTACTACAGAGATCAACTGCTGCTAACACCATGAGGAGGTTGGAGGATTGAGTACTGTGCAGACCCATCTCTTTATTTAGAGGCGGTAATAAAACGCCACCGGTACCAACTGAAAATGGTCCAAAGAATGTAAAAGCTGATATGATCAGAAAACGACAGTCTTGGAATAATCTGAAGTCAAACACTTTGATGAGCTTTAGAAAAAGTCCTGGAATGGATTTGGTTACTATTTCACTCGAATCCTTTTCCTGGTCCACGATCCTTCGATTTTGAACATTTAATTGTAACACACTATCTAAGAGTATAACTTTGTTAATATGAGAAACACTGGCCGATTTATAAATAGAATTGTCCAAATTTTTATCTAAAGGAAATCTTTTATCGACAACAATATTATTTTCGCTGTTGCTTAATATTTTGGGTGCCATAAAGGTTGAGCTGCCGGCAACAGGATTTAAGCCATAAAAAGAACCAATATCCGCCACTGCGAGTGTAGCATCAATGGTGTCAGTTTCAGAGCGTTCCTCATCTTTTTGCATTTCTTCAGGATTTAACGGACGAAATAAACAAGCAAATGGAATAATATTAAACATTAGACCACCGTATATTAATAAAGCTCCACTATAACCTTCTGTATCAAGTAGATAGTTTAACATAGGGGCAAACAGCATACCGCCTAAACTTGATCCACACGTGGCAAAAGCGGTGGCAAATGAACGGTATTTATTAAAATATTGACCTAATATTACAAAGGTTGGACTGAATACCATTCCATGAGCAGCACCTGAAAAATTCAAATTAGAGGAGGTTAGCATTCACTTATTACAAATTATGTTGTTTTGGGAATCAAATAATTGGGGAAACCCATGAGGTTGCCATACGACCCTACTCATAATACTTGAATAGATGACGGACTGTATGATCAACAGCCTCCACCGCCCCCACAAGCTAACAACAAGACTTGCTTCATCAACTCCTCGAATCGTTATGGTTATACGTATTTTTTTATGTTAATCTACTTAGAGTGTCGAGACAAACAAATGTTTCGACACATTCCGTGGAATAAAAAATGCATAAAAAAAATCAGTTATATGTGTGACGTGGTACCAGGAGTTTTAGAATTGGTGCGCATGTTCGGACTCGTGCGGACTGAGTTAAATGAGAGTTATTGTCTATCAAATAAAGCTACATTTCATTTGGAGACTAACTTGTTCTATATTTAGTACGGTAACAAGAAACCCACTAGGTTAGGATCAACACCATTACTGGTGACAGGACGAAATCTACAACGGAATGGTCTAGCACAACCCAAACCACCCAAAGTCATTATTAGATTAACCCCCGATACATTGTTACGTTTATCTCATTAGCAGAAGCAGACTGAAAACCCCCAGTAGGTGAAGTAGGCATCGATTGTCATAATTAATATGTGAATTCATAATGTCCGTTTTAGTTAAGCATCGTGGAAATATAAGCAAAGCGTTTCCATAAGAGCAGACTGGTATGTCCCCATGTCAATTTAAGCAGGAGGTATTTTTTTTTTATATATTTCCGATTGAATTACACTTCCCAGTCTACATATAACACGTGTTCGTGACTCTACGATCATGTCGTCCACGGAGTGGTTACATAAAGTGATAATGTAATACAAGCCTTTATATAATATAATAACATATATATATGTCAACCAAATGTCAGCTCTCACGGTGGAGATTTCGGGCGTTCGTCGGTCATGGTTAAATTGGACACGTGATATTACCGGTCTTGTCCTTGAAAGACAAACTTTTGACCTTTTGATGAACTTATATTCTATACATGAACTCTAGTGTATATTAATATTATATATTAATATACACTACAGTTCATGTATAGAAATACTATTTTCCAAGGACTATTTAACAAAGAAAACTTTAAATATTTCTGATATGACCTCTCTTAATTTCATATATTCAGAAATGCAAGGAAATAAAGTATTTTCAATGAGCGTAGGTAGGTTTGCCAGACTGCGAATAAAATCTCACCAGGGGTGTTTAGATGGTTACAATGAGAGGGTGGGATAGAGGAAGTAGATGGGGTGATGGGGCGAGCCGAATACCATCCAATCCGAAAACAACCTTTGTAGAGCGCTTACGGCATTTCAGTGACAGTGGCTAAACCTCCACTAAACACAATCTGATTAATCAAAAACACACTTTTATGGATAACAATTACTATGGTTTATTTCACAGCGACGTTTCAACAAGGTTTCACAAGTCGTTATCAAGCATATACACGATTTGTGTATAATAATGCTTGATAACGACTTGTGAAACCTTGTTGAAACGTCGCTGTGAAAAAACCCATACTAATTGTTATCCATAAAAGTGTGTTTTCGATTATGTTCCAATTACTAAATGCCATTCAAAGAATACAATCTGATTAAAATCCAGATCTATACTTCGTTTCGTTTTATTTTTACTTTCGATGGCCTACACTACATGATTAAAATGCAGACCTATATTTCGTCTCGTTTTTTATATTTTCGATGGCCTACACAACATGAAGATCTGACCAGTTGTTTTGGGGGGGTCGCGTCAGAGGTCATAAATGCGGCTTTTGATCCCATGACGTCATACATTTGATTAACCAATCAGCATTGATGTTTATAGTGGATTACCCACAGTTCCGTGCATCTCACGCTTAATGTTCGCCGTAACAAACCGTTTCATTGGCTAATCCCTCACATCATCCAGAACACGTCAATGATAACAACTCTTCAAGATCCAAGTGTAGTAAAGACAAGTAAAACGAAATTTTGAACTATAAAAAACGAAACGAAATAGGATCTACGTTTTAAACAGATTGCACGAAACACTGATATACTCTGAATTTCTATGATGTTCCTCTGAATAGTCCAGAAAGTTTTAAACTATATCACTCCAAATCTGACGTGCCCAACGTTTATAAACCAACGTGATAAGGCAATGGATGTGTGTAAAATAGAGGCGTGATTCATAAATTGGACATGGTCCCCAGTAAGATGGAAGGTTGGGCGTTTAAAATATGTTTTGCAACAGGGACAATGATTTTAAAGGGCTGAAATTTCTGCTAAATATCATGATTTCCACGTACCTGCTAATATACACTCTGTCAGTATAACATAAGTTATGTCAGGTGCAAACACTTTTAAAATAACATTGATACCATAAATAAATCCCCCTACAGCTACTACTGATCGAACAGTTATAAATTCTAATATAATATTATGTACCAATAGAGCTGTAATATAAATACTAATATAAATACTAATATAATATTATGTACCAATAAAGTTATAAATTATACTCATATAACACCATTACCATTACTGATATAAATGCTAATGTAATATCATGCTTTGGTCCAATAAAGATATAATATTAAAATATTAATACAAACAACGCTATAGTCTGACCGACTATTGGCTTTAACCTTTAGGAGACATTATTAACCTGGCCTTATAAATGACAAGACGGATCATCTATTCAAATGCAAAGGTGACAATTTACTCAAATGGGATAAAACGTGTATAGTTACGCCGTTGGAAATGTCACTAGTTAGTAATAAATGGCAGAAGAAATTAGACCCTTGATTTTCAACCAAGAGCCAAGAAATGAAAGAAAAAACCTTCCTACTTAATTAATACCTCCTACTTAATTACTGGGATAAATTAATATGCATTGACATTTATTGAAAATCTATAAAATACTATATCAAAATTACAATTGCACACAGACACGATAACATAAATATGGAATCATATGTTCCGTGTGATGTGGCATAGTTAATACGTGTATTTCATTTCCATTCAGTTGTAAATTATTTGAATAAAACAATATTGTGTACGGATGACAGGTTAACTAAAGGAGTTTCCTATAGCGCTCTTGTGTATGACAGTTCAGCTAAAATAAATGTTCAATATTTGCACAGAAAATATATGTGAGCATATTCTTCGTGATGAAAACCAATGGGGTGGGGTAAATTTCGACAGCTACAGTCAGCACAGTTATGAAATCCGTTTGTAAGTGTTACGAAATGTTTGTTTTGTAGAATATAGGTTGGTAACATGGTTAATATTATACTGTTACCTGTTATAGATTGTACTCCACTTCTAAACCCCATAGTTAAAGCTGTCGTCGCTGCAGATGTCTCAAATCTTTCTCGGTATTCCACAAATAAAATTCCAAACGTTCTTATATAACCCATACATATGGTATTGGTCATGAAACATGCTGAAAACCCCAAAAACAAATCAACAAAATTCTAAGCATTAAGAAGTATTTGGATTGGTCGATCATGGAATTTTACAAAGTTAACTTCTGTTTCCTACCTTAAACACACATTAGGCCCATGCAAGAGCTAAATCTGCCTATTGTAGGGAAATGTTATCTAAATTTATAATTAGACATCAATTAATTCATCCAGACCATAATCAACTCTCGATCCGATCTGCTTCTGAACGCTCATTGATGATTAAATCATAGAGTTGCCAGGCAACGAAACATACGCTCTCCGCAGCTAAATCGTCCGGGCGGTCGACAAGGGTTGTTGCATATTTATTCTTTTATAGGTAATTGGGGGCCTTTACAAGACAGTTCCATTCAGATCAGATTATAATTTTTGTCGTTTGAGGGTTCACAAGGTTCTACAAACTGAAACAAGTGCCTCAACTCTGGAAGTAGTCTACAGAAATTGTTGAAATTTGACAGGCTTTTTCATTTAACTAATTTAAATAATGCACATAAATGTCATACAGATGGATGATCACTTTGGTCATTCAAACGTTCACAAGGTTCATAAAGTAAAACAAGGGACATAACTCTAGAATTTATTGACAGAAATTGCTAAAATTCAATAGATCTCTGTTTCACAAATTTAAATGATTCATATAAATTTCATACATATTGGATGATAACTTTCATCAATCGAGCATTAACAAGGTTGAACAAAGTGAAACAAGGGCCATAACTCTAAAAGTAATTATTGTAAATTGCTGAAATTCAATAGGCTTCGTGGTTTCACTACGTTAAATAATGCATATCAATTTCACAAAGATCGGATGATAACTTTCGGCATTAGAGCGTTCACAAGGTTCAATAAAGTGAAACGAGCCATAATTCTAGACGTAATACACGGAAATTGCTGAAATTCAATAGGATTGGTTTTTTTTACTAACTTAAACGGCACATATAAATTTCATACAGATCGGCAGATAACTTTAGAGGTTAGAGCGTTCACAAAGTGCAAAAAAGTGAAACAAGGGCCATAACTTTAGAAGTAATAATGGAAATTGCTGAAATTCAATAGGGTAAATTTCATACAGATCGGCAGATAACTTTTGACGTTAGAGCCTTCCCAGGATGCAACAAAGTGAAACAAGGGCCATAATTCTAGCAGTAATTGACGGAAATTGCTGAATTCAATAGGCTTCTTCGTTTCACTAATTTGAATCATGCATATAAATTTCACAAAGATCGGGTGATAACTTTTGGACGGACGGGCGGGCGGACCGACGGACGGACGGGGACGACGGCAATATACGTCCACATTTCCATGTGGGCGTATAAAAATTGGATAGTCTTGACTATGTTTTTTTTATCATACCGACTTTAGTAATGAGGCTAAGCCTAAAATTCAATCACTAAATTCTCGGTTCAGAATGGACCAGTTTGACTGAAATTTTCAGCAAATTCCCTTTACATTATCTAGTTTTTAACTATTATAGTGAGAACTGCCAGCTCTTTATCTAATCTCCCATAATGTATCTTTACATTCTAAGTACAAACGTTATATGCACGACGGTTTAAATTTTATTATGAAAGACACTTTCTGCTGTTCTATACCTTATTCTGGGACTGGGCAAGAGTATATGCATTATTATTTTCACAAAAAAAAAATCCAACAGTACAGACAATACAAATAAATGTATATTCAACTGAAATGACCGTATTAAAATTTGAGAAAGTGATGATAGTGGATATTCGGAATACAAACTGTTACAATGTAATATGTCGTTAGTTCGACCCAACGATGTCTATTGGCAAGGGTTAGGGTCGTATGCCAATGAACGCAATAAAAATATAAAATGCTAGTCCGGAAATGATTTAGTTGTGTTGAGTGGTTTTGATGATTAACTTTTCATTATATCTAAAGCAAGGAACATTGTATGTCGAAAGATACTTAAGTGTAATCGATTGAATAGTCAGTAATAAAATGCACATTCAAACAATACAATTTTGTTGTGGTTTTTTTTCTTACAATATAAAAAAACAAAACAATTAAAGCCATTAAGAAATTCTTACCAAACATAATAACCCATGCCCAACCATGATCTATAGGTGATTCCTTTCCTTTATCAACTTTACAATTATCATCAATTAGCGGCGAACTTTTGTTGATGTTTTGTCCCTCCATTGGTAGCATCACTGGTCTAATAATAGATAGAGAAACTGGTTCAGTGTGTATATAAACAACACAACGTTTAACTTCCCTTCTAGCGTAGCGTATTCTCGAATCAGTATCACACAGTTGGCTTGTGGGCAATTAGAATAGGTTTAGTTATATACTTGTGTATTCTAATTATGTTAACATATTCTAAGATCATACTTAATATCCGACAGCTTATCTATAAAGAAATGCGTTCATGTTAATATCGTCAAGCCTACGGTTAGGGTATGCTGTATTTAAAGACAAATATTTAAAGAGATATAATCACTAGAAAACATATTTCATTTTAGCAAGGTTCTTCTTTTTTTTTGTTTATTGTATTTTGTTTTGTGTCTGACGAATGCATCGGGTGACCGTGTAAACCAAGTCATTTTTGTCACAGAATTTCTAATACGATATCTAAAACAAATCCCTGGTTTCCTATAGAGATTCCGTGTAGAAATACTACCACTGCCACTACTAAGTAAAGTTCATCCGTGTCTTTAAACCATCTACAAATGGAACATTTTACCATGATACACCCGCATGTCATACCTCGAAACTATTATTAGGGAAGTGTATACAGGAGTCACGTGTATGTTTGACCTATATGTAGGTTATAACTTCTTACTTACTTTTTACTTACGCTCTATCACTAACCGTCGTGGAAGGCCGAATGTTTAGCACATGCGCGTTGCGCTGTATCATACGGTCTGTCATTGAGTCAACTGGCGGGGTTTCGAATCCCCGGTTGTACGTGGCAAAGAGTAGGGTCGCCTGTCCAACCTCGTGGGTTTTCTCCGGGTCCTCCGGTTTCCTCCCACTGCTAAAGACCCCTACGCGCAAGCGAATTATTGAAATAAAATTGAACCATGTGTTAGTCCCGAAATGACCTAGTTTGTGTCGAGTGGACGTTAAACCCCATTTCTCTCTCTCTCTCTCTCACTAACCGTCGTATATTGACTTGAATTGAAAAAAGGGCCATATCGGCATTATCAGAATTCTAGCCTACTACCAAACAGAGCCTCGTCTAAGGATTTGGTCGTGCGCGGCAATGTCGGTACCTATTTTTCTTTTTCTTTGTATAGTCATATTGAGGCCATCAATTACCTTAATTGGAATTTACTTCTGTAACGTGGGACGTTTCAACGACTTAACATAATAATATATTATGCAAGAGCTAAATCTGTCTATTGCAGGTCTTTCTTTAGGCCTGAAATGTTATCTAAATTATTAATTAGACAATTAATTAACCTATCCAGACCATAATCAACTCTAGATGGCATCGCTAGCCTGTGATCTTTAGTAGATTATGAGCCGATTTACTGCATAACTTTCCTTCACGATTTAACGATTAAATGGATAACCGAGACTATGTTGTGTATCGTACTGACTTTAGTAATGATGATCAAGTTTAGCGGAAATTTAAACCGCTTAGTTCTCGGTTCATAGTGGATCAATTTGAATGAAATTTTCAGCAAATTGCTTTTACATTATCTAGTTTTTAACTATTATAGTGAGAACTGTCAACTCGTTATCGAATCTCCCATAATATATCTTTAACAGTCTGTGATAAAATATAAGCATTGGTATCTACAATGGGTATAATCCTACGTGGAAATCATATTAATGTTTATGGGTAACCCTATATGAATACCCTGCACTGTTCTGGGGCTCCATGGGCTTTTATGTCGAGGGAAAAATCTGACTTACCTTTCCAATGTCTAAACACTTATTTCATCAAACAAAATGAAGTTTAAACGACGTACGTTTTTACACTGCTTTACGGGGCTCCGTACTAAATAATATATAATTCTTTTAAATTGGTCTTCTGTCATGTTGCCCATGTAATGATAAATCTCTCATAGAGCAAACATTCATTTTCTTAAAAGAAAAAATCAAATATTTACCCCACAACAACCGTTTAATACAAGGTTGAATGTATATATCGGCTCTACCCAGTTTTGGGATGGCATAATTTCGATCAGCATATAAAAGAAAAGCCCCAGATGTCACAGGATATACTTTGAAACACGTAGGTTGAACTGCAAAGCAATTGCCTATTGACCGTACTTGAAAGTTGCTATAAGTCTTGTTCACAACCCGCCGTACGTGTTTTGATACGCACGGGACGAAGGGTTTGGTGGCTCGCAGACCAGCCGCAAGAAACTGGGCGAAAGGTTTGTAAATGGTACGGGCACACTACTTGTCATGTACAGACTGTACCTCTGACTTATTCAAAGCGTGGGAAAACACACCTGAAGCAATCGCCTCAGAAACCCCTCTCTGGCCATTGCTGGATCGGCTTCTGATACTTGAGTTTTTGAGGGAGTGTGTCTATTGTTCCCGTTCAATCAAATCTATCCCAAGTACAGCAACATGACAGCCCTTCGTTTAATCTGGGATCTTCCCTAAAATTTTGGACAATGATTTAAGGTATTATAAACGGGGAAAGTATTGTTTACACTGTATTCGTTTTGATAGCCTCGTTTGTCACGCAATTAGTTTTTCTGCAATATTCTGTTATGCACTGGTTAATTGGGAATAATAAAATCGCGAGTCATGACGTAACGTTATGTAAACATATTTTGGAGCTCTGTTTAAAGCGTAATGATATTGTTACGCAGTTAGTTATTGGTTGTTAATCGGACTATTGCCCAGTCATAATTTGGAACAGAAATTTGCTTCCATTACAGCAGTGTTAAGTGGGATTAACTCTAATCAAACGAAACACTGCATGGTTTCAACTGCAGTTTCGTCAGGAAGCATCTCCATGAGTATGCCAGAATGTCAAATGTTCTCAACAACATGGCGTGCGTGGAATGTGCGGTAGTTGAAAATAAGCTGGGGTCTTGTCATCCCACGAAGGCTGTATGGCTTCATCATCGAAGTTCGCAATGGGAGGGAGAGGGGCGTCATCTCCCACTAAAAAGTAGGGAATGGCCCTGTCATCCCAGGGTAATGGTTCTGGAGGAAGACCACAAAGTGGTCAATTACCAGGGCTTGATCTGTTGAAGACCTCCACAGTCCGACGCCAACCCATTGGCACCAACACACGTCCACAAGACCTTGTATTCCTCATCTACAAGACCCAAGAGTATTGTCGAAAAAGAATCCTTTTAATTGTCGTACTCTGACCCACACTTATCGTGCATCTTAATACAGATGTGTTTCCGTCAATGACTCCTTCACAATGGTGATAGTTTTACTGGTGGAAAAATTAGCTGCCACCTCCAGCCATATGTCGGCAGTCTCAGGGATGCTAGATAGTTCATCTCTGCATTCGTCGTATATAACACGACACACCTCAGATACAAAAATGCAAATGGTATTTGATGCCACACGAAATGACAACTCAAGTGACTTGTAACTATTCCCTGTAGCCAGGAATCTTATGGTAATAGCCAGTTTGAGTCCGAGCTCAAGTGGGAGGCGGCTTCTTGGACCCTTGGTAATGGTGGTTGTCACATGTCTGAAGGCATCCGCATGTACGTCACAAAGTCTTTTCGCTACTCCCTCTTAAGCTCTTGAATAGGTTGTGATTCTGACCGAAAAGTCACGGCCGTTCAATCCATTGGCGTACCCACCACCGCCCTTGTCGTATCGCGTTTCGACGTCGATATTCTTGTATTAGCAGGGACAATATGGCCCCATGCCCTTCCTTCGCTTCTAAAGTTCAACAACCTTAGTCGTGTTTGTATTTGTGCTTTCTGCAGCCATACGTGCTAGACAATCTCCCATGTATATCGTGCAGGTGTTGTGCACCGATTGCACACCAGGCACAGAGGTTGTATGTAAGATGTATACTCCTGACTCGCGGGGCAGTAAGTCGGGAGTACTTGTGTAGTCCAATTCACATCACCCGTACAAAGACCGTGCGCCTGAAGTTGTCTTGCTGTCATCTTAAAGCACCTATTAGCAATGCTTCTCACTTGATGCACGCCTACTACAGAAGTACGGACCTCGTATACGTACTGTATGCGTTCGTGATTTTTCGTAAACTGCCCGTAGTAGGACGTACGGCGGGTTTTGAGCTAGGCTTAACTCGGATAAGAAATTTTTACATTTCATTTCATACCAGTTTTTTTTTAAATCTAGTAAAACTAACCTGGCTACAACCTTTTGTATAACATCGCCATTCTACCAATCGACTTATACTATTACTGAATTATAAATCGATATTTAAAAAGCGGTGGCCTAGTTTGTAGATGAATAAACACAATAAGCGTAATATATAGGTTGTGATACCGTGTGTGTATTTCATTTTTCTTGTACTACATAGTACATGGAAGGGACAACACAAAAAACGAACAATAGAAAATGGGAAATAGAACAATAAATGACCCCTTTTCTTCCGCATATTAATTACTTTTACATGTACATGTAAATATAGATATTATAGATCGTTTTATTTTTAGTGAAGATTGATAAAAGTTTATTGGGTCTAAGAAGTTCGTAGAATTTGGGATTAGCACAGACACTCTTCATCTGGTCACTCAGGGTCACCACTATTCAAGGCGAAAATTAATTTTTAAAGAAAGGAACATCTTTAAACTGCCTGTACATATAAAATCTACCATTATAACGTTACGCATCAGTCTCCCCTATGCCATAATTTCGCGGGAAACGCGATCTGGACGATTAAATAAAGACATTGTAGAGTATATTTCATTTGCAAAGGCTCGTTTAGCAGTTCGATCATGCCCCGGGACCAAGAAATTGCCTCTGGGATGTCAATTAAATATTTGATTCAATACTTGAATTTAAATAAATTCGGACAAAGGGCCGAGGCTATTTACAACAATCCTCCGTATCAACTTTATGAAAGTGTAAGTGAAGAATTATAAATGACAAGTCTATAACGAAGTTGATTTAAAAGAATATAGTATTTAACGGTGTCAAAAGCAGCAGTTAAATCTAAAACAAGTAATAAAATGCCGTGATGAATATGAACTGAAAGTAAAATGTAATACGAACAAGTATTAAGACAGTCATAGTTACTGAAACTTTTTATAAGCAATCTGGAATTGTTCATTGCAGATTGCAGCTGGGCGGCAAGACAATTTCTCAAATATTTTCGAAATATAACTGGGGCTGGAGATTGGCCTATAGTTTTTATTTAGAACATGACAATCAGGAATTGGCCAAAGAAATTACAGCAGCAATCTAAAACATAGCTGGAACAGTATCAGAAGATATACACCGATTTAATAATGTTAGTAAGAACATGAGTGGGTAGAGGTCCGGCCGACTACACGATTTAGAAGGGGCAGCTTTTATCAGGTTACAGATTTAGAAACATGACGAAAGTTTGAAAATACAACAGAGTTATCGTAACCATGAGGATCGATGTCAACACAAGTGTTGGATTTACTGAGTTATTTTCTGATTTTATATATTTGATTGTGAAAGAATGATGAGAATGGGGTCTATCACTCCCTGAAAGAATTTTATAATCGCAATTTAAAATCCTGCCAAATAAATATTTCTGTTTCTTGCTACTGTTTTCATATGTCTCATAACAGAATTTGGATTTTTCTTCCTCTATCAACATTTTCCATGTGTAATACTAATTCCATATATATACTATAGGGGTTATTAAATAACCTCTATAATATATATTTGGTATTAGTATATGGTATTAGAATTTTAAGTTCTCTGAATGGTGCTCTACTTAATGTATGGAAAACAATTACCTACAGGTGGGTGACAATGAGAACTGGGCTAATTAAGTACCTTGCATTATTCTACAACTTTCTTAGACTAACTCACTGACAGTTCTGCCACCATCCAAACATCTGGTATAGTACAGATTAGTCCAATTTTAGAAAATAGGGTTGACGTAAGAGTGTGCCCAAATGAAGCACTTACCCAGATAGATGAAGTATTTAAACGTTTTATATAAATTAAAGAGCGCGATTAAATTTGCTTCAGACACCATTCGGTGTTCCTGTGGAGGACACCATACGGCGTTCCCAGAGGGACGTTCAACCGTCTCGGTTTAGAGGCCGGGATAGACATTTTTTGAGACCTGGCTAGAGACATCATGTATATCTATCTTGCCATCTTTAATACTCTAAGGTATAATCAGACATCATGTCCCCTGCAAGTACGAATAGAAAGACATACCTCTAACGTGTGTGTAGTTTCCAGTATATATCCTTTGTATTATGGATGTTATAAAGACATACAAACATAGTTATAACAACACAGTGTTCCAGAGTTAATTGATCATTAATTAAAAAGGTACACAAGTCTTGATTGGATACAGTGGCACACGACAGTGTCACCTTGTTCTTTTTGACGGTCGCGACCAGGACAGTGTCACACATTAACATTTTCTGACAATTTGATCTAATCAAAATCTGAGCCTGTAATCCCGCTCTTCGGTTTTTCTGTTTTCAAATAGTGCAATGTTCTATTAATGTTGAAATAAATTAGTCAGGTAAAATATAAAACGAAATATGTTTATACGAATAAAATACATACATTACTGTATTACATTCTTCAACCGCTCTTAATGTCTGCGTTTCTGTAATAAAGGGGAATAAATCTACATTTATTCCAGTTCACCATAAATCCTTGAACTCACGCAGTCGATGAAGCTAACCGTTTCATGAACCCCTGATTCTACTCACCATCATAGGCATTTATTCTTGTGGCGAGTCCACTTGCTCTTGGTCTATTTTGCCGAATTTTTAGGGGTGGGGTGGTATTGTTGCGTGGTCAAACGCGAGCGCTTCAGGTCATAAGGGCTGTCATTGAGTTAGGTGGTATAATTTCGATCCTAAGCATGTACGTCACAAGGAGTAGGGTCGCTTGTCCAGCCACACGGGTCTTCTATGCGTTCTACGGTTTCCACCTTCGCACAAGTGAATAATTGAAATATAAGTGTACCTCAAATGACCTAGTTTGTGTCAAGTGGGCGTTCAACCATATTTCTCTCTCTTCACTTTGGCGAATTAGTCCACCGGAATTTGCATACTGATTACGATCTTTTATGTTTTATGATTATATTACCGAAGCGCCCATGTGGTTAAGAAAAACATTTTCTATTGAACATAGTTGATATGTTTGGGCCTTTTTTATTTAAGTAATCAGCTTGGATTACCCTTACATCAAATTTCATATAGCTAACCTTTAAACTTCCTGGTACAAGTAACTTGTGACATTCAATATTTTTAAATTGTTTTACTTATACTATTATGCGTTGAATTAGATTCATTGAATTTATTTCATTCGCCCTACTGCACATACTGACAAAAGCTATTGCGCAGAAATGTGTACATTATTATGACAACCTTCCATCTATACAACTCCCGTTATCTACGTTAATCTTAGTCTATCTGTGTTCATTTAAATAACATACTACCTATCTGGAGAGTGGGGGTCGATTTGTTATTGACAAGTGACGTGGTTTCGATTCCAAGCTTTTTCGTGGCAAAGAATAGGGTAGCCTCTCCAACCTCGTGGATTTTCTCAGGGGCCCCTGGTCTCGCCCCAGTGATAAAAACACCTATATGCAAGCGGATTATTGAAATAAAAATGTTCATTTACTCACGAAATGACCTAGTTTGTGTCGAGTGGGGGTTGCATTCCAATTTGTCATTTCTTCTTTTCTATATGTACCAGTAATTAATATCCTATAATAGTTCAGTGTTTAATAATTTATTTCCCTTAATTTTGTTTCGACTATTATGGTTGCCTACGGAATGGTTAGACCAAAGATATAACCCTGGTTTGCCACTTTACGAATAAAGTTATAGTGAAAAATAAAGACATTTCGGACCAATTCTGCTCTTGACTGTCCATGTCCATTGGTAATACATTGTTCTTGGTTGATCAGATTATATTCATCATTCATAAAGGGATAGAAAAGTATTTTAGTGAAAAGACCATAAACCAATCTGTTTCACAGAGATCTTTTAATATCTCTGTTACAGATGACTGTTTCGACACGTGACGTCACATCACGCGGCGTCAATCATTGGCTCAATAGCACGTGCATTGTTTACATAAGACGTTACTGATTCGGGCTAAATGGTGAATTTTACTTACTTTAATACCCATTTACACTAAATATGAAATGATTTTTACCTACAAACAATTCAAACGTCTTTATTTATTTTTCTAATAAATGAAAAAAATGTTTTAGAATTTAATTTGACTGAAGAAAAAAGTTAATATTTGGGACTCATTAAGTCGCATCGATGTCAACCTCATCAGTGATTGTAGCGGCCTAGCAAAAAATCACTGCTGATCAGTGTGACCATAAACGTAGCCAATGATTTCATTATGAGCTGAAAATTAGAACGACCTGGTTTATATATTTTACACTTAGCAAATATACTACCCTTGTCATATTTCATAATTATGTATTTTGACTACCAAAGATAAAAAAAAACCGCAATTAGGTCTGTTAAAGTCTACAGTAGTTAATCGCTGATTTCTAGCGCTGTAAGGATAGTTTGTTTTGACTATTTAATTTGTGATAGCTATATATAGAATGTATTACATTTTAATTAGTTTAAAATGAATATGCAAATAATGTTATCCACTAACCGCACGGTGTTTATTGGCTGTCTTGAGAACACACCCATGTCGCATACGTTGCACCTATTTGTTATAAATTAAGATGTGATGTGCGGTAACCCCGCTTCTATCTAAGAAGTCAGCAAAAAGCGGATGCTAAATTTTACTGAAGAGTTACAGCTTACGTTGAAGGGTTAAAGAAAAAGAATCTGGTAAGCAACATATTTTACAGATAGTATTTACACAGTTCTTTTACACAGGGAAGGCATGGTATCATTATTGTATCAGACAACATTTGATAATTAATGAAAGCTTTAATCTGGGTAAACAATAAAATTGACGATCTGTGTTGATCTGTTTAGGATAACAATCTGTTTTCATTGAAAAACTGACGTCTATAGACAAAGTCAGTGTGGAGATATACCCGATTTTGTGTTTCATTTCTCTGTACATACTGTGTGTTTCGCTGCAGAACGATCACCATTGAAAAAGTATCGTTCTCCCTCAGTACAGCATAAATTCAAAGTCATACGTTGCGCCATCTTTAGTTGTGGTGAAAACTAAAAATACACTAACGAAATTAATACCACAACATCTTTTAGTGCATATTAAATTATTGTTGTATAGTATTAGTTATACATTTGTTCGAAAACCTAATCATGATTATTTTTGAATAACTGCTACAAATCATGACTTCTTTATTTAAAATTATATACGAAATACTAGACTTGCCGCCTGTTAATGTCAAGGTGGTATTGTTTTGAACTTACTATCCATCAATGTATATCAAAGTGTGCTGACAAACTGGCAAATCTACCGGGGTTTTATTTTATACGGACATTCCTATGGCCGTTAGAACTCAAGTAGCCAGGCAATGATAGGATACGGTCAAACACCCCCATCCCCCCATTGTTACATCCATACATATATAACGTCTGTCACTATGACACATACAAATTTGGGCGTTACACTCTCATGTGTCATTTAGTCCAGTGGAAATCATTTGTAAACTATAATATTATAAAGGAAGAATCTCAGATAAGAATATCAGTCCAAAAATGGTTCCGTTCCGTTCAACATTTAATGCTCGCTATATAATAAGTCCGCCGTCATTTTATTGTGGGCGAGAAAATTTGACAGGCCTTCATATTTTAGCGAAAAATGCAAGTAACGCATCGTTACTTTAAGCACACAATGTATTGCTTATGTATTCACAACCCGTTTTCAAAATATATGTGCCTCCTTCACCAACATGTTTTGTCCTTTTCAAATTTATTTTCACTTTTCAAGTTCCGGCTGCCGTCCATAATCAACTTTAAATCACCTTTGTGAGGATGACAATCAAGTCTTAGCATATCTAAGAATGTGTTACATTAATCGTCTATATCGCAAACACGAATTACGTCACAACTCTCTCGCTCGCTCTCTCTCTCTCTCTCTCTCTCTTAAGCATAATTCATTAATTTCCTGGTCACGACAACTCTTCAAAATATGTAAATATGTTCTGCGTTATTTGCCAATCGTTAGCCAGGAGGACGGTTATTTTTTGAAAGGTTGGGTAAGCAACCTAAATATAGATCATCCTGAAAGGGATATAAACATTGGACAATCTGATTAAAACACAGATCCTATTTCGTTTTGTTTTTTATAGTTCAAAATTTCGTTTTACTTGTCTTCACAACACTAGGATCTGGAAGAGTTGTAAGAGTTAATGTGAGGGATTAACCAATGAAACGGTCTGTTACGGCGAGTTCTTGGCGTGTCATGCACGGAAATGTGGGTAAACCACTAGAAACGTCAATGCTGGTTGATTACTCAATGTCTGATGTCATAGGGTCAAAATTGCTCGTATGGCGCGACCTTCCCTTACAACCGGTCAGATCTTCATGTAGTCTAGTCATCGAAAGTATAAAAAAAAACGAAACGAAATATAGGTCTGTATTTTAATTAAACTGAAACATTGGGCAAGCTCCAAGGAAGCCTTTAAAGTCGATGGCTGTTATTTGTACGAGACAAGGAACCGCCTGTCAATCGTTGTGAATTATCATACTGCTAAAGACCCTTGGACATTATTTGTCAGTCCTGAAATAACCTAGTTGGTGTTGAATGGACGCTAGCCCCGCCCCTCCCCCTCGAGCCCTCCCTACATCAGACTTCATTTCACAAGTTAATCTTAAATGAATTATATAACGTCACCTACCAATGTATCCAGGTTTTTATTTCTTTACAGTGGATGAGTTTTACATCAGATTGAGTTTCGTGTATTATTATGATTACATCCCGAAATCTGAGATCAGGAAGACATAAACCACTATCCTTATGTTTCTTCAAAGTGACCTTTGGTATCATTTACACAATCTTTAAAAAAGCATTCTTAAAGTTTATACATTCAAAATAATCCATTAAAGCAGTATACAACAGTTTATTATAAATAGCCTAAATAAAACGTTACAAATAAAGTATAGGTGTCTGTTTAATGGTGATTTCATTTATTACTGTTTTATCATTTTGTATGTATATATTTGTAGGGACATCAATCGACGTGGATAAACAGTTGGAACGTGTGGAGAACGGCAAATACAAACCAATTTGAATCAGCTCAGTTCAAATACTGAGAACTTATTGCAGTATTTTAATTGCTGGAGATGACTATTACAAACCAACGTGAATTAACTATGGCTGGATTATAAAACCTTAAACCACTTTAGATTTGAAAAAAAAAACAAAAAAAAAACAATCCCAAACAAATAAAATAACCTATTTTACAAGAATTTGAGATTTTGCCATTGTGATATCTAGATAAAAAGTTGCTGTGTGTTTGGATGAAGTATTAAAGGGTGTAAATGATGTCTGAAGAATATTGTAATGATGAGATAATTATAATGTTTTATGAGTATGCTACGTTAATGATGTCTGTATAATATTGTAATGATGAGATAATTAGAATGTTTTATGAGTATGCTATGTAATTGATGTCTGTAGAATATTGTAATGATGAGATAAATAGAATGTTTTATTAGTATGCTATGTAAATGATGTCTGTAGAATATTGTAATGATGAGATAATTAGAATGTTTTATGGGTATGCTATGTAAATGGTGTCTGTAGAATATGGTAATGATGGGATAATTAGAATGTTTTATGAGTATGCTATGTAAATGATGTTTGTAGAATGTGGTGTAATGATGAGATAATTGACTGTTTTATGAGTATGCTATGTAAAAGATGTTTGTAGAATGTGGTGTGATGATGAGATAATTAGAATGTTTTATGAGTATAATATGTAAATGGTAATAATAGTGATCCACATGGGGTATGTGATTCGCGCAGTTTTGCTATTTCTGTGATACAATATAGGCATGTAAGATATGTGGGTATTTATCGAAAAGCATCCCAAATAGTTGTAGCATAATTACTAATATTATTAATAATGTGATCATTGACATTTATATAATTTGTTTATCTTTAAGCTACGGAATCAACAACACCGGTTCCAGGTACAGGTAGTTTGTTTATTTAGTTATTTATTTTGCTATTTTTCTATTTATTGAATAGTAGCAATTACGGTAATTAATGGCGTGAACAGAAAATTAAAAATCCGAATGCTAATTATCATTAACAATGTTATAGCCTACTTAATGTCACAAAGGGACTTATTTTAAGATATTCCATGACAAATTCTTATGGTTACTATTTTAATTATTGATGCTTTATGGCTCTTCGTGTTTGTTCTGGCAAATATACAAGAGGTTTCAAAGGGGTAGACCCAGATTTTTAAAAATATTATCTGTCACTGCTACTTCAATGACATTACAGGCAAAGCATGTTTTAACTGACCACTGTTCTGCTGAACCATACTGTTTAGTATTAAGGATAGGGCATTTAAGTGCATTTTATATAAAATGAATATTAAGTTTAGTTGCATTTTTTCTAGCACTCCAATTGGGTGATGATTGTAGTAATAGATTACTGGGGGGGTGTGCTGGTGAGAATTCAGCGTGTGTTACTAATCAAGATGGCGTCGGTACATGCAAATGTAAAAATAATTACGTCATAGTGACAGTTTCCGGTGAAAAAAAGTGTGAAGAAGGTAAATGCACAATTTTCTATTTTGGCTTTTATTTAACTTTTAATAATCAACGCTGCCTATTACACAAATGCACCATGTGTGCAATTGACCATGGAAATATGAACAAACTTACATTTCACAACCTTTTTCACAGGAATGAATTTATGATATCGAACAATCTCTTCAAACTAGCGAACAAAAAACAACACTTAAAAATCTATTTTTTCATTTTTAGCGCCGGCAAGATTATTTGAACAGAAATATCATTTTATAGCTGTACATGTAGATAAAGCACCAGTCCAAAGTTTCTGTAAGTATACAATTAAATAACTTAAAGATACATTATGGGAGATAAGATAAAGAGATGGGAGTTCTCACTATAATAGTTAAAAACTAGATAGTGTAAAGGTAATTTGCTGGAAATTTCAGTCAAATTGATCCACTATGAGCCGAGAAAGAAGTGGGTGAAATTTTTGCATAGTCTCGGTCATCATTACTAAAATCATTAATATAAACAACATAGTCTCGATTATCCACTTTTTCTGATTTAATTATCTAATCCAGCCAACATCGAAGGCTAGCCTTGACATCGAGAGTTTATTATGGTCTGGATAAGTTAATTAATGTCTAATTGATAATTTAGATAACATTTCAGGCCTAAAGAAAGACTTGTAATAAGCAGATTTTGCTCTTGCATAATGCATGTTTAATAAGATAATTTCTCAAAAGTAAAATGGCCCAATAAGTAAATCGGAAGAAAGAATAAATAAATAAATAATTTTTTTTTTCTACAGCAATACCCTTGTATATAGATCCAAGATATCCGATTGTCTACGATCTTGTAGATCTGATACCAAACAAGGATTTCATTACTGCTTCTCCAAGTAAATCCTTTATAACTTTAAATATAAATATACCCAACACCAGCGTAACTGAATCAGAAAAATTTATGGTTCAAGTGGCCGCCAGAATCGATACAGTCAAAATTCTGGATTCCATCTTTGTTGAATTGCGGGTGCTTGGGAACAATAGTTTCACACAAGGAAGCACAGAAGAAGGGGTTATAAATAACACGGTGAATGGTTCCTTATACAGAGACAATTATACAGATTTTGAATTTGATGATAAATGTGAGAAAGATTTCATCGTAAATAAAAAAACCGGAGAGGTAATAACACAATTGTTCCGTTTTGATTATTGAAGTTGTTCACATTTACATTGAAATAAAGCGTAATAGCACCTTTAAGTTTATGTTAAACTGATCTAACCTGATCTTGCAACTTTCCAATGGACTTCTGCTTTGTCTTGAGGAAACAAAAAAAGACTGTTAATGTATGACCATGACTTACATTAGATTTAACACAACAAAGAAGTCTGATGATAGATCCCTGTGTAAAGTATACATATAAGGTATTTAAACCAGAAGAAAGAAGGATCTAATTTTGTGCCGTCAGCCTAAAAATTAAATGGACAATTTGTTAATATACCAGGCCGATCTCTCGTGGCGTCTTTAAAATTGATGCGTGGTCAAAATCTTTTAAAGTTCTCAGACATGAATAAGAATTAATGATTGAATAATGATTGAACTTCTACTTAATTCTTGATAAGTTTCAATTCTAGTTGTTTGGTGACATACCTCACGACCCCCCCCCCCCCCCGCCCCACAAAAAGAAATAGTAGACACATACCTTTTAGAAATCGAACAATCTAGAAATAGAGATCATTACTTTACCTTCGACCCATATTTCAGGTTACCACAAAGAAAGCATTGGACAGAGAAAAAAAACATGAATATGATTGTCAAGTAAAAGCGAAACGAATTGGTGAAGCTATTCTTAGGGTAAATATTTTGAATCTGTAAATAAAGATGTGATATAGTAGGGCGAGTTTTCTGGCTTTGAGGAGGTAGCGCGATATCCCTCGACACAACTTTAAATTAGGTTAAACAAACGACCAAAAAGCATTGCAGTAAATCTAACATTAAAAACTAAACTATTTAAACGTGCTTTTAGTGAACATTTTAAATTCTGTAAAAGGTTTTAAGACGGTGTTGTTTCTTTATATAGACTTTAATTAACTGGAACACTTTGCGCTATTAATTAATTCTTCTTGTATATGAACTGTGCAAAGCATGTATACTATATCAGTAGGCTATGAGATTCTTTCTATTGAAAAAAACACACTTGGCTGCACAACGGGAGGCAATCTGTATAATCATATTACGTTAACATGAAATATAATATACAATACCTTTTTATACGCCCACATGGAAATGTGGTCGTATATATTGCCGTCGCCCACGTCCGTCGGTCGGTTATCCACAATTTCTTACGAACACTCTACAGACTACATTTATAACCTGGTTGTCTTGAAATGAATATATTTGTTTACATTATTGAGATGAAGAATATCCTATTTAATTACAACAATTAGTAAAACGAAACACGCTGTCGAATTTCAACAATTTAGGTACAGTATATTACTTCCAGAGTTAAGGCCCGTGTTTCAGTTTGTAGCACCTTGTGAACCCATCAAAGGTCGAAAATTATAATCTGATCTGTACGAAATTGTCTTGTTGACCGCACAGACGATTTAGCAGATGTGGGCGTATGTTTTGCAACCTATCGTTTCATAAACATTCACGAATGAACGCGGTATTACATCACTGGGGTCAAAAATAGCATTTTAGTTTACTTGTCGATTTGCTTTGTGGCTTAAAATTGTACTTCTGTGTAAAGCCAATGTTGCAATATAACTATTTGTGTTCCACTGTTGACACGACAGCCTATTACAGAATTTAAATTAAAATTAGAAATCAACCCTGTTTCGATTAAATATATCAAAACTTAATACTTAATTTTGAGATTTATACCGCCTTTAAGTATGGGTGACACGGTTTTTGGAATAACAAAGCACGTTTTTTACTGTTTGGTTATTATAGGATAGAAACCAGTATTGGTGCCTGTTATTTGACTGTTTGGATTAGGATCTTATTATTGATATGTCTGCTTCTTGTCTGACGTTATGGCCATAATACTATTGACATGTGACTGTCTTTTGTAGGGTGATATGACTATAATAATAGAATTGATGCTAATAATTTGACTGTTTATTGTAGGACCTAGGGGATATGAAAATAACGGTACTTGATGTTAATGACAATCCACCAGTCTTTACCCAAGAATATTATCAAGGAATCATTGAAGAAAATTCACCAAAAAACACTAAGGTGAAATTGCAGGTAAGGAAATGTGAGACTCAAGTGGAAATGTACGTCCTCTGATTTGCTGACAGCACCCCAATATGAATGTCTTTCCGATGATCCTGATATAATGAATGCATCTCGGTATTTAAAACATTTACTGAAAGAATTCATATCAATATGACAACTCTTTCTCAACTTGATCATTTATTTTAAATGCATTGTGCACATTATTCTAATTCCAGCATCCCATAGCATCAACAGACAAGGATGTCAGCCCAAATAACAACGTGTCTTACACCAAAATCAAAGGTAGTAATAAATTCCAAATACAACAGTTGGTCGACTCTAGAGAAATCGAAATCTGGTGTTCAGAAGAACTGGACAGAGAAGCAGAAGCGTGGTATTATTTATCAATAGAAGCGACCGATGGCGTAAACACAACCACGGCGGGTCTGAATATAACAGTTTTAGATGTAAACGAACCACCACAATTCACTAAAACGTTTTACGAATTTAATGTCACCGAAGGGGAGCGAGACATATTTGTTGGTGACGTTTCGGCCATAGATAGTGACGCAGATGAAAAGGGAGATGTCGTTTACAGTATAAAGAATGGGGCGTTCGATAGCTTCCATATTGAAAACAATGGTTCCTTATACTTTAAGGGTAGACGAGGCAACTTAGCTTTAAATATAATCAATAGACGATCCTACGACTTGACAATAACGGCTACAGACAGAGAAGGCTCCACCAGTCAAGCAGATGCCATGGTTCGTGTAACTGTGCTAGATCAAAATGAAGTCCCTGTCTTTGAAAAATCTTCTTATTCGTTCAGTGTTTTTGAAGGGACCTCTTGCTTAACTAACATTGGTGTTATGAATGCCACTGACAATGATGATGGAATGAATGCAGTACTGGAATATTTCCTTGAGGGTGATGGCGCTTCTATGTTTGAAATAGGTACAGATTCTGGTATAATCACTTGCAAAAACGAACTGGACTACGAACATATGACTAGTAGATCTACCACATTTGGAGTAAGAGTAAGTGACAAAGGCTACCCATCCCTAACTGCTAGTACTACGGTAACCGTTAAAGTAGAGGACGTTAACGATAATTCACCAACACTTTCCGCTACATACACTACCGATGTCTTCGATGCTGATATCAAGAAGCCCGGTAAACCCATAATTGTCATAGATGCACTAGACCATGATTCTGGCAAAAATGGAGAAGTAACCTTTGATATCATTAACAGTTCGGCCGTTGGTTTGTTCAACATTTCCTCTTTTGGACTTGTGAGAGTCGCCACCAATATTGTAGAACCGATCGCTCCTCTATATAATTTGAGAATCAATTGCAGTGACTTAGGTAAGTATTATCACAAAATTGCTTTTCTTTACAAGATGAATCCCAAGCAGCAACACAGTTTGAAAAATCTGAAACTGGAATGTATGCTTAATAAATTCTAGCTATAGTATCTTCAAATTAAAAAAAAAAGCCATGCTATAATTACTATCCAGTAATAGATGTTGTTTTAGACTAACTCTTCAGTGTTTAAAGGCTGGTAACCTACAACAAATATAAGATTTATAGATCGATTTTTTGTGTTGTTCGCAGGTATTCCTCCCTTGAACACTACCACCTATTTAACTATTTCTGTCAAATCTGTTACTACACAGACGGTCTCTTTCGATGCCATCGACCTTCATTTTAATTTGGAAGAGGAACAAGCTTACCAGAATACTACCGTCGCCATCGGCTCTGTTGAACGGTTCGTCATAAACAATAATTCAGACATAACTTTTAAACTGGTGGGTGAACCCATCCTAGGTATCAATATGTCTGATAACGGTACATTAATGGCGTACAATAAACATTTTGACAGAGAAAAAAGAGATCTATATGAAATCATCACCAGAGTTTACGACAGAACAGACTGGAAAAATAGTGATGTAGCAGTGGTAAGGATTATATTGTTTAACCATGATAACTTACTGATACTACCAATCACAATACAAATTAGCAATGTTAAACTGCCCTAAAATCATGCCCACGAGTCGCATGCCTATAAAGTGCTATAGGCAAATGATACAAAACAGATCTAAAACTCATATAACCATAAGTCACATAATACTGCGTTTTACCGTTGTCATGTTGTGATCGTAAAATTGAGTGATCAATTCGTTGGATGTGTTCAAATTACGAAGTAGAACTGTCTAATTCAGAATTTTCCAAAATTTTGTTCCATTATGTTTTCCTGGTTTTGGTTTAAAGACTTATCTATATGAAGCGCGTTCGGTAATGTGCATGTTGTGATTGATTGACTCCAGTTCAACCTACCAACCAAATCTTATCATACATAAGTTTAGCTGTCCAATCAATGTACTTTTATGCTGTCCCAGGACGCGCCTTTCTTAAATTAAGCATGTATCTAGATGTTAATCCAGTCACCAACAGAAAAAGAAAACGGAAAGTGAATACCATTTAGTTTTAATTAGACTGGCAGAAATGCGTGGTATTTATTTCTTCTTCGTTGTTATTCAGATTAATCTTAAGATAATAGACATCAACGACCATCCACCAGTCTTTATAAACAATGAAGCCGAAGCCACTGTTGATATATATGAAAATAGTGATAATGATACCCATGTCATAACTGTACCTGCCATTGATCTGGATACTGGTAACAATTCTATTATTGTCTACAGGATCCTTAATCCTGGTGTTCGTAAGTATGAAAATGTTACAATTATTAAGATATATTCGAATAGATTATTTGAATGTAACAAACCCGTCTTTAAATCATCGAATGTTGATGAAAACCAAAGGATCAGCGTTACTTTTAAAACCCAAGAATTACGTGGACTTTTTAGTTTTAGTATCCACAACAATCGTATGAATCCACAACAGTCGTTTATAATCACGTCAAGAATGAAGCGTGTTCGAATACCAGCCTTAACGATAATTAGTTTGTCGTTCGCATGGTATGAAAAAACGAGATGATGTGCACACATTGGTCATGGATGTTAAATATAATACAAAAGATACTAGTCAAGAATTTTTTTTTCGAAAACGTTTTTGAGTACATTATTTTAAATATGCATTACCTGATATGAATTTTGTTCCCAGTAGAGCTGATTCGTTGTTCTGTATATTTTATCATGAGCTAATCTAATTTTTCATTTTATGAGGTATTTTTTGACGACTGTATATAATTGTGTTGAACTTATTCTTGCTTCAGCGTTTTCTGTAAACAGTAGTAGTGGAAGGCTGGTTTCTTCGGGTACAATCGACAGAGAACGAAATGGAACTGTTATATCTAACTATACTGTTATTATTGAGGTAGGATGTCTAAGAATAAATCAGCTATAACCCCTTCAATGACGGCAACTCTCATTAAAAGCAATATTAATTGGAGGAAGACCCCGTTTATTTCTTAATTATCTATAATGTTAAATCAGCAGTGTTCTACACAGGGTAACCTATTCCTTTAATTTCGCTGAGAACATCTCTTTATAGGACAGCAAGTATGACATCGTATGGTCATCGGGGTACTACATTTGTATGCGGTTGATATCGTAAATTTCAAATCACTGAAATTCATAGTAGGCTGGAGTCAGAATATCATTTTCGTTTTAGTGCTGAACAAAACAAAACCTCTTTACTCATTGTATTATTCCGCCTTAGTCTGACACCTAGCAATGAAGAAAATAGAAATTCAATGTCTCTACATCAATTCTTTTCAATGTCCAGTTTAATGTTTCAACACATTTTAACAATCATTGGATTTTCAGATAAAAAAATCGTAGCCAAAAGTATACCATACAAAAATGTGATGATATCTCTTTAAATAAATGTGTAACGAAAGTACAATCATCATTGTAAAACTAGAGACAAACACATTCAAAGTGTTTCTGAACCAATTAATAAGTGTTTGTATCATTTACAGGCTTCAGATGGAAAATATAATGATAACCTAACCGTTACTATATTTGTCAAAGATAGGAACGACAACTCGCCACAATTCCATAATATATCGGTAAATGTTTCTGAGAGGTTTACGGTAAACAAAACGGTAAGTGTAAAGTCATATTACAATCCATAGTTTTATAAAGGTTCGATAATTCTAAACGTCTACGATTAAACCATTTGATGTGTTCTAACTAGAAAATATACCATAAATCAGGGGTTAATTTACAAGATAAGATTTAGATAGTTTAAACTGTAACTGAGAGAAGATTTAGATAGCCCAAATGGTAACTGAACGGAGATTTAGATAGTCCAAAGAAATACCAAAGTATAATTTCAAAATTTCTTCCAACATGTAGGATGACCTTGCCTATACATGTATATTTTTATTATCGTCGAATTTAATATGTGAATAAAACCTTTAGGATTATTGTAGAGTTGGTCTAGATAATATTATTCAGTTGCACTACACGTCAAATCACAGAATTGGTATTAATATATTTAATTAGATAATACCAAAACATAGCGATCACAATTAGAGTGAAATAACAATATTTTAGTAAAACATCTAGTTATACTTGTAGACGTTTTATTTACAGATACTTACAATAGATGCTATTGATGTAGATGATTATCAGTCTGGTAATGGACGTGTTTTATTTAAACTTGATGATGGACAGCAATCATGTCCTATATCCTTATCTGCAGGTAGAATACACGTACAATTATTTTGACGGTTTTTGTAAGGGATAAAGAGCACGTTGGCGATGCGAAAATTGTTTGGACCTTTCAGGTCGGGTGTTCGATCCCTGCATTGGCCGAGAACGTTCATCCAGATTTTTCCGGCGCGGTTCCCCCTTTTTAGTGATGCAGGACGGAGGGCCTGACAAAGACAGCTGTCTAGTCGTTCGGATGGGAAGAAAAACCGAGGTCCCGTGTACACATTGGCGTGCACGTAAAAGATCCCTTGACAGTTGGAATTCGATATAAGAGTAGGCCTTAGTGTCGCTGTCCGGGCAAAATTTCCCCCATAGCACACTGTATGGCGTATGCCCGTCTTCATTAAGACAGTTCGGAGCAGAACAGTAGGACGTTAAACCCCATTTCATTTCATTTCATTTTCCTCCGCCCCATGACCATCTAAACGGACTAAATTCCCTTCTAATTGATAGATATTTTTAAATATTTTAATATTTTGTCATTTATTTACTTTCATATTTAACACTTGGATCCTCTTACCATTCTTATGTTTGATTTATTGATAAATTCTATTTAATATTACCATTACTAGGTAAACACCTAGCCGAAGTGCTATTATCATCCAAATTAGATTATGAGAGGACGATCAGTCACATGTGCACAATAATTGCTTACGATAATCCATGTAACGCATCAGAAAGTAGATCCACAACAGCGACGCTTACCATCAACGTCCTAGATGAAAATGATAATATACCAGTATTTCAACATTTTATAAATCAGACCGATATAGACATCGATGTAGCCACAGGAACAGTTATTATTGACAAAATCACGGCTAGTGATGACGATTCTGGCAGTAATGGTGACGTCAACTTCTATATCAAAGACCACACAGTGAAACCTTTTGGTACGCTCTTTTTATTATGTCTATTCCTTCAATTTGTTTGGGGCTGTGGGGGGGGGGGGGGGTATATGAGCATTTTTACTGAAGCTCCTATAAAACAGGGGTAGTTAAAATTAAACCAGCCCAGAAACAGACCCATGTTGAAGACAATTATCGAATAGTCACCTAAACTATGTTTCCTGTCCGTTGCATTCTGGTGACAAACAGAATAAACATTAGATAGACTCGTCCTGTTGGAAATCGATTCTTAATCGCTTCTACAAGAAACACATTTTTGAAACACTTGTCGAAATGAACACTTTGATTATAAAACGCATTTTAAAAAATAATTTCTTGGCTCTTGGTTTAAATTAACCTTCTGTGAAACTTTTTTGTATTTTCTTTTTACCGAAACCGCCATTTTTATGGATGTGAAATGAACATCATATTTGTTATTGTTTTTAAGATAAATTCCGTATCAACAGTACTACTGGTAGAATAACAGCTGTGGGAAATTATTTAGCAGAAGATATTACAGTAGTTTATCTGGTAGTGATAGCTAGAGATAGTGGACAACCACCTTTAGAAACAGAGGCAACGGTAGTATATAATTAAATAATAATATTTTGATATTTTAATTTTCTTTTGTTCCTGTTTCTATTAATAAGACTATGTATGCGATTCTGGAATGTCTTGATATAAAGCACGTGTTGTATTGACCTAAAAGTTGAGCCAATTCCCTATTTTCGTAGGTATCAGGAGCAAATATAACTATAGTATCCTAAATAGTTGAAAACGAAAGATCCATTCAATCAGACAGTATTTTACTGCCTGGCCTATGTATAATCAAAGGCACTTCTGTTTCAGATTCGTGTTTCCATAAACAATTCTGATTCCAGACCAATATTTAAAGATATTTTCCAAATTTATATTGTTGAACATCAGGAAGCTTCTGAAGTATACTCAAAATTGACAACCATTGTGGCGTTTGATAAAAAATACGGTGCTGAGAAACTTTGCGTCTGTTCATTTAATATAGCCAGTTCCAGTAAGTATCCAGATCGAAATATAAACACCATTTACGTAACTCTCAACTAAATACCAGTATCTAATCACCATTTAAGTAATTCTTTTTAGAGTAAATACCAGTATCTAATCACCATTTAAGTAATTCTTTTAAGACTAAACACCACTATCTAATCACCATTTAAGTAACCCTTTTAAGACTAAATACCAGTATCTGACTACCCTTAAGTGACTCTTTTAAGACTATATACCAGTATCTGACCACCTTTTAAGTAACTCTTTTAAGACTGAATACCAGTATCTGACCACCTTTTAAGTAACTCTTTTAAGACTGAATACCAGTATCTGACCACCTTTTAAGTAACTCTTTAAGACTAAATACCAGTATCTGACCACCTTTTAAGTAACTCTTTAAGACTATATACCAGTATCTGACCACCTTTTAAGTAACTCTTTTAAGACTGAATACCAGTATCTGACCACCTTTTAAGTAACTCTTTAAGACTAAATACCAGTATCTGACTACCATTAAGTAACTCTTTTTTAAGGCGAAATACCCTTATCTTCATGCATTACAAACTATAGTGAACCAGGTGATTCTGAATCACTCCCGACATATCACTGACCTTAAAGATGCGATCAGTAGTTATGTTGTTCTGCACAGTATTTCTCTTAAACTTTTAATAGGCTGTTTTTCATGTTGTAATCCATACAGATATATCTCTAATCAAGGGCCGCAAAGCTTTATACTTTCGGAGTTAAGATATGAATAGACATACAAGATCATCCAAAATAACATTTACAGTAGACATACCTCTTTTAAATTTGTTTACCAAAACGTTATTTTTCTGCCATATTCCGGCAGGGGGGTGGTTTATAATATAAATCTTATTTATTATTACAGAACATCAAAGTTTATTTAGTATTGGGTCAATATCTGGTGTTATCAAACTGAAAAAAGAATTAGATCGGGAAGTTGTTGGTTCTAAGTTTAACTTAATGATAGAAGCTATTGATGACGATCAGCCTAAGAGAACATCAACCGCAACTGTAACAGTTAATGTAGTTGATATAAATGATAACCCACCTACATGTAATAATAATACAGAGTTTGCTATAAATCAGGTAAATATAGATACATGCAAATGAAATAAAATTCACCGTCCTACGTATATGCTTTATCCGGGATCATAAAGACGAGCATGTAGATGCCGTTCCGTCCTACACAATTGATAAGGGAAAACTTTCTCAGCCAAAAACTAGCAGCGGCTTATTCACTGAACCACAGGTGGAGAAAATTCATCGGGATTTTCCGACGTGGTTCACCCTTGTCAGTGATGCAGGATAGAGGTCCTGGCAAAGGACAACGTATAATCTTTGGGGTGGAACAAAAAATCGAGGGCCTGTGTACATATTGGCGTGCACGTAAAAGAACCCTTGACAGTTGGAATTCATGATAAGAGAAGGCTGTAGCGTCGCTGTCCAGTCAAAAAATCTCCCTCATAGCCCACTGTATGTCTTCATTAGCACAGTCGAAGCACAGCAGTAGGACGTTAAACCCCATTTCATTTCATTTTATTTCACTGAGCCACTGCAGCTCCCTAGACGAATACAGATTTAACGTACAGAAAAACACCACCACGTGACCTCTTCAGCAATCTTCTGAAAATACCCGTATTTTAAAAGGAGCCTATTTTACTTTTCTTCCTTTTTTATCAACTGAATCAATGACGCCAGCCTCAATCAGTATGAATATTGTATAACATCAAAATGTTCAATTATGAGGAATAAAAATCACCAACAGATTGCCCAAGTCCTGTTTTGTTTCAATTGGTTTAAAAATATGCACATCACATTTTGTATTATAGTCCTCACCGATTGGTTCAATGGTTGGTGAAATAGAAGCTCAAGATCTAGATGAGGGTGTAAACGCTGTTTTGAACTATTCTCTATATGAACATAATGATTATTTTGATGTTGATACAACCTCGGGAACAGTAAAACTGGTCAATTCTATTGTTCCGTCTAAAATGAAACAAATCTTTCAGGTAAAATATTTTTTAAATATTTCGAACAATTCAAATACTATTCTCCACACACGGAAAAAGAGAAGACATTGTTGTCAACATATCTGAAAGCATGTCCACTTACTAGACTTATTCGATTTTGCAGATTTCTTCTACTACACTTTGTATTTGAGCACTGATTCATAGAATTGATTGTGGTTGATTCACATTCTGTTTTATTTATTATTATCAACCCTACTGAGATCTATATTGTATATTATATCGAACTTAGTGGTAACTAAGACAATAAATAATTCCAATCTATCTATAAATATACAAGATTTAATTATTACTGAGTATAAGGCAAGTGAAAAATGTTTTAATTGATTGAAAATATTTCAGATGACTGTTAATGTTAGTGATGGAAAAACACCAGAAATGTGTCCTTTCCGTGTACACGTTTTACCAGATAATACTAGCCCTCCCAAATTTACATCAGGTGAGATATTTTAAAAGAGAATGTGGAATTTTAAGATCTTCGCATCACTAACAAATTTGTTGTTGTCCAGAAGTTAACCTACCAGCAGAGACAGCACAGCTTAGTTGTTCAAAGACAAAAATACTTTCTCCTAAAATCCACATACGATCGTATATATTATTGGATGCACCTTTAACCCGAAAAGTTTTCAATTGCGCAAATGGTTTCCACCATCGCTTTCCAAAATAAAACTAGTAAAGGGCTATTAGATTAAATTGTTATAATTATATATATTTAGGTGAATATAAGGCGACTATATCTATTAATGGTAAAAAGGGAGATAATTTAGAGATGTCAGTAGAAATAAACGCTACAGATAAAGACAATGATACTATAACTTATAGTATAGATCCTAGTAAAAACCAGGTACTTCACGTATAAACAAATCTATATTCAATTACTACGGCACTTTAAAATAATCTTATTACAATTCCTGGTGTCCTCGGGCAATATTTGAGAATATTAACCTAAGACAAATGAACACCAATAGAACTAATTTAAAACAGCCATAACTTAAGTCAAAACTGTTGATTTGAATAATATTTCTGATAGATTTTAGTAAGCCTTGGTGAAATTCATTCGGACTAAATTAGCATTTACGATCATGATCAATTTAAATATGATATATGATAAATTTTGGGGCTTTTAATTTTGTTTTACATAGAATATGGTTACTATAGACCCGAATAGTGGAATTATTAGTTTAAATACTGATATAGATATAAATACAAGAGATGTAACACTAGTTATAATGGCAGTTGATGACGGCACTCCTAGAAAAACCGGGTTAGTATATTGTGTGTTATGGAACATCTGGTACCACTGTCCACTATGGTGCAGTACTCAATTTGACGATTTTGTCCATTGCATTTGGAATTTTCTTCTGGTTAGCATATACTATGGTTGTTTCAATTGCAAAACAGTACTTGACTGAGCACTCAGTGATTCATTTTCTTGCTTAAATATTGTACTTATTATAATTACAGGTCAAGTTCTGTAGTTATTACAGTAACTGGTGGGTTTTATGTTGCACAGGGAAAATATGACAATATTAAACGGGATGCTGAAAAGATGACATTGTTTCAGATATTATTCATTGTAATGTTAGTGGCTCTGTGTATTTTTATAGTTTTAACTGTGGTAGCATGCTACAAGTAAGTAAATAATTCATGATATTTTAACAGCCATACTTCTAGGACCATATATAGGCTTTGGAAATGAAGATGTTCTGGAACTATAAATCTAGATTCTGATATTATCACATGAATCAGTATCTTAAAGCGATATTATTTATCTTGAATGTCCATTTTATAGATTTTTATATTTAAACGTATATTAATTTATGTTCTTCAGATTGTATGATAACTTGACTTTATATATAAATATTTGTGGACCCATTTAATTCATTCTAAGACAGACTTTCACTTTCTTTTAGATGGCGTGTATCACACAGTTTGTCGGATTCTTTAAGAACACGATATTATACCGGGGCTAATTCTAAATGGGACGATTTTACATCAGGTCATCAATATGCTGGACCGAGTTCATCTGCTGAAGAATTTCCTAGCACGTCAACAGGAGTAAGTCTAATCAAAGTTATATCATTTTGTTTTGTATTTATATCACCCTCGGGTCTAACAAAGTGTCTGTGTTCAGCTGAGCTGACTTGGTTTCTCAGTTATCCAATTAAAAGACGCTTTCGTTTGGCAATAATTTTCTTAGTCTATCACAGTGGCTCAATTCATATATTTTAGAGAACAGAATGCGATAAAGACGTAGATAAATGTTATGTAGATTAGACCGGCATTATATCCAAGTTGGAAATAAGTAAAATTTAATTTTAATTAAATTGTAAGGAAACAAGATTTTATTTCTTTGTGCAGACCCTTACATGATCTCCTTGTCCTATATCACAAACCTGCGATATATGTGTGATGGATAATGCCAGCTATACATAATATCATTATATAAGTGTGATAGGGGATATTCAGAAACAATACACAACTGCGGAAATGCACTGCTGTTTTTATTAGAGGTAACTAATGTATGTTAATAACAGGCCAATTGCCTACACATGAACATATACAGTTCATATTGGCGGCTTATCTGACGGTCCCAATTCACTGCAAAGAGATACCCTGTCAAAAGTGGAAATTGACGTTTTTGATTTTTGTCCTAATAATGTGTAATTGCTCCACCAATCCTCAGACATTCAGCAATTCGTCGTGGCATGCTCCTAATCAACCGTCCAATCACGATTTGGGGCAATCTGACCCACTCCTTTTGTAGTGCCACGGCCAATTCTTGTAGTGTTGTCGGTTGACGTTGATGAATACGTCTCCCGATCATGCCCCAGACACGCTTTATATAGGGGAAAGGTCAGGACTCATGGCTTGCCAAGGCATATGGACAATATGGTGACGTTGGGGGTAGTCATTCACGACACGAGCGCGGTGGGCACGGGCATTATCATCTTGAAAGATGAAACGTCGACCTGCACGTTGAGCACAGGGCAGAACGATCGGTGCCAGGATGTGGTCACGGTAGTACACACCAGTGACCCTTCCTTGAACAATATGCAAGTTCGTTCTGCCATGGTGATTCCTCCCCACACCATAACAGAACCACGTTAACGTTAGCATGACGCTCATTTACACGCCCCAAAACGCGAGCACGCCTATCGGTGAAATCCAGAGTAAATCTGGACTAATCTGAGAACATTACACGCGCCCATCCACGATTACCCCAATTTCATAGCTGCCTACACCATTGACGCCTGTTTGCCATGTGTTGGCGAGTTAATGGAGACACAACACGCGGTCGTCGCGCATGCAAATGGGCTGCATGTAACCGATTTCTAATCGTTTGGGGTGTAACTCGAATTCCCGTAACTTGGTACAAGTTTACAGAAAGCTGATTGTCCGTTTGTCCTCGATTTCGCAGGACCTGTGTACGAATGTATCGATCCTGGGCTTGTGTAATGACTCTAGGGCGACCTGAATGAGGTCTATCATCAGCGTTGTGTGTTTGTTGGTACCGGTTCCACAGTCAGCTGATCACAGACTGTGACACATGTTGACCACTGCTCGCTGTGTAGAACCCATTTGAAGCGCCAATAGCACTTAGACGTTCATCATGTTGAAGACCTCTCATTGCAAAGATATGCTAAACAGTAAATATTATGCAAGAACCGATAGGAAAGCAAACATGGATAGGATAAACCAGCACCCGGCAGTTTTCATCAACCCTTCCTTGAAGTGTCAAATTTGACAATGACCCCCCTCCCCCAAGCCCACGTGTATGGCGCCATTGCGTGTTGCATGTGCAACTCAGTGGTTCTGTTGGGGCGATAAGTTCTTCATCTGTGAACATACTCTCAAAGCATATCAAGTGTCCATGACTATTTATCATATCACAACCTGCATAGGTATTTGCATTTCAATATCCCCTACTTTTTTTGAAGAGCAGGTATTTGCATTTCAATATCCCCTACTTTTTTGAAGAGTATATATATATGTAATAAGACCGTCCTATATAAAATAATATGATGTGATAATATCGTACTATATTTAATAAAAAGATATAATTGTAGATGATATTTTCAGACTGACGTGGGTTTACATGTTAACAAAGCTTATCACAGTTCAGGAACATTAAGGTAAATAATAGTTAATTGATTTATTACCGTTGCCATACAGGTCCAATTGTTAACGGATCTAATCTTTATATTATGTTACATAAAAATACGATGAGGTCTGATAGCCGCATCCTCCCTTAATCCCCCCAGACTTGAATATATCTAATGTCTCGCCTCTTTTGTGGTCGAAAAAAAAAATCATAGACAGTTGTAATTCAGTTGCTGAATTCGGCATAATGTACTCCAAAAGTAGCCGATATTGGAGGTTGACAAGATTTTTATTCAAATCCGTTCAGTTCACTTGTTTTTCTTTTATTGAAATTTGGTAATCAAATGTAATATTGGTAGAACTCGTCTCGGATGAACCTATTTTGTCGAAGCACCATCCGGAAACCACAATGATTGTATGAAATGTAAATACATTTAGTTTTCTATTAATGTTATTTGTTTTTTTTCATTGTTATATACATGTTGTATTTCCTTTTTCGCAGAAAGGACAATACCTATCAAACTGAAGTACCAGATTATGAATGATGGACCCCGTTATCAAATCCTATAAAATGCTGTTTTCATTTTTTTATATTATTTAATTTCTGCTTAATAGCAATTTCCTATTATATATTTTTTTATATTTAACTCTGCTTAATAGCAATCTGTTTAAAATACAGATCTATATTGCATTTCGACACACTGAGTATTTTAAACGTGAACAAGTGTTTTCTGTAGTAAAATCGTAAAATCATTAGAATTTGTAATAATATTTTAAGAATTTGTAATAATATTTTAAGAATTTGTAATGTTTTAAGAATTTGTATTATTTTAAGAATTTGTATTATTTTTAAAAAAAATATTTGTTAATGATATTTTTGCAAATCCAAGATTTTAATTTGTATACATCAAGGTCGCTGGACGAATATAAAGAGATGCTTTATGAAAGATAAAATGTAATATGTGTGTTTTTTAAATGTATATAAAATTCATTAAGCCAATCTTTTTTTTTATAAAGATTACATGCTTTATGCATTCATAGGAGTGCCAACTGGCACAGCTTGGTTTGAACACATTCCAATATCTTACGTGAGATAATAAAGCGCTTGACAATGTACAAACATGCTGTCAAACACCTATTCATGAAAATTTGCTGAAAATTGAACAAGAACTTCACTCTATACGAGTACTGCAATTTAAGTTTGTCAACTACCGCGCAACTCTGTAAAGACATTTAACAAAACATTCAAAATCGATAGAGACCATTTTTACCCGATTGGGGTAAGGTATCTTTCTAAACAATCACAAGAGTCAGTAAAAATGTCAGTCTCTAGAAATACCTTGTAATAACTGGATACAGACCACATTAATTCCCCTTAATTTCTTCAGTTTATAGTCCCTTCTTCCGTTTATTTTCACCACATTTGTATGCCGATCATCGTTGGCCTTTTGGTACAGAATCGGGGGAAAATGTTTGATTTTATATTTTCTGCAAAATTTTGGAGAAAATTCATAATTTTGAGGAGGAGTCAGGAGGTTGCTTACGTTGACATAACAAGCGGATAGTTACATTTCCATGGTGAATCTCATACATGTTTTCGAGTAAGGCGAACATCTTAACGCCAAAATTAACTATTCTTGAAAATCTGATGACAACCAAACTTTGTACTGTGAATAAATCTACGTTATAGTCCTTAATTATCAACAATCATATCAACCAGGAGCCATATCTACTTTTGCGAACATACTAAAAATGATCAGGGATCATTTTTACACCAATGTGTACGTATTAAAAGCCCCCTTTTAAAGAAGAAAAAGTCCCACATAGCACAATGCATGGTGGATATAAGTGCACAGTAATTCGGAACGAAATATACTCCACCCACTTCCGCATCCCCACCCACCTCCGCACCTCAACCCTTGTTTGCTAAGATGTTGTTACAAAATCTGGCCATCACGCAAACTTAATTGAAACTTTTTAAATGGTGCTGGAAAATAGTGGCATACGGGCATAAGGTAGGAGCGGGCATATACTTTTCTTCTAGAATGCTGCAGTAGCAAAAAAAAATTAATATAAGACTTTTTGTGTTCTGCTCTGACTTTCAATTACTGTATAATTAATGTACAATTACATACAAACCAACGTTGCAGTCATTTATATGCAGGTCATTCTTCTATTAAACACGGTACCATTATTAAACATATGGGTGCTCCTTATAAAAGAAAATTAAATATTAATTGAAACGCATATAAAATTTAGCGAATTGTCGGCCTAAACACTAATTTTGGGCATATACTTATTTCTGTCAATTATAATTGGAAAAGGGAACAAACTAGTCTTCCAAAAACTATTATATAGCAATGAAACACACATGTATCCGTTTATACGAAACAGCAAAAAACATAAACGCCAGTACGATTTCAAAATCAGAGAGGCACTTTAATCAAATCATTCTAGAAAACGACTTACTAAATGGATCAAAGCACTTTTTTGTGAACAGCATGTTCACACATTAGTGATTAATTCGTCACAATTCCAAGACATTTCGGGAAGGTTTAGAGTCTGTACACAGTCTATACATGAGTATCTGGTGTGTCCACCGCGAGTGTCAATAACAGCAGCACAGCGTCTGTACATGGAGTCTGTACATGGCGATTAATGAACGCCATTGGCACCTGGAACCACACTCTCAGAAAAGCCTGGCGCAATCCATCGGCTGTGTTTGGTCTCGGTACGACATTATTAAGTCTCCTCTGAATTTCATCCCAAAGATCTTCAATCGGGTTTAAGTCCGGACTTAGGGCTGGCCAGTGCATAACGTTGACACCGTCCTGCTGTAGAAAGTCACGAGTAACTCTGGTGGTGTGGCAACGGGCGTTGTCATGCTGGAAAACGTTGTTTCGATGACGTGCGAAATGTGGTATGACGTGGGGTCTGAGAGCTTGATCGATGTAGCGGACTGCTGTGATGCAGCCCCCTCTCCCTGGACCAAGATTTTGGAACACCACAGGACGCACACTCTGGTTCAGGCCGATTCCATCCCAAACCATTATGCTTGGACCTCCCCATGAGTCTCGTTCCATGACACATTGGTTAAAATAACGCTGGCTACGTCGACGACATATTCTGGTCCTGCCTAGTGCCATCTGCAGTTGATACGCAATACGGAACAGTTATCCATTGCCTGTGTCGCCAGTTCTGGTGTTGTTGGGCATACTGTAGACGTTCACGTCAAAGGCGAGGGGATGAGGATCGGTCCACGGTAAGGTCTACGGCAATGGATGCTCTCTCTGGTGAGACGTCGGCGCACTGTATCGGTACTGATGAGTCTTCCGTGTGTTCCGACTGTCTGACGTGCTGTCTCAGATGTCTGTGTGAATGGATTCTGCACGTGCTGTCGCACAACATAACGGTCTTGTCGCCCTGTGGTACATCTTGGTCTACCCGGTCGGGGGCGATCATCCGTGGTTTTAGTGGCCCGAAAGCGTTGCTCAAGCCTGTACATGGTCCGAACATTGACCTGGAAGTCTTCTCAGCGCCTGGTTCCTCTGAGCTGCTGACGCTGTAGTGTGAATGATTCAACCAGGTATGGGGGTGCATTTTACAGGGCTGATCCGGGTGAACAGCACGTGTAGTATGAGTTACATTAAAATCATGGAGAACACATTACCATCTCAGAAATCAGGTTGCGTTTTTGCAACATTTCCTGGATGCGTCTATTCAGAGTAACATACCAAGCTGACGTTTCTTATGCTGCTTAGTATACAATCCTAAAGGAATTTTTTATATCTAGGGGTAAACGCTACACAATAATAATGTGTCAATACCTTTAAATACAATCAGTCTGTTTTTACTTTTGAAAACTTTCTTTTATTATACTGTTATGTTTTATTAATGTCTAGTTACTACTATAAAAACACGCAGTAGGTATTTATGAGTAGACTGGCCTCTTGGTGGAGACGATTAAACTTCCTGCTTATATATCTAGTAGCCATGTAGCTCTCGAAGATCAGTCTTGGAACATGTAAAGAAAAGCATGGACCTTTGGTGAGTAGAAAACTAATTTGCTTCAATCTTAAGAGATTATTTGGTCCACAGTTCACTACTGGTACCGCAGTTTGATTCATTACCTAATATACCATAAAATGCTCTGGACTTAAAATAGGTCTAATAATAATAATAAATACGAAAAGTATGCAACTAAACGAAATATGTGTTTCTAGTAATAATAAACGATTCGGTTGTTGAAAAGCTCTCTAGCAGAGTGTTTCATAAGGAAAATGAATATAAATCAGTTCGCTGCTGTTGCAAAAGACAGAGAACCAATTGCAGATGTAGACACGTATAACTGATACAATTTCGCAGCACGGTTTCAGGGCAGAATGAACCGTGCCAAACCGGGTAATTCTTAACCAGCGGTTGCCAGACAAGATACGCCTACATTTTGCAAGCGATTTTTCGCACAATCAGGGGCCATAATCCAGAAAGATATGGTCTGAAATGCGCGAATATCGTAATAGACTGAGATAATTGGGATATAAAGATATATTTTAAGTTTCATCAAAATCGAATAAAAATTGTGACTTCTAGAGAATCAACAACCTTAGTATTACATACTTTTATACTATTTGCGTACAAGGAGTGGCCATTTTGTCAGGCAGTTTCGGTCCGATTTTCGAACTCAACCGTCATTATAGCCTACTTTCAAACGCTTTTAAAATCGGATAAAAATTGTGACCTGTAGAGGGTCCACAAGCTAAATGTGGGCGTATAAAAACCAATGGAACATGCCAGGCATCACCTTGACAATGTGTATGAGGTGTTTCGAGTTGAGTTTGTAGTGCATATAACCACTCTGTAACTGATATTATAGTCAAAATTTTAATTATCCATACTTTTGGCAATTTGTTTTTAAATTGAAGATTATTTAAATTTTGGATATCAAGTGTAGAATATACATATAATAATTACATATAACGTATATTTATTCATAGTCCGTCACTTTTTGAGGTACTTTGGGGGCTTTAGGCATACACGTTCTTGTCGGTTCTTGTCGGTGATTTAGAAGGCCACATACAAATCTCTAAAAGCATTATGATAAATCTTACATGGCGGGTCGACAGTTAGGGTACGTGGCTACCCGTAATATCTCTCTACGAACACGGCATTTTATATTTGGCTTTTCTCCAGTATTTCCCCACACTTGCAAATGTTGGCAAATATATTAATGCCCGGGAAAAATTGCCTATTGTGTAATAATTTTTTTCTCAATAGATTGCCAGTCATTATGATCTGGAAACATGCCTGATTCAAGGTAGAAGAATATTGATTGGTTATGACGAATATGTCGATACTTCCTCCTAGATTCTTTAATTAGAAAGTAATGTACTACTCAGACTAAACTTTAAACAGCGATTGGTTAACAGCAATACAATGAGTTATTACTTCCTTCTTTCAGTTTATTATTCTGTTCTGAAAGATCTCCAAGAATAAATATGGCCTACGTGAATAACTAACTGTTAAAGAAATTACTAAGCCATTTACAATGAACGATAAGATATTATTTCATTATTGTTACATTTCAAATATATATCTAAATATAACAGAGAATACACACACCACAAGCCTTAATTGTCGCTATTAAAAAGTGATTATAAAATATAATATTAACAAAATATGAATGAGTATTTTTATGTCACGTGGGGTTTAGAAATGACAGGAATAGAACATGAATTGAAGTATTTTTGGCAATAATATCACTGGTTAATTTAATCTTTGTATAAGAGATCACTGAGTGTGAAAAATAAGGTGTTGCTCTTTTCTTCGGATTCCTTAGAGGTAAACCCGAGGTTCAATCTTGCGCATACATACGAAAGTTATGCTGTTTGACTATAATTAGTTCCGCTTGAGAACAGACACGAAGCAGGTTTACCGACATTTCAAGTATCAAATCAACGATGCTCCAGTTTATAAAATTGAAAATGTTTTTGTATTCTATGTGTGTACAAAAGATGTAAAACGGATTGGAACGGCATGACAAAATAGAATACCAATTTTTGAATATAGTTTCCATTTAGAACAGAGATCTCCAATCTTTAAAATAAACAGATCTCCTAGAAGAAAGCACCGCGGCAAATTGTTTGAAAACTATTTTTAAAACCGTTAAAATACCTCAATAATTCTTTTAAACAAATCCGCATTCATTAGATTAGACATGTTTGGTAATAGTATAGGACGTTAATCCCCATTGCAATTTCATTCTAGGTTTTGGTATACTATTATTATTCCCGAGCGTATCCCATAGCCGTTTAAAATATCTTTTTGAAACTGTGTACACGCAATCAGCCTATTATATAGTAGTTATGCGGTTGGCTATTTAGAAATTTCTAAGATTGGATAATTTTAGTGTTTCCATGAAAATAAATTTGACTTAGCTAATTTGTAAACGTTTATTATTTCGAGGCATATCCAAGTTACTTTTATGAAACTTTATATATACACCAACCTATCATAGTAGTTTTTCCCTAATAGGGGAGGGGGTGGATGGCCGAATAATATATATCTTTTCTCTGAGAATTAGAAATTACTAATGTAGAGTAACTTTTATGTTTTCCTGTAAACAAATTGTACTTAGTTTTTTGTGTGCAGGGGTATAAACCATTCAGATGCCTTTACGAAACGTTATGAAATTTTGTTTTCATTCATACATCTAGAACTGAACATATGATTTTCAGTCTTTTCATACTTTGTACCAACCGGTGGTGGTATTTTGTAATTAAACTCAATTTATATCCACTATACATGGAAATTGAGCACTACTAGCATCGGGTTGTCGATTACCTTTAATACGGAGATTGTCAATCACTGTACTTCTCAAAACTTGTCCAAGAGTGCGGGGTGTGGATGACTAAATCTTCTTGTTAGCTTGATATCGAATCCTGTTGAAATGTTGCAGATAAAGTCGACTGTATACTTATTTTAGTTTCAGCCTTGGCTTAGTGTGTGGTCCGTGTAGCGCACAATGGGTTAGGTCTCAATATTTAATTGATTTCTAACTTTATATATAATACGTTCGTTATTTGTTACATGTATATTTGTTGTATTGTATTAATGTTCGGTTATTTGTTACATGTATATTTGTTGTATTGTATTAATGTAATTTTTGTAATTGTATGCTGCTCCTCGTGGGGGTTTTTATGCAATAAATTTATTTACTTACTTACTTACTTACACTGGCTATAGACGTAAAACATTTAATAAACACAAAATCTATGCTGCTTTTCATACAAGGTATTGGTCCATCCTATAAGTTTGTTGACAAACAGGATAATGAAGAACACAATAAATAAATACCATGTATATGGATTCAAGATAAATCAATTATTGGAACCACAGCCGAAATCACAATTTGTCAAACATTTTCAATTCCGTTTAGAGCAACCGCCATGAACGACTGACTGGGTTCACCCACGAACTGTCCTCAATACAACAAGAAAAAGAGGGAGAACACTAGCACGACTAGAAAGTGTATGGTACACAGGATACACATCGTTGCATGGTTTGAATCTTCGTTAGAAATGACTCATATACAGCTATTTTGCGACATTCTTTAGGATTCTACTACTACTGTAACACATAGATTGTTTGAGAGCTTTTGCACAGTCTTTAGAACCTTCATTGAATATTTAATATATTTTCAGATACCAAAGCTGGAGTGATGAAAATCTACTACTGCTACTACACGGCATAGCTGTAACTATTGCTTGAAGAGCAAATCATTCAGCAGGGATTCAGATACCAGATAAGGAGCATGGAAGTCTTATCGATGAATGGTGCCGAATCTATTATTACTGGTGATATCCATTACCTTATATCAATTATCACAATTTTTTATTTACCCTTCACGGGGAACCATTTGATATCATTTACACTATCACACACGACTAACCCTTTAAAAGATATTAGGTCTGTCTGCTCAGCATGTGATATCCTCTTTGGGAAAGGTTGTCTAACTTGTCTTTCTGAAAGTTTGAATGTGTTAGTTGCATGTCAAGAAAGTGGAATTGATTTGGAAGTATGTGAGTTTGGAATGTGTAAATTTAATAAATGACTGTGACAAATAAAAAAGAATGTAGTAGAGAGATAGATTGTTGTGAAATAAGGTGTGGTTTGTGTTTATGGACGGTGTTAAATAATGAGTTATGTGTTATTATGGACGATGTGTAATAGAGAATGATTTGTGTGTATGGACGATGGTAAAACTCCAGAAGTAGGACCATATCTATAAGGTTTGTATACCATTTATTAAAATTATGTCTGCTATATACAAATTAAAAGGCGGAATACTTTCAAGGTAAGTAAATATTTTGTCAAATTCTTCTTTATTGTCTAATGTTTACTGAATTACCTATCATAAAATACTTTAATAAAACTTTATATTTTATTACATTTCAACAGCGAAACCAACGTCGTGTTCAGCAATCAAAACGGGTAAGTTGTAATAATGTATTATTTTTATTTTCTGCAATTTAATAAAATATGGAGAGATCGTCTTATAGTGTTCATACCACTGGGTAACATTTTAAATTGTTTAAGCGGCATTTAGTAACTGGATGAGAATAACACATGACACAATTATATGGAATACAAGTTACTTGAAGAACCCTCGTCGAAACGTCGCTGAAATAAACTCTTCAAGTAACTTGTATTCCATATAATCGTGTCATGTGTTACTGGGTAACATAGTTGATAGGTTACTATAAATCACAAAATACGAGAAAATGAAAAAAACCTAATTCAACTCTTTTATACTTGGTTTCAGAATTTGACCTTTTTATTTCCAGATTTACAGCTTAATGACGTATGTATGGAGAACAGGAGTTATACAGGGTTCTGTATTACAGAAAATACAGTTTGTACACCTGGTAATGATGGAACGGGTTATTGTCAATGCAAGTCCAATTATGTTGAAGCGACCATTTCTGGATCTTACAATATATATTGTACAGAAGGTAGAGTAGATAATGATTTAATATAAAGAATCAGGTGAATTTCAGTTTTAAGAGAATTGTATTTAAAAAAAGTGTAGAAAACTGATGTTTTGTATACAATACAGTGTAGAAAACTGATGTGTTATATACATGTACAAAAAAGTGTAGAAAACTGATGTTATTTTACAACATAGAGTAGAAAACTGGTCTTTTGTATAATAAAACCACTTTTCTAATGTGTTCTCGAAAAACAACCAAAGTATCTTTAATAGTAAAATTGGGCGATTGAATTATATACAGAATCGTTTTTTAATCATCTTAATACCAGTCTTTCCGCACAATCATAAATATAAATTTTGAAAGGTTTTAATTTTATATGGAATTGTTGCCTATGGGTTATTATTTATTGATTTCAGCGCCTGAAACTTTATCATTTGAAAAAAGATATCAATGGGAAGTAAACGATGTAAAGACTGAAGAGCCCCAAACATTTGGTTAGTTGAAATATATAATAAGATCCATACGTATTGTAACAATATTTATATACATAAAATCTTTTAAAAAGAAAAAAGAAAACTTGTCCATGATATCTTGATTTAAATTGTGATGATAGATGATTCATCTTACGCTTTTTTGTTTTTATCAAAACAGATATAGAAATCAAAATAAACCCTAAATTCAAACGAGAACATAACAGTGTAGACATTGTTCCACGCAGTAACCAAATTTCGTCTACAATCAATGATACAACTTTAACGTTTACCATCAACAGTGCAAATCTATTAGAGGAATTACAGAAATACTTGGTGGAAGTTTCAATCTCCTTTTCGGGGAAACACGTTGTTCGGGATTCTTTTTTGTTGGATCTCACACTTAAAAGCAACGCAACGAATAACAACACCATGAACGTCACTGTTCCAGAAAATGCAGCAATTAACACCACGGTTGTATCTCTCTCATATCTACCAGGTTATAAAGATTTCCAATTTGTCGATTGTTCAAATGCCTTCCGTATAGAGAAAGATTTATACGTGAGTATCTATTCATTACCACAGTTGAAATTCATACAATTTCAGTGATAATTGTGTCTTAGAAGCTTATTTGTGGAATAAAACTGGTTGATTCTGCGCGAAATACTTTTAGAAACTATTATATGCCAGTCCATTGCAAATATAGCCTGAAACAAGTGTTACTTATTGAAGGCAATGCAATGATCAGTTGTATTACTGCAGTGCGATATTTTGTAGTTTTATTTTTTTTATACATTTAATAGGTAAAAACTAAAGTTGAATTAGACCGAGAAGTCAAGGATAATTACCAGTGTGATATTAAAGCAGTACTCATTAACAATGAAACATCGTGTGTACTGAGAGTAAGTAATATAAATTTAATAATACCAACGAATAAGGCTGAAGCATAGAGCTGGACAAATTCTTCAATTAAAATATCTTTATAAAATATCGCTCTTTAGAAGAAAAGTATAAATTAAAGTGGTAAAAGGGAGACACAAATTACTTCCGTAACTCTGGATGTCACTTCCTGATTAGGACTTTCGCACAACAGTATGATTTTTATACGCCCACATTTTCATGTGGACGTATATTGTCGTCGCCCCTGTCCGTCCGTCCGTCCGTCCGTCCGTCTGGACGTCCGTCCGGACGTCCGTCCACAATTGTTTGTGAACAGTCTACAGATCACAATTTTTATTCGATTTCAATGAAACTTGAAATATAGGTTTATCACCCTAAGATCTCGGTTCCTTTCGATATTGGCATGTATCGGACTGTACCTTCATGGATTATGGCCACTGATTGTACGAAAAATCACGTTTTTAGCTTGTGAACACTGTAGAGGTCACAATTTTTATCCGATTTAGTTTAAACTTGAAATGTATGATTATAACCCAAAGATCTCGGTTCCTTTCGATATTCGCGCATATCAGAACGTAACTTCCTGAATTATGGCCCCTGATTGTACGAAAAATCGCGTTTTTAGCTTGTGGACCATATAGAGGTCATAATTTTTATCCGATTTAAAAAAAAACGTATAATTATATCACCGTTACACCCTAGGATGGCTGAGTTCGAATTTCGTGAAAATCGGCACAAAATTGACAGACAAAATGGCCGCCGTTCGTTCTCAAATAGCGTAAAAATATGGTATATCAAGGTTGTGGACCCTATAGACGTCACAATTTTAATCCTATTTTGATAAAACTTGAAATGTAAGTTTATAACCCAAAGATCTTGGTTCCTTTCGATATTCACGCATATCGGAACGTAACTTCCTGAATTATGGCCCCTAATTGTACGAAAAATCACGTTTTTAGCTTGTGACCCTATAGAGGTCTTAATTTTTATCCGATTTAAAAAAAAAAACGTATTATTATATCACCGTTACACCCTACGGACGGCTGAGATCGAATTTCGGGAAAATCGGCTCAAAACTGACAGGCAAAATTTCAAGGTTGTGGACCCAATAGAGGTCACAATTTTTATCCGATTTTGTTGAAACTTGAAATATAAGTTTATAACCCAAAGATCTTGGTTCCTTTCGATGTTCGCGCATATCGGACCGTAACTTCCTGAATTATGGCCCCTGATTGTACGAAAAATCACTTTCTTTTTAGCTTGTTCTCTATCCATCTCTCGAAAATGTGGGCGTATCCTGCCTGGCAGCCGCTGGTTGACTTTGATATGTGGTTAGGTGGTCGAGTGGTTAGCATGTAGCACAATAGGTCATAATGTCTGTTATCAATGCAAATGTTGAAATTCCCAGCCCTGTGTCGTTTTTTGAGTGGAGGTTAACCCCACTTTCTGTAGAATTTCCGCTCAATCTCTCGCGATTAAATATTTCAGTAACGTGTGCTGTTGTGTACTTTATATGTGTTTTGTTTGTTTTTCATTCAAGATAGCCTGTGCCACATTTCTTTGTTTTTGTCTTCTACAGAATGTAGGAACATTGGTAATCGAAATCTTAGATAAAAACGACGAACCACCAGTATTTACACAACAAAAATATACAGGGGAGATAACTGAAAATTCACCGATAAATACAAATGTGTCTTTTAATAAGGTGAATATAGTTATATTATACACAATTTCCTTTTATCATTTATTAAAGATACATTATTCAATAGCCAAATATGCCTATTACATGTCTTTTTTTAGGCCTTAAATTAAAGATACATTATGGGAGATTCGATAACGAGTTGGCAGTTCTCACTATAATAGTTAAAAACTAGATACTGTAAAGGCAATTTGCTGAAAATTTCATTCAAATTGATCCACTATGAACCGAGAACTAAGCAATTGAAATTTCCGCCTAGGCTCGGTCATCATTACTAAAGTCAGTACGATAAACATCATAGTCTCGATTATCCACTTAATCGTTAAATCGTGAAGGAAAGTTATGCAGTAAATCGGCTCATAATCCACTAAAGATCGCAGGCTAGCGATGCCATCTAGAGTTGATTATGGTCTGGATAGGTTAACTAATGTCTAATTAATAATTTAGATAACCTTTCAGGCCTAAAGAAAGACCTGCAATAGACAGATTTAGAGCTTGCATGATGTATGTTTAATAATTGGACATTTATTAACATGGCAAGGCCATAACCAACTCTCTAGACCACCGGATGGCCAGCTAATGATTTAATTTAAAAATGGGAAAGTCTCGAATATACCAGTACCGTGGTTACAATAATAAACAATCAATGCTCATATCTTGTCAAAACTACAGTAATATCTTGGCTCGTAATGAAGTAATTTGAATTAAATTTTCAATATATTCATAGGGCATTATCTATTTTTGAACTATTATAGTATGAACGACCAGCTCTTTGTCTAAATCTTACATAATGTATCTTTAAAGGCACAATATTATAGGCTAAAACGTCTATCATTTCAGAAAGCACATTGGTCTAAAATTATTAAAATATATCAATCAAGTTATGACCAACTATACTTTGGTGAAAACGGACGTAAAACCCCAATCGACAATTGTCAATCAGCCACGGAAGAACAGCTTGTTTCTTTCCATTAACATGGAGGTCAATATGTCATCTAACCATTAAGTAACAATTATCCTCCTGGTACACATTAAATAATTTACTCTTATTGGAGAGTTATGTATCATATATCCTTGTATGGAAGCGTAAATTTGAAAGTCTGTAAAATCTACATCATTTGCTGCGTACATGTAAATGCAACTGGCACCCTATCAACATTTAGAGGCGTGCAACCATTTGTTCGCATACTTCCTATCCCTGTCACCGAAACCTTAGTAAAGCGCTTCGAGCCCTGATTCTTCAACTAGTCCTAACTAGCAATCCAATTGGTATTCGGAGTCACATTGTTTACTGAGTTATCCAATTAACCACCCACCCCTCCCTCCCCCGCCTGTCACTAAATCCTTGTACAGTTTCGACGTTTTGAGTTTTCCTACTGATCTAGTCTCCAGGAGGTACCCTATCGAAACACCGAGCCACATATTTCGAAAACCTAAATGAAGGACACCCTTGGGGGTCGGGAGTATATTCGGTGCTTTGTTATCATCGTGTTGATAAAATTTATTAACAACGTTTCTCTATATATTTTACACAGATACCAATTATCTCTGATGATAAAGACATTAGTCCTAATAATAATGTAACGTACACCTTAGACGGAACTGGTAGTTCGCTATTCAAATTAGAGAAGGTCGCCAATACCAGAGAAGTCAGAATTTCGTCTGTAGAAAAACTCGATCGAGAAACCAAAAGCTCCTACAGTTTCACTATTTCAGCTTTTGATGGTAATCAAACAAGTATTGTTGAGTTAAATATTGCAGTTTTAGATGTGAATGAACCACCCATATTTATCCAAGAATCTTACAATTTCACTGTATTGGAGTACTCCGTGGGTCAGTTTGTTGGCAGTGTCTCTGCTATTGATAACGACTCCGGTGAAAGAGGGGTCGTAATTTACCGTCTACAGAAGGATTTTGGGCTCTTTCGAATTGACAACAATGGTTCTATATTTCTAATCAACAGCATCCAGAAGAGGGATGAAGAGTGTTGTGAGCTGGAGATTTATGCTACCGACGATGACAATTCGCCGGTTAAAGCCTTTGTTAAAGCCAACGTAACTATAGAAGATAAAAACGAACCTCCACAATTTAACAAACCCGTTTATAGTTTTTACATTAATGAGAACAATGAATCAAATGCGACTATTGGAACTGTGATGGCTACAGATAATGATTTTTATGATAATGCTAAATTAAAGTTTTCAATATCTGGTAACATTGATGATATATTTCACATTGACACCAATTCTGGCAAAATAAGTTGCCGAAATAGTTTCGACTACGAAAAAACCCAAGTGTTTTATTTCACAGTAATAGTTGAGGACAGCGGTCATCCTCCCCTGAACAGCACCGCCGACGTGACTGTTCATGTCCAAGACGTCAATGACAACTCTCCCAAACCGGACGCAATATTTTACAAAACCACGGTATCTTTAAGAAAAGAATCTAATAATATAGGGAAACCAATAATCGTTATTGAGGCTACCGATGAAGATTCTGGCCAAAATGGTGAAATTTTCTATAAAATTGTTGAGGAATCTAACATGGATGGATTGTTTAATATTTCAAAATCCAGTGGACTGGTTACAATTGCGAAAAACACAACTAACTATAAGTCTTTTTACTTTCTAAACATCAGCATATCTGATATGGGTGAGTACAATGATAACAATTAGATTTCTTTGAATATATCCAGAACATTACAAAAAGATGGGTAGAATTAGAGATATATTCAAGCTCACAGTGTACTGGTTCATCACATTTAAACATTATAACCTATGAATTGGCCAATATGTGATGATGCCAATAGTTAAAAAATCAGTTCAGTTCTGTATCCAGGATCTTGCGACTATAACAACTTACCTAATTTAACGGGGGGGGGATTTTTTGTGATGCTTTTTTTTCATCAAACGTAATTCATTTCTGTTTTACTAAAATATGATTTATTTTTAGGCAACCCCCCGAGATCTACCAATATTGATTTAAATGTTACCGTTGATGAAGTCAGTGGGGCCCTTAGTCTTAGTCTTAGATTTAACACCACTGAAATATCTTATACTGTTCAAGAGGAGGACAAAAATCCCCATGATTTGTGGCACATTGGTGAGTTCGTGAAGAAAGACGAAAACAAAGACATCAGCTATAAATTTGTCGGCGATAGCCAAAGCGGTCATAATGTTTCAATTTACAAGAATGGAACATTAAACAATAAACATACGTTCGACAGAGAAAAAAAAGATTTGTATCAGCTAATCATACAGGTGTATGATACAAATGATTCGAGCATTAGCGATATAGTACTGGTGAGCATATCTTTTGAAGGTTTTATTTTGCTAACGTTAAAGAGGGAGTATTAACCAGTATGTTATGTTTCATTTCAGTTGTATTCCAAACATTGTTCCTATAAGGGGCTTGCGAGAAATATTCATCTTTCTTCCATTTTGCTGTGTTTGTAAATAAACGTTGCCGTGATTTTCCGCGTGAATCATCGTTAGTACAGAACCCCGAATGTACAAATGAATCTATTTAACCATGTATGTCTTTTCATCCTACACTCTAAATAATGAAAATCAGTCATAAAAATTCGCCCTGGGAGCAACCACTGTGGTTTTCCTGACGAACAAAAGTTCGGTCGCGTTAGCCGCTAGTATAAACGACTGCATTCAAATAAATAGTAATTAATCAAATGCAGTCGCAATCGGATTCGCGTTCTGTATAAACGACCCTTTAGGGTGTGTAAGATAGATTCATGTGTGAATCTGGTCTCCTTTATTAACATTCAAAATTAGTTTGTCAGAATGTTGGTGTTTCTCACCTTGGATATGTTATATTCTTATGGTCTAACATTGGAATTTTGATTTTATATTTGACAGGAAGCGTGATACACAGAAGATTGTCTACATTAGGATCATTCATTATTTTACTTTTTTTGTAATTTTGGACGTCTTTAGATCATATTTAGTATCTTTTGAATCGTAGACAGACAAAGCAAGGTGTTTTACTCGTAACTACCCCCTTCCTTCTCCAATTCTTATTTTAAATTTTGAATATTTTTAGGTAAACATAATAATTGTGGATATCAACGATAATGCACCCAGATTCCAACTTAGCAAATTCCACTTTGATTCAGATGAAAACGTAAAGGATCATTTTGTGGCAGCTGTTACTGCTACTGATAGAGATATTGGCAACAATTCTAATATTGTCTACAGCATAGATAATCGTGACGTTCGTAAGTATGAATTATGAATCGCTTAAAGAAGTCATCTTAGAGTATTCTAAAGGTCCCGTGTTAGATGCCAATATTGGCCGAGAACGTTTCTCGAGATTCTCCGGCGTAGTTTACCCTTGTCATTGATGCAGGGCAGAGTCCTGTGTACACTTTGGTGTGCATGTAAAAGACTCCTTAACATTAATTTTGTAATTGAATATAAAAGTAGGGCATTGTGCCGCGGTCGAACAAAATACTTCTCATTTCACACTGCATTACATAGGTCTGTCTTTATTAGCCAGGATTGGGCAGACTAGTAAGACGTAAACCCCAAATATTTGAAACTGTCCGGTCCGTTTTATTTTGATTTGCAGCAAGTTTCAAATGTTACAGTTGCAGTATTATCTGACTAACCATCTTTATAAGCCTGTTGTTTATTTTACCATGTCACGCATTAAACGTATGTTCTGTGTTGTACATTTCATTATAAATATTAAACGAATTGTTCAAGATTTTATTGTTTTATATAGCCTTTACTATAAACAGTACAAATGGAAGAATAACAACTTCGGGTGAAATAGACAGGGAGATGAAAGACTTTTATTTACTATATGTAGAGGTATGACTTTTCCATTTAAAAAAAATACTGAAATTTGATATGTCAAAATATAAAGAAATCTTTCGTTATTTAAATTTCTGAAAGATCTGATATAAACAGACAATTTTAATTTTATAATAATTATTTACAGGCTACTGATGGAAAACATGTAGTCAAGGTTAATGTAACAATGACGATCAATGATATAAATGATAATTCACCACAAATTCATGTTATAGAAGTATTAAATATCTATGAAAATAGTAGTCTTGACACTAAGGTAAAGACCATTACTTCAATTTCCAATAATTTATAGTTATTAAAGCTCGCTCAGTACATTTGGCACCACGTCACGCCTCCATTGCTATACAATTGTCTGCGTCGTGGCTTCATATTCACGATGTCGATGGTCGGATCAGATGACGTCATCGCAGACATTCAGGAATTGTGACATCCTATCAAAAATCGAAATTGATCAATTGCAGTGCACATTTGTCTAAGGAACATCCATGCCACGTTTCATGTCGATCGAACAAGCATTTTTTTAAAGTGCCGCCCCAAGAACAAGAAATACAGGATGAGTAATCCAACAATAATATATTTATATGGAAAAATTAATGTGCTAATAGTTAAAACCGTGATGGAATGGTCACTACAAAGTACGGTTTATACAAAAAGAATCAAACTAAGAGGATAATGGGATTATAGGACTACCTTATCTGCATGCTGATTTCAAAGGCTGTTAAACACTGCTAAACGTTTCCCGGCAAATTTATTCATTTCTTGACAAACGTAAGATTTTTCGGTCAGTATTTTTATTTGCAAAAGGAGATTTGACACCTTCCATCTGTAGCTACTATACCCTAAAATACAGCTGTAGCTACCATGTCTCTCTTTGTTTTAGCTAATGGACATTAACGCTACAGATGCAGATGTAAATATTAAAATTAGATTATCCATACTTAATCAGACGAATAGTGACTGTCCATTCAGATTACTTTCAGGTACTCTTTATCTTTAAAGTTAAAACTTATAAGAAACTACAATAGGTTAAAAACTCTAATCATAACTATCTATTTAACAGTTTTTGAGATAACTTGTATCGGTTTTAGTTTATAAATCAGTTATCCCAAAAAGATTAAATTCTAGGTGTAGTACCAAAAGAGCAAATTATAATTTACTTAAAATAAACTTCATAGCCCATTCGGTGCAGAAGAGTCCGCTTAATTTCATTTATGATAAACATACTGTATTTCCTATTCTTGAAATTGTTAAATTGCTGTGATAATGATTTATGAATAATATTTCTTGTTTCAATAGGTGGGCAGGGTAATGGTGAAATTTATTTAAATTCTGTGTTAGATTATGAGAATGACAAACGCAGTTATGTGTGTACAATATTAGCTGTTGACCAACCATCAAATAAAATAAACGACTCCAGATCGACAGCCGTAGATATTACAATTAATGTCGTAGATGTAAATGATAACGCACCGGTGTTCCCAAATTTTACAAGTAATATTACCATAGAAGTTGATATTGCCATAGGAACGGTTATAACACATTTATCAGCCAGTGATAAGGATTCCGGCAGTAATGGTGACATAACATTCTCTGTAGATACAGAAAACACCACGCCTTACGGTTACGGTACAGTAATTTTTACATTCTAATACTTTGTGCATAAATTTAATATTCTTTATAAACAAAGAATAATATTTAGACATAGTTAATGATTATACTTAAAGTGGGTGGGGTGTAGCCAAGAGGGCTAGCACGTGCGCTTTAAATCGTAAGATCTGCCATTGGGTCAAATACATTGGGAATAAAGACTCTGTGCTGGGGCTTTTAACAGCCTGTCAGTCTATGACGTATTTTTTTTGAATAGCAAGAGTTTTGTATAGCACTATCACATTTTTAATTATAATTTTAAATGTCTTTACATATAAAAAAAAAACCAAGCCATAAATTTAACTGTGTTGTTTGAAATTCTAATTTTACGTTATGTAAATTTTCTGACAGATAAATTCTCTAGCTGGTTAATTCTCTAGTCAGTAACAACAGGTTATATAATTGAAATGGGATCCCGATCATGCGCGCAAGGGAATTTTTAATATAATGATACATTATACGCTAATCCCGAAATGTCCTAGTTAGTTTTGAATGGTAAATTAAACATCAAAACTATATCAACGCGGTACCTATCCTTACAGAACACCTGATACCATTTGTTCGAGAAGTGCATGTAGCTTACACGTTATATAATAGCCTGAAGATTTTATCACCAAGCTCCTTGTAATGATCAATAATTATCTTTTAATTAACAGGCACCTTTTTCAAAATCGTCAACAATTCCGGTATTTCTGTTGAGAATAGCCTATCTTCTATTCCTAGTTCCACAGTTGAACTGGTCGTAATAGCAAAAGATGGTGGTCAACCAAGCTTAACAAGTCAATCTACGGTAAGTTAGTATGTACTATATGTTATACTTGGTAGTCTTGGGAAGACAATCCGTGTCTATACGATTAAATTTTTTATAGAAAGTTTTTTGTTAGTTTTGTTCCATGAGATGTTCCCTACCCAATGTCCAATTCATGGACATTCATACACACAATGATGAATTTTATAACGTGTTGCAATAAGCTAGGTTAAAGATAGTGATATATATATTATAGATTATTATTCTCCAATCTGTTTGAAATACGTATCTCTATTTCGTTTCGTCTTTTTATACTTTCGATGGCCTCTACTACATGGAGATCTGGGCAGTTGTAGTGGGAGGTCATGCCAGTGTTTATACGAGTGCATCGCACACCAAGAACTCGCTGCTACAGACCGTTTCATTGGCTAATCCCTCACGTCAACCAGAACGCGGGTTATACAAGAACTCTTCCAGATTGATTATTCTCGAAACAGTGGGAATGTTCATTGAAGCACGCGTCTTGTAAAAAATAGAATCTGCGGTGAGGTTCCAAAGAAAACTTTGGAACAACAATGTAAGAATTATGTTCCAATATATATACCTGTTTGGTTAATTTTTTTTCAGATTAGTATTAATATAAGCAGATCTGAAGAAATACCAAAATTTACACTTAGTAAATATACCCTCAATATTATAGAACATGATGACTACATACCAGCATTAACAGTAACAGCAAATGATACTAAAGATGGTGTTAATAGAGAATGTGCTTGCAAATACTTTTTACAAAGTGGTCAGTCTGATCTTAAGTTATAAAACTATTCCCATAAAGAACAAAATTCGAAATAACATTCAAGTTATTATTAAATATTTGGTGTTATTTTTATTTATTTGAACAACTGCACCATAATAATGCAGTTTACATCTTCTTAATGGGACTGGGCTTATAATAACTCGTATCGGTTAGAATTTGGTTTTCCATATTCAAAATGATAACTTAGGATTTAAATATGAATAGCCGCATATTTATTTTCATTAAGCTATGTCGCCATTTCGTCACTTGTATATCTTGTCGTTTTTGTAAGTAAACTATACAAGAAGTATATCTTCTAAAGTTACTGGTGAACACCTTATTTATGAGAAACGTGTCACGGTCGTGTGCTTTATCCTTTACCTCCAGATGGTGGGATGGGATGGGCATCCAAAGCGCGAGATAATGATATAGGCATAGGTAATATTACAATTAATGCTTTGCATCAATTGGGTCACAATGTCGTCGTATTAATTCATAATAATAATTGACGTCGAACGGGGTGTTGGATTTCTCTCTTTAAAAAGCTCAATGTGTATGTATATTTGCCAAAATGACGATCGAAACCATGTATTTTTCAAAGATAAAGACCCCCACCCCCTACTCCCCAAAGATACATTGTCTCAGGTACCGGGCAAACCTAGATGCGCCCTCTGGACAGCATATTTCGATTTGGATCTGTGGGTTACTGTGTCGCGGTTTGATTTGGTACCGGGTGTGGTAGGCATAATATACACTATATACATTACATATACAATACATTGTTCAAAATATACATAATATGCAACCGTACTCAAAACTAGGGCTAATAGTAACAGTGGGTAAAACAGAAAAAATATGTAAACAAATAAAAAATATAACACTAATTTACATTTATAGTAAACAGAGACTCTTATGTCTGTTATGAAATAAGCTCCCTCAAATCACCATGCATTTGACTCTCAAATTACAAGATGATCAAAGATGATGAGGTAATAACAATCATCTTAGAATAAAAACTTCTAAATGGTGAAATTTAAGAATAAACGAAAACTAAGTATAGGATATGCGATTTAATCGGGTTTCTAATAATTACAACAGCTGTCGGCAGATAATTGACACCCTTGACATCCTCCAAAGATTCTGAATAAATGAATGAATAAAATATGAAACTTTTGATTGTAGTATGTGCATAGCATGTATATAGTGTATATAGCTATCTAATAATTTGATCATACTTTACTTCTTTCATATGTTTTCAATATATATTTATGTTTGTATTTATGGAAAGGGGGTCTATAGGTTTCTGACTGTTCTCCAATCCAGTTTATGTGAATAAATATTGTTTATAAAAAAAGTGTCAAAGTGTGAAAATATCAGACAAAAACGATTCATCCCAGAGCAAATAACCCATATACTTCAACCTATATGGTTCTATATCTTTCAGAATATTTTTCAATTGACGTTAATACTGGACAGTTATATCTGAAAGAGGTAGTTGATCGAGAGCAAACTGGTTCGAAATTCAAAATTGAGGTTTCTGCAGAGGATGACGACAACCCACCAAGAACGGCGACAGCAGAAATAACTATATATGTTGAAGACATAAACGATAATCCTCCAGTGTGCAATCAGTCTTTATTCGATTTCAACATAACCCAGGTAAATTGAACATGGCACAACGGTAAAGCTACACTACTTTGTTTCGTGGTAAACGATTAAAGTACTTTGAAATGTTAAAATTATATTAAACCAGTGTTGAAATCAATGTGTGTCGGCATACCTTTTATCTGATCATTGTTTAGTGCAGAGAGAGAGAGGGAGAGAGACAGACAGAGAGAGAGACAGACAGACAGACAGACAGAGACAGCTGCAGAGACAAAGATTGATTGTTCAATTTTTATTTCAATAATTCGCTTGCGTTATGGGGGGTCTTTAATTGTAGGAGGAAACCGGAAGACCCGGAGAAAACCTACGAGGTTGGACAAGCGACCCTATTAAGTGCAAACTGGGTATGGAAACCACGACCCTTGACTCATTGACAGACGTTACACTTCAGTATATCAACAGTTTTAATATCTGATTTCAATATAACTTTAATGTGTGATATAGTATGCAACGCACGATTATATACTATTCAAAAAAAGTAGGGGATATTTGATTTTTAAGTGTTATTAAAGTCACCTAATGAAACCGACGAAGAATCAAATGACAAAATGAAATGAAGTTTACATTCATCGATTTATTCCAAATGATCGTTAGACTAAGTAAGGCACAGACTGACCAGTATAAGGGTAAAATGATACCCGGGGTCAAACAGCAAAGTTACCACAGCATCACAACCAAGTCAGTAACGGGTAAATCCTCCTCTGTTTGCCAAACAAGCATTGATCCGACGTGGCATACTCCTAATGAGACGTCTAAGGTCATTTTGGTCCAGATTGTCCCATTCCTGTTGCAACGCAGCAGCAAGTTCTTGGACATTGGCAGGACGTTGTTGACGTTGACGTAACCTCTGTCCAAGCATGTCCCAGACATGCTCGATGGGGGAGAGGTCGGGACTCAGTGCTGGCCAAGGTAATGTGGTGATGTTCTGTTGTTGGAGGTAACCTGTAACGATCCTGGCCCTGTGACATCTTGCGTTGTCATCCTGGAAGATGAAACGGCGGCCATGACGTCGTGCGAACGGCACAACATGGACTGCCAAGATGTTGTCCCGGTAGTACTGGCCTGTAACACGCCCTGCAACAACATGTAAAGCCGTTCTTCCAGCAACAGTGATGCCTCCCCACACCATAACAGAACCACCCCCAAATCGATCATGTCTGATGACGTTAACGTCTTGGAAGCGCTCATTTCGACGACGCCACACCCTCCTACGTCTGTCCAAAAAATCAACAGTGAACCTTGACTCATCTGAAAACATCACATTGCTCCAGCGTCGATTATCCCAGTGTTGACGATCCTTACACCAACGACGTCTTGCCTGAATGTGATGATCTCTCAAACAAGGGATCACGCGAGGACGTCGGGCGCGAAGGTGACCCCTATGCAGTCGATTCCGAATCGTCTGGCCACTCACTCTCACACCAGTGTCTGTTTGAAGACGAGCGCTGATCTGATTTGCTGTGATGACACGATTTCTCAAGGCCAAGGTACGGATAAATCGATCCTGGGCTTGAGTTGTCGCCCTTGGTCGACCTGAGCGTGGTCTGTCCTGTACAGATTGTGTATCACGGTATGTGGACCATAGCCTGCTTATGACAGACTGAGAAACATTCATCGTCCGCGCCACAACCGCCTGTGTTGTGCCGATCTGTAGCATGCCAAGGGCACGTAACCTTTCATTTTGGGTAAGCCGACGCATATCAAAATTTGTTTTCTGGTCACTAAAACAATTAAACTGATGTTTCCACCCTGGAATTCAATGCCACAGTGACTGTAACATTCAAAGTCAGAGTCGTGCAAATCTTGGGTTGGACCCCCATGATGATCCCAAGCATCACCTGCATTCCATGCGGTAGCTATTGGTGCGTTTGGGCGTCACATGTAACTGGAAATGTTTCTTCTGTTAGGTTCTATAGTGACTTTTTTCGTAGTCATTTGCATATTTTAGTATTATGCCCCCAAAATCAAATATCCCCTACTTTTTTTTGAATAGTATAGTATAATTTAGACTATATATTGTCAAATTATATTATATGTTAAGGGAGCCGGATGGTTAAATTAAATTTTTATTGATGACTTTGTGTAATTTGGTTTTCAGTCCGATACTACGATATTTGGCAAGGTGGTTGCTACAGATCAGGATGAAGGAGATAATGCTAAACTCTATTACCATAATAATAGTTCGGAAGGTGTTTTATTTACTGCCGATATAACGACTGGTAGTCTGCGTCTATCTAAACCATTTGTTACCACAAGCAGAATAACCCAAGAATATCTGGTAGGGATTAAAGGGAGAAAATCTGAAACTCTTGATTATCAAATCTGCCAACTAAAACACGAATGTTAGTCTCTGTGAGATTTATACAAAAATGGTTGTGCATCGTAAGTCAGGAGAAGCGGTGTTCTAGAAAGGTTAAGATAACCTATTCATCGCACAATTCCTCTACTACTTTGAGTTAGCAAATTAATCAATTGTAATTTTAAGAAGCCTAATCAATTATTTAGGCATTTCAGTATTTCTCTGTATGAATAACATTATTATATAATTTTTTATATTGAATAACACTATAATATATATTTTAGTAATGCGCTGTAGCAATAAAACTATTATATAATATAACTGTGATGTATGAATAATATCATTATATATATTTTCAGTTTGATGTAGAAGTTAAAGATACCGTATATGCAACAAATTGCAAAGTAAAAGTAACGATATTCCCCGACAACATCAACAGTCCGAACTTCACTAAAGGTTTTTTTTAAATAAGATAATATAAAATGAAATTTAATGTCGTACTTTTCTGCACCGACTGAGCTATTGAAGACGGACATACACCATGCATGTACAATATTTAATGAGGAAATTTTGGCCGAATTCCAACTGTTAAGGGTTCTTTTACGTGCACGACAACATTGTACACATAAAATGTTTTTTTGTTTGTCGCATCCGAACGACTAGACACTCATTGGGGGGTCCATGTCCAGTTCCACTGACAAGAAGAAAATAACGGGGAACTTTCTCGGCAAACACCGGGATCGAACCCGAATCTTCTGGTTAGTGAGCCACCACGGGTCCCTCTGGCTTGGGGTGACTAAAGGTGACTTTACAAGAGAAGTTACAGTTTTCACTATGTCTTCAAATAGCCGGCAAATTTCGTTTAAGTATGCAAACAAGATATATAGGAAATATTGACGAATAGCATGAAAGTTTCAGCTGAAAATATTGGGCTATTTGGAATTGATGTCGAAGATTGTTTATAGTGGTTGGTGCCACTTTTAGAACCCTTTTTTGAGTCGATGACCAAAATTAATTATAGTGGTTAGTATCGCATTTAGAGTGATTTCCTATAAACCCCAATTTTGTACTTCTGCTCCGCAGGAACCGCTATATTTCTTGTCCAGCCAGTGCTACCATATCAAGGAATGTTGCCAATCCCCTCCGTGCTCAATTTTAATATTAGATATGAATAAAATATAAAGAAACTAAACTTGTTTTTTAACAATTGGAATCAATATAAAGTCGATTTAGTAGTTTTTGGTTTTTGGAAAGATAGCGAATAGGATATAGCCCATAATTCGCCATATTGTCTTGGGACTAACATATTGTCAATTTTATTTTGACGTTGCTAATGAAGAGCTATGCCTTGAGCTATGAGTGAACGTTCGCCCCGATAGCGGCGCTACGGCAAGCCTATACTCTTATTTCGAATTCTAGTTGCCAAGAGTCGTGTACGTGCACACCATCTGAACGACTAGCCACCGTTCCATCTAAGTGCTTCCAGTCCTGCACAATTAACCAACCAGAAACCACACTGGGCCACCGTGGATCCGTCTTCTTAATCCCTGTCGGCGCAGAAAAGTGGGAAGAAAGTAGGAAGTTAGATTCCATTTCATTTCGTAGTCGTGACTCCCATTTTCAACATATTCACGATAGTAAGGATATAAGAAATCTAGAAAATAGAAAAATTGATATATATTATATTTATTTATTTATATTTCAGCTGAATACACAGCAGCTATACCCGTTTATGGTAAAAGGGGGGATAATTTAGAGATGTCAGTAGAAATAAAAGCTACGGATAGAGATAATGATACTATAACTTATGGTATAGATCCCAATAATGAACAGGTGAGAAAAAAAACAGTGTTCGACAAACTTTTAAGGTCTACATGGATTCACTGTAAAGTCTACTCTAAGTAAAATTATACCAACATTTCGTTAATTTTTATTTTTCGGTTATTCACACAACTTACAAGGACGTAATGTTTTGTTTTATGCTAATGTATTTGTATAATAAAATATTAAAATATTGAATATTTTATTTTAAAGAGTATATTTGATATAGACCCCACAAGTGGAATTATAAGTCTCAATTCTGATATAGACCCAAATACAGGGAATACAAAACTACGTGTAATTGTAATAGCTATTGATAGTGGTCTACCTCCTAAAACTGGGTAAGTTTTGCACATTTTTATTCAAAAATTAAAATAATCGGTGGCAGCATTTGACGGAAAGACCAAAAGAATATTGATATACCCTTGAAATACCATCATCCCTTCCCCAGCGACCAAAAACAACAAAAGCATTTTTAAAATGTCCCCCATTTGTAACATCAGCCCCCACCCCCACCTGCCCCTGCCCTCCATCCTGCGGTCTGTGCGTTATTAAAGACTATTTAATAATGCCCTAGAACATGTGAATCTCAAAACATCTTTTTTTGCAAGAAATCTGAAGTGAACTCTGTTGTTTTTCAGGTCAGCTACAGTTCATATTGCAATTACTGGTCTTCTTTGTGTAGGTAAAACAAATTATGACGTGGTGAAAAGTGAAGCAGATTTAACAGGCATATTTAGAATATTATTTATTGCAATGGTGGTCGGCCTATGCCTTTTTATCATCTTGTTTGTGGTAACCTGCTATAAGTAAGTACTGTTACCAATTGTCATTTGCTTTATCAGTGAGGTCGTGGCTGCAATGCCGTATTTATTGTGGGGTTTGAACTGAACTGAGGTGTATAGAAAGTTTTAAAGTTTGGTCGTGGTACTTGTCCTCGTTATTCATTTATAGTTAGAATGTAGGATAGATGGAGAGTGCAGGTCACATATTCTTCATGGCAATTAATTCATTTAAGTATAGCTACTTAAAGATACATTATGGGAGATCAGATAAAGAGATGGCAGTTCTCGCTATAATAGTTAGTGTAAAGGTAATTTGCTGAAAATTTCAGTCAAATTGATCCACTATGAGCCGAGAAAGAAGCCGGTGAAATTTTTGCATAGTCTCGGTTATCATTACTAAAATCATTAATATAAACAGCATGGTCTCGATTATCCACTTTTTCTGATTTAATTATCTTTGGCCGTTAGCGGCATATAGGAATCTAATCCAGCCTACATCGAAGGCTAGCCTTGACATCGAGAGTTTATTATGGTCTGGATAAGTTAATTAATGTCTAATTGATAATTTAGATAACATTTCAGGCCTAAAGAAAGACTTGTAATAAGCAGATTTTGCTCTTGCATAATGCATGTTTAAATAATGGATTACATATCTAATCATATATAACTCAGCGGCTATATTAACTTATAAATAACATGAGGGTGTCCATTGCATACCATGATCCAACACCTAACATCATCGTTGTAACACAACTATGCTCTGTTGTCATAGGAACCATTTCTTCAAAGGGTTCTGGCTGTAGTGACTTTAGTACCCTCCTCAATCGGTCTCTGACGAATTTAATAATATTTGCAATGCAATTAATTGTTTTCATCAAAATGAGTCTGACTTGGCTACCTAGCGCCTTTGTTTTTGTTACATGTATAAATTACAGGTGGCGAACATCTAAACGAAGAGAAGAGGCATTTGCTAGTGAGCTCTATAATTTGGATAATACAGGGATGAACAGAGAAAGTGATGAAGTCCCATCGGGGAATACTAGAAACAGATATGTAAGTGTAACCAGTGCTATCTATTTATTCGGTGATATGACCACAAGTATTCATAGCACATAGTGAAGGAGAGGATATTTTCCAGAACATTTTCATATGCTCGAACTTGATAGACAAAGTACATAGGAATAGTACATAGATTTCTTTTGAATTTATGTTATGCCCAGCACCAAGTCACCTCCACATTTCTATAGTGTTATGGCAGTATGGTGGTAGTATGAAAAGGAATATATGATGTATGCTTATGATCAATCTGATTAAAATACAGATCTTTATTTTATGATCAGTAGTGGAATACCGCGTTTTATCAGTGAAATAAAAGTGTTATTCCACTGGCTAGTTGTTTTTACCTAAAATGATTGTAAAATCATAAAATAAATAGAACATTTGTCGTGACAGACCGTTTCATTGGCTTGTCCCTGACACCATTCAGAACACGAGTTAAATAACAACTCTTCCAGATCCAAGTGTAGTAAAGACAAGTAAAACGAAATTTTGAACTATAAAAACGAAACGAAATAGGATCTGTGTTTTAACCAGATTAGCTTATGATCAGATACAAATATGTTTCACCCAGTGATAAGTATTTGCGAGATATATTCACTTTTCTTCACCATTTTCCTGTTTGTAAATATAGGTACTATTAAATAAGATGTGTCTTGTTCAGAAGCGTTTATTGTAGATTGTTCAATAATTAGGTATCTCCATTAATTAGACAGTTAGTGTGTAACATTAAATGTTTTTTGTTAATGAAGAAAGTTAGGATATATTTACTATCTTTTAAATAGTAGATAAATACAATAAGATGTTTATACTCGCCATTTCACTAATAGATATATAACTAGATATTTACACCTATAAATTATACTTCATCCATGTATTACAATATGTTAATTATTATTTTCAGGAAAGTATGGGTACCCGTGTTAATGATCAGTATGAAGGAACAGGATTTCAAAATACGGGATTTCAAAGTACGTCAGTTGAAAATACGGGAGCTAAACCCATGGGACTTGAAAATACGTAAGTAAACATATACAATAAAGATAGATTGCCAGGCAACGAAACATACGCCCACAGCAGCTAAGTCGTCCGCGGGTCAACCAGAGTTGTCGGATATTTTTTTCTAATGAAACATTTATAATACACTAAAATCTGATTAACAGTAACAACTCATTAAGTAATTATCAGAAAATCATTAGAATTTGTTTGGCTTTTAGTTCTGCCCCATGCTAACGTTTAGTATACGAAACATTTAATATCATGAATTTAGCTGTTCAAGTTATCAAAATTCATTGAAAATCAGCATACCTGTTCGGCTCAAGACCTTAAACTCTGTTTATCAATCTAAAGTCAATCGGATGATAACTTTGGTCTCTAATCGCTGAAAACCAATAGGCTTCTTCGTCTCGTGATATTAACTTTAGCCTCTAGAGCGTCCACAAGGACGGACGGACGGGGGCGACGACAATATACAACCACAATACAATGTGGGCGTATAAAAAATGAGGGCCGTCAGTAACACTGGCGTATTTCGTGACATACATAATGTAAATTTTAGGATCCATTTATAATATATAGTCATTATTTTAATTATTTATAAGATTAATTCATCTGTTCAGCTGAAGTCGGTAAAAAAAACTTGAGTTTTGACTCGGATATACTAGCTTTGAATGATTCAGATGATGGCCATGTCCTATTGTCAGGTAATTTTGATTGCATCCAACACGATGTAATATAAATAGTGACCAGCCTAAGATTCACGCTTAGCTTCTGGGTCGATGTGCTTAAAGACATGTTCTGGGATTTAGACCCGGAGTTCTGAAATATAAGTCACGGGGCGACCTTCAGAATTCTAGAAGTGGGCCAAAATTACATAATATAATACAACAATAATAATAACATACAACAATAATAAAGGTGTGGAATTTGATATACAAAACTACACAATATTATTGGCTTATGCATTTTTCCTATTTATTTTTCGGTCTTCATTAGCCCAGTAGGTGCAGTAAAGTAGGACGTTAAACCCCATTGCATTACATTTCATTTCTTATTTATTTCAGAAGATTCTCTGATGATAGTGAATTTTTAAATGGAGTAGAACCAAAGCCAGATTATCCACAGGAGTGAATATTTTTCAGAAAATACTATATTCATTATCGTGAAAATATTTTCATGTATTGCATGCTATACCTAATCTTAAACGCCATCTATCACAAGGACCAGTTTTTATGTACTAGATGCCCCGATTTTCGATGTAAATGTTGCGATCACATAACGACAACTGCACTTATAATATTTATAACTTCACGTTTAATGTCAACGACAATATGAACTGTGATTTGGAATGGGAATGGTTGTTGCCACTTTTACATCGGAGAAAGATTACGCAACCATCTAGGGGACTGTAACATTCAAAATGGACCATTTCTTTTTGTAAATAGTCACACATTTCAATGTGCACAACATCTACAAATGAAATTCCAAATTAACAATGATCCATGAATTATCTTAGTCTATCCCGAGATAGTCTATCCCACTCAATGTTCCTAAATTATACCCATATACGTATGGTTTAATGTTCGAGGGCGAGACATTAAGTAATTTATTGATACTGCACGAGGCGTAAGCCGGGTGTTGTTTCAATTTATAACGCAATGTCTTTAGCTCGAGACCATAATTAAACAACTTAAAATATAATTATCCCGCACATGCTATATACTTTGTAACTGCGGACTTATTGTAACAATAGACAATTAAAACCACGGTGTTACTATCTTAATATTTATAAATTGTAGTACTGTGTCCATCTCTATACAATGACATTATTTATGAATAGCTCCAAGACAACGAGTCAAAAAGTACTTTTAAAATGTTATTAAACCAGTGTGGAAATCAGGGTGTGTCGGCATACCTTTTATCTTTTCATCGTTTACCGTGAAACAAAGTAGTGCAGCTTTACGGTTGTGCTAATATTTTTGTATATACTTATATTTTATATTACTGATACAGTTATGATTTGTAATGATTTGAATTATATTAATCCCAAACTGTTAACCATATTTTTATGTTATGCAACTTTTGAAATAAACCAATATAGATATTTCAGTTGAGATTTATGTATTATCATTTTCATCTATTTATAGTTAATTTATGTAGTTTTGTATATCAAACCCCACACTTACATTATTGTTATGTTTTATTAGTATTGTTGTATATTATTATTCTTATTACCGATGTGTATATTTTGTTAACTATGGTATTAAATACAAGTAATCTTAAGTTTATTTATGGTCTTATTTCAACACCACATTATGTTTTCGGTCATGTTGTATGGGGGTTAATATCCACAGAAGGGATCTTTCTTTAACAGGAGAAGAAAACAACAGGTTATACAAGCGACCCCACTCTTTGCCATATATACAAAAAAGACCACGACAGACGAAATGATTCACAGCCATGTGTGGGCCAACTAAAAAGATAGGTTGTCTCTAGAGAGTCCACGAGATTCTGCTGTGTCCCATGACCTTAAATACTTTGCATCAATTTAAAGTTAATCCGGTGATAACTTATGAAAATAAGCCCTAGTGCGTTCACGGGCTATTGTGATTGGGGTCATAGGCCCCAGGGACTTCGACATCAGAGGGCCCCCAGAAAAATGTCAGATGCGGGAAAAGCGATGTGAGCATGGCCGGACCGCGGGCTACATCGGATTTTCAAAGTCCCGGACAATGGGGGGCCCTTCCATGTATTGTGGGCTTGTGTTGCGGTTGACATCCGAGAATTCGGTGTAATCCGGCGATGTTGCGTCGTACTTTCGACTTTTATCCTTGTTTCTATTTTTTATTATTATTATTTAGCGAGAAAAGTGTACCAAGTGTATATTTTGGTTACAACTTTGAACCCATTTATATTCGAGGTTTGAACGCAGAATCTGTCAAAAATGTCATTGGTTATCTCCGAACATAGTTTTTTTTCTTTTTGCTGCCGGTGAATCGAGGAACGATGGATTTGTATTCTTCGACATTTAACCCTACACAATAATTATTTGATAATTTGGTGTGTATAATATGTGTAATTTCCGTATAGACTACATTATTTACTTAGATATTTCGCCTTTTGGTTCCAACAAAACGCATTTAAATGTAGGTCAGCCCCGCCGTTCGTCAAAAATCAACTACGGTCGGTTACTTCGCGGATATGACTAAAGGTCCATCCTTATTTATCACTGACCGAGGGCCCCCCACAATGGTTAATCCGGGGCTGCACCGATGGACGGACAGACGAGGGCGACGCCAATATACCACCACATTTCAATGTGGGCGTATAAAAATGGGTGTATACAGTGAAACAATTCTGCCAACATTGTTGGCCCAACAACACATTTATGATCACAATAAAATTGTATTAAAGAACGCCCACGAATAAAAATCTAAAAAAAACCATTAAAAATACATTATGTAAGATTTAGATAAACAACTGGCTGTTCTTGTTATAATAGTTCAAAAACAGATAATGTAAAATGAGTATATTGAAAATTTCATTCAAATTACTTTATTCTAAGCGAAGTAATTACTGTTTGTAGTTTTGACAAGATGTGTGCATTGATTGTTTATCATCGTAACCACGGTGCTAGTTGTTCGAGTCTTAGCCTCGCTTCTCCATTTTTAAATTCAATAATTAAATGGCCGAACCATTCTAATCTACTTAAAATCGGAGCCATGTTAATAAATGTCTAATTAATAAATTATACTATTCAAAAAAAGTAGGGGATATTTGATTTTGGGGGCATAATACTAAAATATGCAAATGACTACGAAAAAAGTCACTATAGAACCTAACAGAAGAAACATTTCCAGTTACATGTGACGCCCAAACGCACCAATAGCTACCGCATGGAATGCAGGTGATGCTTGGGATCATCATGGGGGTCCAACCCAAGATTTGCACGACTCTGACTTTGAATGTTACAGTCATTGTGGCATTGAATTCCAGGGTGGAAACATCAGTTTAATTGTTTTAGTGACCAGAAAACAAATTTTGATATGCGTCGGCTTACCCAAAATGAAAGGTTACGTGCCCTTGGCATGCTACAGATCGGCACAACACAGGCGGTTGTGGCGCGGACGATGAATGTTTCTCAGTCTGTCATAAGCAGGCTATGGTCCAGATACCGTGATACACAATCTGTACAGGACAGACCACGCTCAGGTCGACCAAGGGCGACAACTCAAGCCCAGGATCGATTTATCCGTACCTTGGCCTTGAGAAATCGTGTCATCACAGCAAATCAGATCAGCGCTCGTCTTCAAACAGACACTGGTGTGAGAGTGAGTGGCCAGACGATTCGGAATCGGCTGCATAGGGGTCACCTTCGCGCCCGACGTCCTCGCGTGATCCCTTGTTTGAGAGATCATCACATTCAGGCAAGACGTCGTTGGTGTAAGGATCGTCAACACTGGGATAATCGACGCTGGAGCAATGTGATGTTTTCAGATGAGTCAAGGTTCACTGTTGATTTTTTGGACAGACGTAGGAGGGTGTGGCGTCGTCGAAATGAGCGCTTCCAAGACGTTAACGTCATCAGACATGATCGATTTGGGGGTGGTTCTGTTATGGTGTGGGGAGGCATCACTGTTGCTGGAAGAACGGCTTTACATGTTGTTGCAGGGCGTGTTACAGGCCAGTACTACCGGGACAACATCTTGGCAGTCCATGTTGTGCCGTTCGCACGACGTCATGGCCGCCGTTTCATCTTCCAGGATGACAACGCAAGATGTCACAGGGCCAGGATCGTTACAGGTTACCTCCAACAACAGAACATCACCACATTACCTTGGCCAGCACTGAGTCCCGACCTCTCCCCCATCGAGCATGTCTGGGACATGCTTGGACAGAGGTTACGTCAACGTCAACAACGTCCTGCCAATGTCCAAGAACTTGCTGCTGCGTTGCAACAGGAATGGGACAATCTGGACCAAAATGACCTTAGACGTCTCATTAGGAGTATGCCACGTCGGATCAATGCTTGTTTGGCAAACAGAGGAGGATTTACCCGTTACTGACTTGGTTGTGATGCTGTGGTAACTTTGCTGTTTGACCCCGGGTATCATTTTACCCTTATAATGGTCAGTCTGTGCCTGATTTAGTCTAACGATCATTTGGAATAAATCGATGAATGTGAACTTCATTTCATTTTGTCATTTGTTTCTTCGTCAGTTTCATTAGGTGACTTTAATAACACTTAAAAATCAAATATCCCCTACTTTTTTTGAATAGTATATATAACATTTAAGGTCTAAAGAAAGACCTGGATTAGGCAGATTAAGCTTTTGATCTGAATGATTTCTCGTGTAAGTCTATCTTCGTTCTTTATGCTATTTTAGCATTTCCTATTTCAGATCAAAAATTCAAAATATCCCATTCTCTTTCAGGCACTAGACGCTGTATACCTTTTTGGGTGTTATAGTTACGTTTAACTACATGTTCACAAAGAACAGTAATAACGAAAACCAGCAATCACATCCTAGATGGAAATTTCGTTAAAAAATCAATTATAGTTTATTATATAAAATATACATTCGCACAAAATTTGAACTGTCATAAATAACTATCATAATCATTCTTCGGGTCGTAATATTTACAATGAATATACACAAGAAATATCATTTATCATTCTTTTTATATTGTTCATTAATTTCTTTAAATCCGTCTTTAACATCTTTAGTAAAACTTTCTTTCATTGAGCCTAATTTCTGTCCTGTTTTACTAGCTTCGTCACGCATTTTATTTATGATGTCTGCCTCTTGTAGCTTTTCTAAACCTTCATGGCCTGAAATAAATAAATCTTTGTCGAGCGTTAGTGTGCAAACTTTAGAAATTCGGTGACTTTCGTCTCCGTCATTTTGTAGACTGTCCCTGTCATTATCGTATTTCGAATTGTGCACTCTTTCCCTATCCTTTTAGATGATTATAGTGATTCTTAATGGGAGGTTTGGTATTTTTTTTTCTGAACTCCCAAAGTTTATTATACACTGCCGGATAGCTGAAGAATTTACCTAATCAAATGCATATCTCGCCGGGGACTGTCTTGTACACAAAGATTACGCATTGACCATTCTAAAGTTTTGCCAACATGCGATGTCGATAGGTGGTATTGTTTGGACACAACGTCTTACACCTAAGGTAATCTGTGTTAAAATTTTAAAAAATTAAAAATCTTCGAACATTTGAATGTCCGGTAAACTGACAAAACACTGGATATAAAGAGACAGAAATGTCTGGCATCACAGATAATTTTAGGCCATTATTCGGCTAGTGTATACCATAATGGATCATAAATATGACTGACTAATATTTTATGAAGTTATGGACCGTAATTTATGTTGGACTAAAATGCTACCGGACATAGATTCAACATCGCACTATTATAATTTGGACATTAATTACTAGAATTCGGGTACCGTTACAGAGTTTTTCAGTCGATCGGGTACTCTTCTGTATACAGCAGAAGGGACTCCGGTACAGGCACTTCAAGTGCCTGTGGATCCCAGGTACTGTGGTATTATAGCCAACAACGACCCCTTCAGCGGGACTAAGATGTTCTTACCAAGGTCTTTTCCCCTGTGAAATACATAAGCTGTCATTTGAGCTGCTCTACGGATTGGATAGCTCTCTGATAGCTGTAAATAAAGAGGAAATACTATCACTGAGGAATTTCTATAAGAAAACAAAATCGAAAAGCATGTTGGATAAAAAAAAATGCATATTCTGACAATCAGGCTAAAGTTTGTTAAACAGATTTATTTTTCAAACTGGGAATGAAGCATTTACCAATTTGGGGTCATGAGAGGACGAACCTTTCCGCGACCTTCTGTTTCTGAGTTATAATGTTGTAGCGTAAAGGCTACAGTTTTTATCCAGATTTTGTTTGAAGCACTGGAGTCATGAGAGAACAAGACACAACTGCTGTTATTTAATTTCATTCTTCCAACATTTTAATATCCATATACATATAAAAGCTATGTGTGATTTTGTGAGTTATCGATATTTTCTAAACACCAGCTCCTTTTAAAATGCTATTTATATTAATGGTATGTGGCCCAAATGGACGTTGAGGTGCAAAAAAAAAAAAAAAATTTATCTTAACACTGATCATTGTGATCATTATGAAATAAAGGTCATACGGCTGAAGCTTAAATTTCAGACATATATGCATGTTTCAATGTTTTTCTTCAAAAAACATACCTTTTGGACAACTTGTTCGTTTTGTAATAAATATCTGAAATGGAAAGAAATGCACATCAAAAGCTTAATAGTACCGAAATTAACATACACAACTCTAATTCAATTGCTCACACGGAAGACATTTCTGTACAGTATCATATATAATATGCGTGAATCTAGTCTCGCGATAGTCTATTTGAGTATTAGTCTAGTCAAAATACTGAAAGACCCACCACAAATTCCAAAATATTGTAAAGACCTGCACTAACAGTAGAAATCTCAGTTCTCAGACAATACATCTTCTAAACTCTCCCAACTATTAACTTATAACTTGCAAAATGAGCTTTGTCCTATGCTAGACCTTTTCTATGGAATAAACTACCAAAGCCAATTATTGTCTGTGGGCCATTTAAAATTGAAAACTAGCATTTCTTTTTTATATTTAAAAATAACTATTGGAAGATGACGGATGTATCCAATTGCTTGTTCCTTTATTTTAATATGTATACTTGAATTTATTGAGTATCAATTACATTCGCTTTAAAATTCAAATATTTCTATTGTTGCATAACAGATGATGGCGTAAAGGTATCTTGTATTATTAATATAACATGACATGGGGATCAATCAGGGAAAGTTAAAGATGAAATAATAGTTCTCGCAATAAAGGTTTAAAAAATAGATAATGAAAAGGGGATATACAAACTACACGCAGCGATCCATCACGTTATACTTCGAGATTATGATCACTGCCCTAGTTGACCTCCATTTAAAACTCTCATGTGATCATTTTGGGGCGGGACTTATCGACTGGACTACTGCTTTATGTACACAACAGAGTAAAAATAACCCGATCAAGCACGTGTTTTATGTAAACACATGTCATTGGCAAAATGTCAACTTCTGCCACTCCGGTAAAAGCGATATACATGTATGATATGTGCTAGTGGGTAATATTGCAATACATTCTTTGCCATTGTAAACTGTCTTTAGAGTTTCAATCTGTTTATCTTTCAAAACAAGGTTAGATACTCCTAAATTTGTCTTCGCAAACAAAACCGCCTCTGTGAAATTATCTTTCATGGACGCCGCCATATTGAATAATTAGAGGACTATTTTGTGATTCGGCTTTGATTACTTTGACATCTTTCATACACACAGCGGCTAAATAAACATATTTAATTTCATTCAAAATGACAATGAAGAGAAATAAATACTTCTAAAAATTACTAAAAGCATACTCAGTGTTTTCGACTAAAATCTTCGATGTAGGATTTAAAATGTCGGTTAATTACTTAGGGCCTGTTCTCAGGCGGAGCTAGCTGTAGACAGGCAGAACATGTTTGGGATGAGGAATATGTTGAAAATGTCTGTCAAATTACTTCATTCTGAGAGAAGTTATCGTCGTTTACAGAACAGTGTAGTCTCGATTGTCATTTTTAAATTAAATCATAAATCTGTTGAAAATCAAAACCATCCGAAGTTCTAGACAGTTGATTATGGGCCTGGTATGTAAATAAATGTCGCATAAATTATTTATATAAGATTTGAGGTCTAAGGAAAGATCTGCAATAGGCAAATTTAGCTAAATAATGCACCTTTAACCAGCATAAGACCCTTTATACTCAGTTATAAAATCGATCTCAATCAGTTTCACATTTAGCATGATTAAACTTAAGCGATAAAATCTCAAAACGTTTCACTACCTTCGGCATGATTTCATTTTAGCGATAACCGATTAATGTACATGGATGATAATTCTACAATCATTTGATTGTAACTTAAAAAGTTCATTCAACGTCATGATATATATTTACACGCATCCTTTCATACGGTTCTGTCGCACAGATTAATAATTTATAGATTTTGTTTGAAATGAAAGAAAGGTATTTTTATACCTACAAAAGAAATTGTATTCGTTTTTTTTAAAATGCAAGGTGATGCTGGCAAGCGAATACAAACCACGCTGATATGAATATTATAAGACTTGAATTTATTTTGTTGCTATGTATTATTGTCCTAAAACATTCGTGGTAAATATATGATATACGAAGAATACAAACCAAGCTTGTGTGAATATTTTATACATGTAGTTTGATTTTCTATTGTTGCTATGTCGAAAAGTGAAGTAACTATATATCAACATTGTTATGCATATACTGCCTCAGTTTTAATAAAAAAGATAATATCCCGTAATATGATCAGGTAAGGTGCCCCCCCCCCCGCCCCTGGATCCGCCCCTGACGCTCATACTTAATATTACAACCACAGTAACATTAATCCTGGATCAGCCCCTGACACCCACAGTAACATTAATTGTCATGTACATGTAATTAGAATTAAAAAACGTGTCGGATTAACGCTTGGGTTCACCTTAAAAAGGAAGAAAGTTAAATTTAAAAAGAAAAACCTATTAAAAAATAATTCAGAACCTTTATTTTTTTTGTGGCCTGGATTTTCGGCTGGCCCTAAGGCACCTGCTTTACTTGCCTAATGGTTAATCCGGCACTGCCAGCTGTATGCCAAGTCCAACACAGAGACCAAGAAGGCAAGATGAAATTATTACTTGGATTTAATAAATAAATGTCCTAATCAGTTTAGCGTTATTTCTGCTTCTTTGTTTATTTTTATTTTTGAAGTCTAAAAGAGAAAGGAAGGTATGGATATGCACATGCTGTGTGTGTGTCAATTGAATAATGGCATAATAGTTTATCGTTTACTTTACTGAGTCCTCTCCAATTTATAATACATGTATTATCACTTCTAGTTCTGTAGCCAATCCGTTAAAATAATTTGGTGTAAATGTAAACTGTAAGCCATTAGGTTTTTAAACACTGGGGTCTTTGATAATTTATCGATCTCTAAAATAACATAACCACACTATCTAGCTACCTAAGTAACGGTATACGGCGTACATATGTCCGGGATTCCGTTTGAATGCTCTCACCTTAACAATGCCCGAAGTGGCATCCTCCGGTTTCTAGTCCTTGTTCGTTCTGCAATCTCTGATTATTATAGCATTCTCCAATGATGTCGCAGATCATAAGACTTTGTCCAGTTGGATAAGAATAATATATTTTGTATTATCATGGAATAAAAAATTTTGTTGGATGTTACTCATCGTGTATTCTAGCACCAACTGTTGCTGCATTTGTTTACTGCTATTTTTGTTCAGTGACCCACCATGAACCTTATGACATAATTAGGCCCTCGATCTAACGAGGGAGACCAGCAAAAGTCGGAGCCTCCAGACGTGTTATACTGCACGGAGATTGTATTTTAACCTTCACCTTTATATAATAGTAGGGTGCGCTGTCATCACGTAAACAATTACATGTGGAAAAGAAGGCAGGTAGTTGTGTTATTTCTTCTACAATTATGTAATGTATACGAATATATCATTGTAGCATTTGTGTATAAAAATGTATATTATGTTCTTGCGAATTTCACTTTATTCAACTGTAAATCATGCCAGTACATTTACGCAGTCGCAGTTGATGAGTTATAGTTTATCCAAGAAAAGAAAATGCCAACTTTTATTACGTACCTCTCATGACATGTACATCACCCAAAATCAAACGAGACAAAGTTTAGTAAATCTAAATAAGTAAATAGTCTTATTTTTGTTACAGTGTGTACAACAAACTCGACATACATGTTGTCATGGCTCATTGTACATGTACTTTAAAGGCTCAATACCACTCGATCTTGTTGTAACTGAATTTATAATATGTCCCAATCTTTATTCTGCCAATTCTGGTCAACAAATTGTACTATTTTACAATATTCCAATTAATTGGTGATATAAATTTCATCTTAACACACCAAATTTAAAAAATTTGAAAAATTCAACTAAATGATTTGAAAAGCCTGACGTAAAGCTTTTCAAATGTGACTTGGATTTAAAAATATTTTTGAACCCTCTGGACAAGTAAAATAGGATTTAATGGATAATTTACACAACAGGTAAGACACTAACACATCTAGTACTTAGAATAAGGCTATTTTTTATTTTCTGGAGCTGTCAAGCCAGCAAGAGTGTTATTGTCCCTTTAAAGCAGTATGTGTGCCGTGGTATGTTTAATTACTGTCTGAGCCATCTGCATTGTATCTTAATTAGTACATGTATATTACTATCTTATTTTTTTTTTAGTACATGTACTTTTACTACCTTAGAGGTTTCGATTTATTAAAAAAAACACTTCTAAAACCTTGTCAATCTGAATCGAAACAGCCTTGGGATCACATCATTGACAAAACCAATCGGATAGGTTGAGTAATGAGAATCTTCTAATGAAACTTTGGCATAGCAATAGCCTGAGCCTAGTACATTATTATTTTTTGATTACTTTAGTATTTGAGTACAAATGGCGATATCAATTACTATTCATTGTGGAGGGATTGGATGACCGGTTAGCACATGCTAATAAGGTCTGTCATTGAGTCAACTGGCATGGTTTTGATTCCCCGGTTGTACTTGACAAGGAGTAGGGCTGCCTGTCCAACCTTGTGGGTTTTCTCCGGGTCCTCCAACTGCTAAAGACCCCTACACGCAAGCGAATTATTGAAAAAAAATTGAACCATGTGTTAGGTCCAAAATGACCTAGTAGTTTATATCGCATGGAGGTTAAACCCCTCTCTCTCTCTCTTTTCTCTTCATTGTCACAACTGGTATGGAGTCTCATTGGGGTCATGAGAGGATGAACCTTATCCATATTTATCAATCTGTGACCTTCCATTTAGCAGTTAGAGGATGAAATGAAATGGGGTTTAACGTCCTACTGTTTTGCTCCGAACTGGGCTAATGAAGACGGGCATACGCCATACAGTGTGCTATGAGGGAAATTTTGCCCGGACAGCGGCACTACGGCCTACTCTTATATCGAATTCCAACTGTCAAGGGATCTTTTACGTGCACGCCAATGTGTACACGGGACCTCGGTTTTTCGTCTCATCCGAATGACTAGACAGCTGTCCTTGTCAGGCCCTCCGTCCTGCATCACTGACAAGGGGAAACCACACCGGAAAATCTGGATGAACTTTCTCGGCCAATGGAGGGATCGAACACCCGACCTCCAGGCTAGCGAGCCAGCGCCTTACCCACTTAGCCACCGTGATCCCCCAGTTTGAGGATGAGCCCATTGATTTTTCCTGCTTTTCATCCAGGAAGTATTATATTAGGTTATATAAAAATTGTTTAGTTATATGTATGTATCTTAACATATTTATCTTGTTTTTAGAACTGATAAAAATAAGTAAGAAAATGAATCAGATTACTAGAAGAGTATTGTCACATCATTTGTTCAAGAAACTGAAGTTTGTCCGACAGCTCAAGCATTCTTGTTGTAATGTCACATCCACTGGTCAAAGGGATATAATCAAAGATCAAAGACATTTCTCCACGGCATCATCCAGTGACAAGAAGATTTTAAGTGTTTCTACCTTATTATTACAAGATGGTCTGGATATTGATGAGTTACCTATTATTATACGACATTCAGACAGATCAACATTTCCTTTTACTGATACGGGTAATACCCAGTCAGAAAAGACTATGAAGCATGAATCTCAAGAAGACAAACAGTTCAAGTCACATATTCAAGAGTGTGCCTCAGTAAAACAGATCTTTCAGCTTCTTGAGATTCCATCCGATTTTGTGAATGTGCTTTCTGCAACTAATGCACTTTTTAAAATTTGTCAGTTACAAAATGACAATAAAGGTTTAGATGACTTACATTCATTTATTCACAAAGCTATAATGAATGAATTGTGTGACACTGTAAGTAATGAGATTTGTACATTAACAAATGACACGTTAATAGCAGTATTTCAGTGTTCGAAACGATCAGAAGGCATATTAGACAGATGTTTTTCTTCTGTTGTGCAAGAAATTGAACGGAGGATAGGTGACGGTAGATTTTCCATTGATGAACTATGTCTCCTCGCTGAAATTTTACATACTCCACATAAAGACAAAAGACAACGACAATTACACAAATATTTGTGGATTCACATTGGTAATCGGTATAAGGACATTTCTGAGACAAATGTTGCAAAAGTCTTACGATTATATCCCAGATCTATAAAACATGAACACTACATAAAATTGATTGGAAATCAGATTGCTGTATTTTGGTGGAAACTGAAAGGGGAAGATTTTGCTTCCGTTGTAACATCTTTAATCCAGCTCAATTATCATGACAATAGACTCTTCTCAAGGCTTGCTCGTTGGTTTTCTGTAAATGTTCATGCTGTAAGAGAAATTGATTTAATGGTTATGTTGACAGCATACAATCGTTTAAAGCATCCTGTTTTACATTTCTTTGATACACTAGAGAAGTACGTTGCTGCAAAAATAGACAAAATTGATGTCAACCTATTGGCACTAATTGTGCAGTTGTGTCGTACAAAAAAGTATTTATCACCTGTTATTTTAGACGCGGCTGCATCACATTTTAAACAGCATGGACAGGAATATACACCATTACAGTTGTTGACTATTCTCAGATGCTTTGGACATTTAAATTATTTGCCAAATGAACCAACAGAGTTTCTTTTCAAAGTAGAATCAGTGTTAGATGAAGCTTTCGAGGATCTTGGAGTTGAACGAATATGTGCTATTTTGTCCTCCTTTGCAATGATTGGCAAAGTGTCTATGAATTTAGCCCCCAGAGTATTTGATGAATTGTTTTTTATCAGAATCAAAGGTACAAATATGCACACCTATTAAAACATTAAACATTTTGATACATGTACATGTAGGTCCATATGTTTAATGTGGTTTATATTATTGTCACCCCTGTCCATTTGTCCAAAGCCAGAGTTACTTTCTTAAGCAATTTTTCAGGCTTAATTAATATTGGGGTAAATTGTTTTTGATTGTTTTTGCAAAAGTTGTTCCTAAATGATAATACAATTATTGATAAACAAACATGCAATCCTACTTTTTTTTTTACATAATTCAATTCTTGGCTGATTTTCATCCATAAATGTAGATTACCTTACGCACACTCACTCCATAGAGTTCAATTTTCGAAAGATTTAAAGGGGGGTTGAATGGCCGAATGGTTAGCACGTGCGCGCTGTATCATAAAGTCTGTCATTGAGTCAACTGGCGTGGTTTTTTCGAATCCCCGGTTGTACGTGACAAGGAGTAGGGTCGTCTGTCCAACCTCATGGGTTTTCTCCGGTTTCCTCCCACTGCTAAAGACCCCTACGCACAAGCGAATTATTGAAATAAAGTTCAACCATGTGTTAGTCCTGATATGACCTAGTTTGTGTCGAGTGGACGTTAAACCCCATTTCTCTCTCTCTCGAAAGATTTAAGATTAATAGTTAGTATTTTTATCTACTGAACTTTATTTTTATGCATGTAACTTTACATATGCTTCATGAATCATGTTAAAATGGAGATTAATCACAAGATGAAGAGTGTCTGCTCAGCTGCTGATGGGCATACATGTATATTACTTTGTCTAGCAATTTGAAAAAATGTTATCATTCAGATGTTTTGTCCAGTGATCAGGAACTCTATCGAAAATCAGAGCTATGCTTCCATTATAAAACACAATGAATTTTGACACTCTAATGAATAAGTGTCCCTATATTTTACTTTTCCTGTACTTTGGGAGTTTTCAGACTGCAGTTATTGAATATATATTTTAAGCTCACACATTGTTATTATATAAAATAATGGTAAATTACATTTTTACAATTAATATTATCATAGATTTACCTGATTTACGACAAGATAAAGTTAAATATTGGTTAAAGATAATTTTCACCTCAGCATTAGTTGACAGAAAAGAATTTTTATCTCTTTCGAAAAAGGCAGAAGAGTTTATAAAATCAGCAGATCCTGGCAAGAAATCAAATATCTATGAAGGTGAATATCTATGTTTGTTACAACTCAAATATTAATCCATAGGCTACTTCTAAATAAATTTAATTATATTGATCTCCAATATATAGTACACACCTTTATTCACGATTCAAGTTAACAACACAATTTGTATCCCAGTTGATTGTCTACTTTTAGTTTGCAAATACATGTAGTTGACATAATTATGTTTTGTAATACAGTATGACCAAAGTCTTTCTACCAGTTTATTATTAATCAATTTTAATAAATGTCGCTTTAAAATAGGTAAGTTAAAAATGGATGTAATGTGGGGTAATAAAATGTTTTATTAATTTCAATGTTTTTAAAATTTGTAGTCTATGCAAACCGACATGTTAGATGTAGTTTAGAAAGGATATTTGAAGTTAAAATGAAGCATTACAGCATTTTGAACAGAGGAGTCAACAAAATAGGTATGTTTTATTAACAGGAGACCTTAAAGATACATTATGTAAGTTTTAGATAAAGAGCCGACAGTTCTTACTATAATAGTTAAAAATAGATAATGAAAAGAGACTATATTGAAACTCTCAGTCAAATTACTTCATTCTAAGCAAAGTCTCTATTATCCATTTTTTAATTAAATTATTAACTGGTGATTGTGTTTAAATCCGTTGAAAATCACAACCATCAGATGGTTATGGGCTTGGCTAGTGAATAAATGTCTAATTACCGTAATGATTATATAACATTTAAGGCCATGCCCAAATGATAGATCTGTAATATGAAAATTTAGCTCTTACACAATGCATCTGTAATGTTATCAGCATGTTCAATATAACATATTAAACAAAAAAAAGAAAACTTGTCAGTTTGTTTATAAAATATTTGATATTAATAATGTTGTATGGCTGCCTGCCCTCTTTTTACAAAATAGTGGTCTCATTACATTATTTGTACTTTTGATTGATTGTTATATTGCAGATTTTGAAATTTTACTGAATCATGATGGGAAACTACTGCCGCTGAATAATAGAAAAATTGCACAGATTAAGTAAGAAAATATGTAGCTATAAAAAAAATCTTTAAATGACTATACAACTGGACTCTTGATTAAGTTACTGGTTATGTTTGTGTGCAGTAATAGTTATTACTGGTATACTCAATAAACTAAAACAATCAAAAGAGAGTTGATTAAAATTGTAGTGAATTTTAGACTGGAAATTCAGAATGAATTCAGTAGGTGTTGAGTTTGGCCAATGTGGTCTGGTGATATATCTGTCTTTCAGAACATACCTAAGGAATGAATATGGGTAATTCCCCCTCCCCCAATTCAACATTCACCGTAACACAAATCCCAAAGGATTTAAGATTGTTTCTGGGTTGGGTTGGTGTTGAAAAATATAGGAATGAACAGAAGCCCATAGGTGTCTTAGTGAACTAGATTGCCTAAATCTTGTTTCCGTGTATTTGGCTCTATGCACAAACAAACATGAACAGCTGAGTAACTCAATCTAAAAGCAGTATACAGTTAATATAGGTTGAATAGCTTACCACACTCAGCAATTATTGTCAGTACTGTTCCAATCCTGAAACCATGTGAATCCCAACACAATGAGGTGTGTATAATATGCTTGGTAAGCTATGCTTGATTACCTTTAAGATAACAAATCTGGTATATTTCAGGTTGGCAGTTATACAACTATATGCCCACCATTTCTGTATCAACAGACCACATAAAGTAGGGATTGCTGCCATGCAATACAGACATTTGAAGAGTCAAGGTTATGAAATTTTAGAAGTAAGTTAAATGGAATTGACTTTATTTTAATACACCCACATGTTAATGTAGCATACATGTATGTTGGGTATTGCAGATTTCAGAAACAGTTATGGTTGGGGTAAATTTATTGTGTTTATTGTGATCTTTTCCCCAAAAGTATTAATGGAGTTATAGCCCCTAACCTATACTTTTGTTATTGATAAACTTACATTTCCATCTCAAACTAATGCTGTGTTCAATATTTTACCAAATTGCAAGAAACTGTCAGGAACATTTAGTATTGAGGTAGATGGTCAATATTTATTTCGATCATTGCTGTTGATGATGGACAATATTTATTTCGATCATTGAAGTTAATAAACATACTCGTATAACTCTCCACTCCAAAATATCAGTAGTTTGTATTGGAGTAAAGATGGTGGAAGATAACAAGTAAAATTCTTAACCCATTTGATTGAATTGTCAACGATATCAGATATGCGACATTAATTGTTAAACATATAATTCATGTTTTATAATTTATAATTACTGAATTAAAATTGTAATGGGTGGGGTTATGTTTTCGCTGAAATGTCAACAATACAGATTATATATTCAGTAATACTGTTACCTTTATTTAATAATGTTACTTACTATTCTTTCAGATGCCAATAGATTTTAACTACTTTGACAACAAGGTCACAGATAAATACATTATTGGGCAGCTTCAACAAATTTATCAGCAGGTTAAAAATACCTAGTCAAGAAGTTTATATTTTTTTAAAATATGAAAATAAATGTTGTTTTATGACTTCTGTGTATTAATTCCATAAGAACAGCCAGTGGAAACCTATTTCCATGCAAATGATTAAACAATCTATGCAAGTGGAATAGTTTGATGAAATTTCCTTTTTTCCTTTTTATTATTTAGACTTTTCTTGATCTGATACATAATATTTATTGCGTTTTGTAGCCCATAAATGTAGTGGAACCTTGCATTTATATAACTTTTAGTGAAACTTAAAGCAGCCTGTCAAAATTGAGGGAATGGGGTATGACTTGTCAACACAATTCTTTGGTCATTTTTAGACCAACATGGTTATGCGTTCATTGCAAGGTAGGAGAATTTTGTCCATTACCAAATATCATGGGCTCTTTTACATGCACACCAATGTGTGTAGACATCTGGTCTCGAGAAAGTTTTAAAAGTTGATACTAGAAACAAGTGGACCATCTCCTCTAATCAGAAAATGCACCTTCTAGCACGTACATAACGAAAGATAGGTTGCCAGGCAACGAAACATACGCCCACAGCAGCTAACTCGTCCGGGCAGTCAACAAGAGTTGTCACATATTTTTACTTTTTTTGGTAATGAAACATTTATAATACATTAAAATCTGATTAAGAGTAACAACTCATTAAGTAATTATCAGAAAACCATTAGAATTTGTTTGTTTTTTTATAAAGTTTTGCCCCATGTTAACGTTTAGTATAGGAAACTTTTAACATCATGGATTTAGCTGTTCAAGTCATAAAAATTCATTGAAAATCAATATACTTGTTTGTCCCAAGACCTTACACTCTGTGTATGAATCTGAAGTCAATCGGATGATAACTTTAGCTTCTAGAGGGTCATAAGGTTTTTTAAAGTGATCAAGGGCCATAACTTTGGCAGTAATTATCGGAAATCGTTGTAAATCAATATGATTCTTCGTCTCATGACCTCAAACACTCTGTATCAATTTAAAGTCAATCGGATATTAACTTTAGCCTCTAGAGCATTTACAAGATTTTTTGAAGTGATCAAGGGCCATAACTCTGGCAGTAATTATCAAAAATCGCTGAAAATGAATAAACTTCATCGTCTCATGACCTTAAACACTGTGTATAAATTTAAACTCAATCGGATATTAACTTTAGCCTCTAGAGCGTCCACAAGATTTTTTAAAGTGATCAAGGGCCATAACTCTGGCAGTAATTATCAGAAATTGCTGAAAATCCATAGGCTTTTTCGTCTCATGACCTTAAACACTGTGTATTAATTTAAAGTCAATCAGATATTAACTTTGACCTCTAGAGTTTCCATAAGATTTTTTGAAGTGATCAAGGGCCATAACTCTGGAAGTAATTATTGGAAATCGCTGAAAATCAATAGGCTTCTTCGTCTCATGACCTTAAACACTGTGTATAAATTTAAAGTCAATCGGATATTAACTTTAGCCTCTAGAGCGTTCACAAGCAATTGTGGACGCCGGACGGACGGGGGCGACGACAACATACGACCACATTTCAATGTGGGCGTATAAAAATACTGAACAAATAAATATAATTAACAAATTTACAATTAATACTTCAAATTACAATTATATCCCACCCAAAACTTCCATTGATATCAATATGTGACATTTAATATGAAGTATTGGTACATTTTACATATAATTCTTAATATATTTGAATGATTAATGCGTCTGTACATTTTATAGCAACATAGAACTATCAGATCCCAATTAAAGCATTTAGTCAAAAATTAATTTTGTCCAAAATCTGAGAAATAAATCTTCTGATATTTTTACTCCTGATAAAAAGAAATACATAAATGAATAACTTTCATATGTTAATATTATACTTGACGTGCTAACAAATCAGATCACTTTACCATTTGACGGTAATTATTAATCATAATATTTTATAAATTAAAATCTCAACCTCATTTGAAGGAGTGATGAATTCCTTGCAAACTACAATTTTATGAATTTAAAAAATAAATACATCAGTGCACAAAATGTTTTAATTCCAGAGCCCTCACTTAATATATCCAGATCAACCTACCAATCAGAACCTTCAGTACAGAATATTCTGCGAAATGTTTTGAACAGGTCTAATCAAGATCAAAGGTATTATTATGCTATATTCACAGGCCCCGAACAGACTTGACTTAAACATCTTTATAAATATTAATAGAGTGAGCAACCGAATACATGGAACAAGTTTTAATTAAAATGTTTTAGACTAGATCTTCACAATTTTTTTTTTTGTAAAAGTTTCAAAGAGTTAATTTTTACAATAGATAGTGAAGGATTTGAAATAAGTTTTAGTTATATTGGATAGGAAGTGAATATAAATACAATAATAGGATATTGAAAGATAAATTATGATGTAGTAGAATAAAAACAATAATTCTATGTAGACTATATCTATCAAACTATAAATCTGTACATCTTGTGAATATTTACAGTATCAATTAATGACATGAGTGAGTGAACATTATCAGTTAAAACATATATGTAGAATGAAGCGTGTTATGTTGAAGTGTATTAGATATTACATGTACATACATTATATAATTACAACATAGGCATATGGGGATAATTCAGTAGTATGCAATTTCCCATGCCTCTGAATTTCATATAATCCGTTTTGAAACATCCTTGATCTGTATTCTGCAAATAGCATGCCAACACCACATCACAGACTAACACAAAGTGTCTGTTCACAATGCTGTCTCTGATTTCAACTAGCTGTGTGACCTAACTAGCTACAGCGAACGGAACTTTATGCATACACATAAACATATTACCATACTCTGAGCCCTTTACAACACAAATTTTGCTCTCTGTCACCATATTGGACTTAAACCAGAGACAATAATTCAGGATATAAAGGGTTAATTGTACAATTATCAACTCTACATATTTTCTGTACAAATAAGAAATATTTAAGGACAAATATATATACTAGCCCAGATCACCAATTTATAATAGTTAATTCTATAAAGGGGAAATAATTCCATTTTAGAATCAATATAATCAGCCAAAAATGTAAATAATTGTAAAATTTGTAAACAATTATTTGGTTTTGTCAAAAATGATTATAGCTGAATACAGATTTTCCTTGCTCTCAAATTTACTAAATTTATGACAAAGCTACAATCAGTTCCGAGCATTGCCAATAATAGAGAGAATAAAGAGAAAGAGGTTTATTATATCTAAATAAAGATTAAGTGCTGCAAAAACATATTCCTCAGGAGATAAAGAATATTTATGTTTTCCTCCCATCATCATTTGTGTATCGAATACCAAATACTGAAATAAAAAATAAAAAAAATACAATTTCTTGGCATATACTGGCAAAAGTTGTCTGACACATAGTTACATGTATATAGATGCAAATTTTCTTCAAATGTAAGTATATTGTAGGTATCAGACAAAAAAAAGAGAAGGAAATAATTTTATTATTATATTTAAGCTTAAAGATAAATCTTACCGCACAGAAGAGGAGAGCCCCTAATGATGAATAAATCAGTGTAACAATCTAAAATATAACAAACAGAATAGCATTAAAATAATATCTATTGGATATTGGATTAAATCAATACAATTTTTACATAACTTTTGATAAGTGTATTGTCTTGAACTATAAATGTTGGAGCATTAACAATCTATTCTTATTAAGTGTTCTGTAACATTTTTAGGGAGCCTTGGTGGCTCAGTGAGTAAGACGCTGGCTAACTAACCAGGAGATCTGGGGTTCAATCCAAGTGTTGACCCAGAAAGTTCCTCAGGATTTTCCAGCGTTGTTTATGCTTGTCAGTGGTGCAGGATGGAGGGCCCCTGGCAAGGCGCAGTGTCTAGTCATTTGGATGGTCCAAAAAAACAAGGTTTCGGGGGGTTGGATGGCCGAATGGTTAGCATATGTGCGTTGTATCATGGACTGGTTACGAGAAGCAATATCGCTAAATGACTGCCGCGCGAGAAAACACGAGAGAAGCCAATAGCTATATCACTCAATGTCTTCGCTAATTAGCTATAATCACCCGTTTTCATCGTTCCGTTTTGTGTCCTGAATTTACCAAAAACTGTTAAAATAAACTTTTGTTTGACAAGATAAGTCATTAACTATAATTTCCGTTGCATATATGTATACATTTTATTTTAAACAACTTTGTAATTACCATCTTCAAAGTACATGTTGATGTAGACTGCATCTCCGAAACGAAGACGTCGCCATTGTTTGTTGTTATATGAACAATCGAAAACATGCATCAGGATTTTTGCTTTCAATCAAAATCTATTTATTATTTCATATTTTTCTGACATAATTCTGATACACGTGAATCCAAGAAATGCTTTGGAAAAAAAAATCATCGATTTTTAAAAAAGTGGAATATAGTTAATTACTTCCTTAAAACAACGAAAATAACACTTTAGACAATTTTATGAAAAGATAGGTGATTTTATTTTTGCTTTCAATCAGTGAAACATTTATTTTTGGAATTAATGATCCCTTTCTCTGTAAACTTTGATATCTTATCTACGGTACTGGGCAAAATTCTTATTTTTAAAACAAATATTAACATTTTTAAAAAATTATTTTGTTTTGTGATATTTTCAAGTACCAATGCATGTACTGTTCAACAATCATGAATAAACCTGTATTTGATTTGACCCAAATTATCCCACAATTTTGCCCAGTTTATTTTAGATAGAAGAAGTGAGAAATTTTGTTTAAAATAAGTTTAATTTTATTGGCATATTATTCAATAAAATATAAACATCCGACGACTCGCAGATTTATTTATAGGTGTTGTAAACCATTATACTCATAATGGAGCAGTACGCATGCCAGGTAACTACAGACGCCGCGAAGGGGCATAACTCGTGAAAAACTTTCGTTTGGTCGTGATTGACACGTCTCAAACTACCGCGACTTGTCTCAAATTACAGCGCGGCACACATCTCTGGTTAGGTTATTGAGCCGTTGCCAGTCCATGTATTATAAGGTCCATGGTTGTATAAGGTCTGTCATTGAATCAACTGGCATGGTTTCAAATCCCCAGTTGTACGTGACAAGGAGTAGGGTTGCCTGTCCAACCTCATGGGTTTTTCTCCGAGTTCTCCAGTTTCCTCCCACTGCTAAAGACCCCTACGCGCAAGCAAATTACTGAAATAAAATTGAACCATATGTCAGTCCCGAATGATCTGGTTTGTGTCTAGTGGACCCGACAGGTGGAGACAAGTAAAATGTTCAATCCCATTTCATTTCACAGATTACATTTTTGCTTTCTAATCAGATGTTTAGCAAAGAAATGATAAAAGAATTACTCACTCGATCTTGAATGATGGCAGCCATTATTCCAAAACAGAATAGAACAATAACAAAAACAAACAGCATACCTCCCATCATTGTAAAATCCCACTAAAAATAGATAAAAAAAAATTATCAACAATATCTATTTATTTCTAATTTCATGACAGCATTATAAAACAATGGTACAATGCAGATAACCTCACATCTTTTTCATTTTTGAATCATCTAATTCAAAGCATGTTATGATGTTGAATGGTTACAACACAAGCAGCCAGGACATGTCAGAGAATTTATTTACAGTTCACAGCCCCACAGCAACTGACAATACTATCATAGTATCTGATTCCACTTATTCACAGTAAAACATGTTAAATTCCATAAACTGTATGGCGCCTGGGCCATTTTTTTTACAAACAGTTTAACACTTACCTTAGTTTGAAAAGCAAATATTGTTAAACCCAATGCAACAACCTGAAGAACAAAAAAAAAAAAATTACAAAAAATAAAAGGTGTAAGTTTTGTTCATAAGATATGACATTTTTTGTCATTTGGGGTGATAAACTACATATCAATTTTCTCAGTTATGCATGCATGGATTTCCATCATTTGGTATGAACTATGCTAAATGCAAGTCCAGGAAACATACGGTTCACTTTTTGGTATCCATTGAAACGCCAGCAAATGATGAGTTTTCTTGTAAATTCTATAAGTTCATGCTAAAAAGATATATCGATAATCCCTCCCTTAGATCGAAAGTACAGGTTATAAGCGACATTTCAACTCAAAAAACATTATAAAATATCAACTCAAAGCATTCTAAAATCTTTGTACATTATTTCCCTTCAAACCTGATTTCAGGTCAATTCTTTGAATAGGTCCACAACAATTTTTAAAATACAACAATTCTGATTTAAAAAGTAAATATTAACTTCAGTGCACTACTCCATTGCACACAAAATGATTTTAAGCTTTCAAATGTGGTAGTCTTCAACCATCAAAAAAAGAAATTCAGCGATGTTCCAGTCGTGGTAGATGGTAGACCTGGATAATTGTGCCACAGAGGGGATTCATTCTGGTCACATGACTTAATTGGAGTCACCTTATATCTTTGAGTAAAATGGTGTTGAAGGAAGAAGATAAATTGCATGAAACTGTTGCTGGAGGCAACCATGCTGTTCACTGCGGATTACATGACCGATGTATACAACCTCATAATTTATTCAACATCTGATCGGGGAAACCTTCTCGCTTGCTATAGATAGTATTTTTTTCTTTCTGCTTGTATCTCCATTTTTACACAACAAACGTTCGTTTGTTATGTGTCCTCTATGTTATTTTACACATGGAACAAGTATGCAAAGTCTTCACAAGATTACTGCTGAAAAGTTAGTGCGTACCTTAGACTACTCAATGCTCTTTAATTCTTAAAGAATATGGTTTCATTTTTTTTAATTTGCGAATTGTCTATATACAGTATAATCATATTCTACATTTATGGATACCGGTATGTTTCGTTGTAAATTAAGTATACATCTGTATTATAATTACAATTCTCTACAGAAGAAGATCTGATCCTCTGCAAATGTTCAGCCCACAAGAGAATCAAGAGAAGAACATGTTTGTACTGTTTAAGGAATTTAATTTCTTGCAACCATGTATCATTTTATAAATTAATTTTAAAACAGAAACTAATTGTGTTTGAACTGTTAATTTACTTACTGCAGTTATTCCGACAGCCATTAAAACTGCATCTTGTTTATAATGACTGAAAGAAACAAATACATGTAACATTAATACTAATAAGAACATAGACAAAATATTTTGAAATATCACTCAATAAACAACAATTCTTTCAGTGTGTCACATAAATATATAAAACTGTTAAATGAACATGTGGTTATAGTGGGAAGTCATGGCTACATTCTGTTTTAAATTTAATCTCTACCTTATAAACAGTAATCAGGGAAAATTTGAGATTGCATGGAATTGCTTTCTTTTATTTGAACAATAGATTATGAGAATTAGCTATTTATATATAAAGGAGAATACTACCGCAAAAAGTTGTTTTAATATGAAAAATAACGTTCATATTAGAATATTCTTAGCCCTGCGAAATTTTAAAAGTCATTCTGAATATTTTTACGAAGAAAAAATATAGGACTACCAAAAAAAACCCGAACTGACATTTATGCATATCTACAGCCTTGTTTTGATTTTTTCTATGAGTGATGTCAGAGACAACAGACGTTGTGAATTTCCTTATAGAAAGCTATTGGAACTGAGCACTGCATCCCATCATTTTAACTAACTGGAAACATAAACATGGTCAATTGTGTTGCTTGGGGATGTACTACATAGCACAAACAATAAATCAGGAAGCATGTGTCATTTTTTTAAATTTCCAAGCGAAGCAACACGCAGACAGGTATAAAGACAGCGATGTCAACGAGGTGGGAAGGGCTGGGTTCCATCAAAACATGCTTCTCATTCACCTTGTTTGGAGCATTTCGAGTTAACTGCTTACGAAGGTGATTTTAATTATTATGTCGATCAAACTATAGCAGTTATGTTATCTTTCTATGTTAAAACTGTGCATAGTTCTATGGTGAAACCGAGATGCTTTCAAAATCTAGCAATAAAAATGACTGATGTAACCATAGCAACGAAATGTAAACAACACAGGCTTAGTGGCCTAAATGCTAATGTAAATTAGTATCCCCTTTTCGAAGCGTCTTTCGCATCAGTAATAGGTTATGGCCTATGTCGATGATTTTGCAGTCGATCATAGATAGTCCTAGATGTAGGAAGTCCGTCAGATTCAACTAGGTAAATGAGTGTGATAGAAATTTTTTCCAGCGATAGGCCCATGGCCATACGACGTGACCCTCATTTTTCAATTGTTGCACAAAGAAAGTAGGTTAGGGCATATAATACTGTATTACCCTATGGCTAGGGTAAACTTGTTGGAATTAATAGTTTTTCTCCGATATATTTTTGCTGATGAAGCGTGAACATCAATAAATGAAGAGAAAAGTTATTGAGAAACGAAGGACTGTGATATTTGATAAGACAAGGTACTCTGACCTAATCCAAACACAGCCTGCATTGATTGTTCTTCTTCAATAGAAAGGGTAGAATGTTCCGAACCATCATCGTCACCATTGTTGCTCGCATTTCTAATTGGATCATACTGATAGAGAAAAACATTCGAGGCGAAATCAATGTCTGACAAGCTGTCCCTTTCTGCTGATGCCATATTGAAATATGCATATCGACTGCTACAAGAGTATCACCTCTTACGTCATGTCACATGATTTAGCTTCAGCTCATTAATTGTCAGGTGTTTCCGTAAAGTGTTTTGTTACCAAAACTTTTTTTTTTTAGAAAATATTTCTGAAATGCATTACACAATGAACTAAGTAAATGATAAAATTAAAGTTTTACTATAACCTTCTCCTTTAACATAATGGCATTGATGGTAGGAAGATTAGTACTCTGTTGCACTGTGTTCCTTTAAAAACAACATATCTGGCAAATATCTCTGTTAAATCACAACATTTTTTATTCTTATTTAATATATACTTCAAAACCTAAAGACAATAGTTTATTTAGGGAACTAGGGTCAAATCTTACCTGGCAACCGCACCTAACAGAACGCCTTCACATATGGTCTAAAAAATGAAAACAACATTTAATGGAATTTGAATTTAATTTTTTTTTCTTTTTGAGGAAATTAAAAGATATTCATCTTTTTCATAGAAATCACCAACAAATTGAATACATGTCTAGTACTGGATGGAGGTTTTAGTTGAGATTTTCTCTTCTGAAAGCTAAAGTGTTTGAACAATTCTTTGTATAACAAAAGTTTAAGTGTCACTAACAGATGGATTGAGAGGTGAGTCAACCTTGCTTCCAGTATATTATGACCAGAATCTTAGTTTGAGATTAAGAAATGCATTCATCTTACTTAATCTAAAGTTTTTCTTCAGAACCCTACCAATCATTACTTTTGAGGCTGGCTACACCACTAAATTTGATTAACATTACTTCTTAATTTCTTTGTGAAATCTCTTTTTCATGCCTCAATCTTAATTCAGAGCCAAATGTCAATCAAGGCAAAAATACAATTTTACATACAAACACACTCAGTAGAATCATGTTCAACGGATATTGTCTTCTGACGTCAGGACAGCAGGCTAATGCTATCAACGATACAAATGTCAAAACTCTGAAAGGAAAAAATGCCAACATTTAAATGTAATACGCTGTAAAATAATTGTAATTTTTGATGGATGATTATAAGTAAGACCTTACCAGGGCAGATAGAACTCCAGTCAATATGTGTTCATGGTTGGGGGGGGGGGGGGGGAGGGGGGTCAACATGTTCCTGAAGCAAAGGCCGCGAGTTTTACAACATCTAAACGTTGTTACACTGCTTTGCAATTCCCAAACTTACAGCCACGTTATCTCCCTTTACCGCAGACACGCTCAAATCAAACACGGCGACCACCGCGGAAACCTTGATATTGAACGAACCTTGAACTTTACAACTTGATTATCACAGGTAGACATTTTAGGTATTCGTGATGATCGAGGAATCTGATAGGCTCTCAAGCGCGGTCAGTACCCAATCAATATGCGGGGTATTACAAGAAGGGCTTGATAAGATGTACAGAGTTAAAGCGAGATCAAGCCTTTTATTGAAGATAGGGGGGTCAGAAGTTGTTTGGCGCAAATGTCATGTTCTACTTTTGCTTCTTTATCCCCTATTTATTGAAATTAAAAATCTCATGAATGGTTTTGCACCAATTTTGTCATTAGCTTAAAGTTGTATCAAGAAATTATGGTATGATACACCATTCAAAAAATACACAAATAAAAATATTGTATAATACCCCCGAAAAATTAATAAATCCTCATACTGAATATTACATATTTTGTCTGTGTCAACCATCCTTAGGGGGTAACGGTGATATACTAAATCGGATAAAAATTATGACCTCTTTAGGGTCCACAAGCTAAAAACGCGATTTGTCATACAATCAGGGGTCATAATTCCGGAAGTAACGGTTCGATTTGCAAAAATATAGAAAAGAACCGAGGTCTTTGGGTTATAAACTTACACAAAATCAGATAAAAATTGTGACCTCTATAGGGTCCACAAGCTAAAAACATGATTTTTTGTACAATCAGGCACCATAATCCCTGACGTTTCGGTCCGATACATGCCAATATCGAAAGCAACCGAGATCTTTTGGGGATAAACCTAAATTTTAATCGGATAAGAATTGTGACCTGTAGAGTGTCCACAAACAATTGTGGAGAACAGACAGGGGCGACGGCAATATACGTCCACATGAAAATGTGGGCGTATAAAAAAAATGGTATTATACATACATTGCTAAATACCAAATCCATGGGTTATTTACAGAGTAAACTTTTATCGGTTCACTGAAATTAAAAAATAATGGCACTTTATAAAATTATCTAGTTTACATGCATCTATACAATAGTAAGTGCAGGGGGACTTCACCACACACATACAATTAAATAAGACAAATCTAAGGACAAGACACAATATACAGACATCACAAACAACAAACCTACATATCAGATAAAGTGATTGGATCCAGGGGGCTAGCTGTAAGTCCCTAGGCTGTGGTATGATCAGTGTTATGATGTAGTAGTCTGACACAGAATTGTCGGTGTCCCTTTAATAGCCTACTTTATGTTTAATACTGGTAGTGGTACCTATCTATATTGATTATTTTTGGAAAAATCAGATTAAAATCAGAAAATTATGAAATCAGCATTTAAAATCTAATTTAAATAATGGGGAATTAATATGTGTAGGTAAATATAGACTGGTTATAAGATGCAAAATAAGTAATAACACTAACACTAATCTGAGGTCCAAAGGTTTTTCACATTGTTCCAGTAAAATTAACATTAAAATACAGACACTAACATGAAATGTGACCTCACCCATTGTATATCAGTTTTTTTTTTTTTGTTGATTAATAATTTTTACTCTCAGTCTCAGTATCATAGTAATTACAAAAGTTATCCAAACATCGGGACAGATGGGTTTTTTTGTATCGATCAGAATCTTAATAGGCCTACAGCTGATCGAAAATAAAATTGAGATATAACTAAATCTTATCAACAAAAGATAGGTTGCCAGGCAACGAAACATATGCCCACTGCAGCTAAATCGTCCGGGCAGTCAACAAGAGTTGTCACCTATATTTTTTTACCCTTTTCGGTAATGAAATGTTTATAATACACTAAAATCTGATTAAGAGTAACAACTCATTAAGTAATTATCAGAAAATCATTAGAATTTGTTTGGCTTTTATAAAGTTCTGCCCCATGCTAATGTTTAGTTTACCAAACATTTAATATCATGGATTTAGCAGTTCAAGTTGTCAAAATTCATTGAAAATCAATATACTTGTTCATCTCAAAACCTTAAATTCTGTGTATCAATCTAAAGTCAATCAGATAACTTTAGCCTGTAGGGCGTCACAAGATTTTTCAAAGTGATCAAGGGCCATAACTTTGGCAGTAATTATCGGAAATCGTTGAAATTGTTGACCTCAAACACTGCATATAAATTTAAAGTCAATCGGATATTAAATTTAGCCTCTAGAGCGGTCACAAGATTTTCAAAGTGATCAAGGGCCATAACTCTGGTAGTAATTATTGGAAATCGCTAAAAATCAATAGGATTCTTCATCTCATGACCTTAAACACTGTGTATAAATTAAAAGTCAATCCGAATTTAACTTTGGCCCCTAGAGCGTCCACAGGATTGTTTTAAGTTATCAAGGGCCATAACTCTGGCAGTAATTATCAGAAATTGCTGAAAATCTATAGGCTTCTTCGTCTCATGACTTACAACACTGTGTATAAATTTAAAGTCAATCTGATATTTTCTTTAGCCTCTAGAGCGTCAACAAAATTTTTTGAAGTGATCAAGGGTTATAACTCTGGCTGTGAGTAATACTCGGAAATCGATGAAAATCAATAGGCTTCTTCGTCTCATGACCTTAAACACTGTGTATAAATTTAAAGTCAATCTGATATTAACTTTAGCCTCTAGAGCTTCCACAAGCAATTGTGAACACCGGATCGACGGACGGACGGGGACGACGACAATAAAAAGTAAGTATAGTAACAAATGTGCAATTTAAGCCCATGTTTGATAAAAATGTCAAGGATAAAAATATAAAAAAAAATCATCTAATAAAATATGAATACTTACACAAATAGAAACAGAGACATTATACACATGGTTACAATTAACTGGACACACAGTATTCCATATACTTTACGAATAAAACCTGCAAATTTACAAGCGCAAATTAGATTTCAAGGAAAGAAAGTTACTAAATTATATGGGCGTATTAAAATGACTGTAAAATCACAATCTATGAAGAAATTGCACATTTCTATATCTAAAGAGAGAGAGAGAAATGGATTTAACGTCCACACGACACAAACTAGGTCATTTTGGGAGTACATGTGTGTTGCGTGTAGGGGTCTTTAGCAGTGGGAGGAAACCGGAGGACCCGGAGAAAACCCACGAGATTGGACAGGTGACCCTATTCCTTGTCATGTACAACCGGGGATTTGAAACCATGCCAGTTGACTCAATGACAGGCCTTATGATACAGCGCACACATGCTAACCATTCAGCCATCCAACCTCCCTCTGTATTTAAAATATACTATTCAAAAAAAGTAGGGGATATTTGATTTTGGGGGCATAATACTAAAATATGCAAATGACTACGAAAAAAGTCACTATAGAACCTAACAGAAGAAACATTTCCAGTTACATGTGACGCCCAAACGCACCAATAGCTACCGCATGGAATGCAGGTGATGCTTGGGATCATCATGGGGGTCCAACCCAAGATTTGCACGACTCTGACTTTGAATGTTACAGTCATTGTGGCATTGAATTCCAGGGTGGAAACATCAGTTTAATTGTTTTAGTGACCAGAAAACAAATTTTGATATGCGTCAGCTTACCCAAAATGAAAGGTTACGTGCCCTTGGCATGCTACAGATCGGCACAACACAGGCGGTTGTGGCGCGGACGATGAATGTTTCTCAGTCTGTCATAAGCAGGCTATGGTCCAGATACCGTGATACACAATCTGTACAGGACAGACCACGCTCAGGTCGACCAAGGGCGACAACTCAAGCCCAGGATCGATTTATCCGTACCTTGGCCTTGAGAAATCGTGTCATCACAGCAAATCAGATCAGCGCTCGTCTTCAAACAGACACTGGTGTGAGAGTGAGTGGCCAGACGATTCGGAATCGACTGCATAGGGGTCACCTTCGCGCCCGACGTCCTCGCGTGATCCCTTCTTTGAGAGATCATCACATTCAGGCAAGACGTCGTTGGTGTAGGGATCGTCAACACTGGGATAATCGACGCTGGAGCAATGTGATGTTTTCAGATGAGTCAAGGTTCACTGTTGATTTTTTGGACAGACGTAGGAGGGTGTGGCGTCGTCGAAACGAGCGCTTCCAAGACGTTAACGTCATCAGACATGATCGATTTGGGGGTGGTTCTGTTATGGTGTGGGGAGGCATCACTGTTGCTGAAAGAACGGCTTTACATGTTGTTGCAGGGCGTGTTACAGGCCAGTACTACCGGGACAACATCTTGGCAGTCCATGTTGTGCCGTTCGCACGACGTCATGGCCGCCGTTTCATCTTCCAGGATGACAACGCAAGATGTCACTGGGCCAGGATCGCTACAGGTTACCTCCAACAACAGAACATCACCACATTACCTTGGCCAGCACTGAGTCCCGACCTCTCCCCCATCGAGCATGTCTGGGACATGGTTGGACAGAGGTTACGTCAACGTCAACAACGTCCTGCCAATGTCCAAGAACTTGCTGCTGCGTTGCAACAGGAATGGGACAATCTGGACCAAAATGACCTTAGACGTCTCATTAGGAGTATGCCACATCGGATCAATGCTTGTTTGGCAAACAGAGGAGGATTTACCCGTTACTGACTTGGTTGTGATGCTGTGGTAACTTTGCTGTTTGACCCCGGGTATCATTTTACCCTTATAATGGTCAGTCTGTGCCTTACTTAGTCTAACGATCATTTGGAATAAATCGATGAATGTGAACTTCATTTCATTTTGTCATTTGTTTCTTCGTCAGTTTCATTAGGTGACTTTAATAACACTTAAAAATCAAATATCCCCTACTTTTTTTGAATAGTATAATATCATCCTTGTACCTAGCTTGAAGAATAAAGCTACCCATTTTTCCCAAACTCTCTTGTAAATATTCATACATCTATACAGTGATACTACTTTGGTGACTGATTTCCCAAACATGAAGAGCATGTTACATCAGAAAATAAAGTCTGATTACCTAATCTTATATTCTTATCACTAAAGGAATTCATGTCATGGAAGTCATCATCACCTATCTCAGGATCTGCACTGTTATGCATTTTGATTTTTTTTTTCCTCTGACCACAGCTTTAAACTAATCTGAAATAACATTTAAAATAAATTAATACATATACTGTATTTGATTTTGTTATTAAAATAATAACCCCCTAAGGTACAAAAAGCATGCTAATACAAATACAAATAGAAAATAAATAATCCAGCATTTTGTATAATTGATTTTACATTTTCCTGTGTCTATCATACAACAGCTGCTACATGTACATGTATATACCTCCTGGTCTTATGTAGATTGCACTATCTAGATCACACTACACAAATACGGGGAAGATCTAATGGGAGTGAAGTGCCCTTTAAATTATAATGTCTGTCATGGAGTCCGAGGCATTGTTTTGATTCCAAGCTTGTACGTGACAAGGAGTAGAGTCGCCTGCTTAACCTTGTAGGTTTTCTCAGGTTCTTCCAGTTTCCTTCCACTACTGAAGCGAATTATTGAAAAAAAATTGGACCATATAGTCGCAAAATGACCTACTTCTTGTCAAGTGACCTTTAATCTCCCCTCTTGCGGGGAAACCTATAACAATATTGTGTGTTGACGTGTATGTTATGAAATATATGGAAAGATTGAAATTGTTATACATATGTATATCATATTTGGTAATGAATTGTGGTAGTCTTGTAAAATACACCTATAAGCAAAATTTTGTTATCACCGCCTGATGAGATCTGTTGCGAGCAGGGCCGTAACTGGCTGAGAAGCAACAAGGGGGGCGGAAGTGTTCTCAGGGGTGCTGTAAAATTTAAAATTGACGGACAATGTTTATCTACATGTATTCATTGTTTTATGGTCGAGTGGGGGGGGAAACTTTTAGCAGGTGGGGGCTTTACCCCCCTCCCCCCCAGTTACTGGCCTGGTTGCGAGATCCAAATAGTTATTCATTATATTACGTATTTTGTGAGGTAATTGTGACGTAAATCGGGGATTTTCAAAGTGAACTCTATTGTTTTCCAATTCCAGTGAATTTCGGTAATTATTTAAGTGAATTCCTTTAATTGTAACTATTGTAAGTGAATTCCGGTGAATGATGTGTGTTAAGGATTGAAATCTGTGGAAAGATAAAAATAGTTTAATTATTCATAATCATATTAATGTTATCATACATTGAAAAAGAATTCTGGTCGTCTTTCAAATAAATAGGCCAACACCAATACATACAATTTTATATCACCGCCTTCATCATGGCTGGGTTGAGATTGAAATAGATAGGCCTATTCTATTATATGTATAATACATTTAAAATAAAAATTAGTCTTGTGGGAGAACTCGTGGGTTTTCGTAGTGAATTCCGGTGATTCTATGTATGGCCATACGGTATGCTATACGACTCAACGGGTGCCATTTGACTCAATACAAAACCGGACATAATTTTTTAAGAACTAAATAACAAATACTGACAGTAGCTGTACGTACTTTCACACTTCTATTTAATCCCGATTAGATCCAATAAATCGGATGTTAGCTTATTTAGGCCTAACTAAGCACGGTTTTCAGGAACCTTCTGTCTTGTAGTTGGTACTTCTAACTATAGCTTGTGGAGCGCCACCAAGCCGAAAGTGAAACCAAAGAAGAGCAACTTCTAAATAAAATAGGACACTATCTCGGAAAGTCGAATTACCCAATAATACCCAATAACTCCAAAGTAACACGCAATAACTCCATAACACCCAATAACGCCAAAGTAACACACAATTCAGACTTTGAGTGCCAATATCGGAGTTTCAAGCTCACTCGCGAGAAGGGACGTAACTCGTGTACGTGCTTTGTGTAATTATTTCCCCTTATTTCATGATGGAGGTATAAATAGACAATTTTTTTCTCCCCAACTCTTCCTGCATTTTTTGGTTGACTTTTTGGTCTAGAATGGAAAAAAAAAGGATCAAATATGCAATTTCATAGCAGTTTTGGCTAATACTGATAATATTACAGAGGAGGGATATAGGGGGTGTAAAGTGTCTTTCTGCAGAGCAATCATTGTAGAGTGTCATCTGCCAATAGCTATCGTTTCAAAAAAGTGAATCAACCTTGGCCTTTTGTATGATCTCTGCGTTGACAATTGTGGCAGGGAGCAAGCCAGGTTTACGTGGGTGTACATGACTGTGACGGCCAAGCACATAGTTACCCCCCCTTTCCGTGACAGTAGCTGCACATTTTAATTGTCGGTTTCTCACGCTGCATGACCAGTAAATTCTCCCCTGACCATCTTCTTTGTATAAGAATAGCCACCGCTTTCCACCAGCATCACACACTTCCGCTGTGTGCTGTCTGCAACCTTCTGGAACGCCGGAGCTCTATGTACCAGAGTAACTTACATATAAAATAATACCAATTAAATACTAACTGCCACGGGATCACCTATAGACCTGAAGACAAGAATACATTGATATAAACTTACATATAAAATAATACCAATTAAATACTAGCTAATTAAATACTAGCAAATCAGAAATTACTCTTCCAATATTGGGGTTGGTCTCGTATATTCGACGGCCTCGACATCAATATTCATCTAACTTTCATCCAATTCCACATCATCCTGATCCATCTCCATACCACCATCGACCACATCATACATTTCTTATTCTTAATTGTGGACGACATCACCAATAGTTGTGGACGACATCACCAATGCCTTGTGGACGACTCCACCAACGGGTGTGGACGACTTTACTGGCACCCACACGAAAAATTGGGTTAAGTCGTCCACACTCGTTGGTGGAGTCGTCCACACGACTTAGTATAATTTCTGGATATAGTAATACGTTCTATAAAATGGGTCTAGTTGTAAAGTCACACATTAGTAAAATGTGAATTTATATGGATAAAAAGCCGCCTTCCCGCTTCTAGAATGTGCCAGTTTTTATAAACGAGTTGTCGCAAGTTTGAATTACTTTCTGTTCGCGCCATGAAGTTTATCAACCACTATTTACACCTGATGCATATCATTAAAACAAACAACCAATCAAAAACACTCTAGATAATATTACGCGCCAATTTGACCTCAAGTTCACAGGTCAAAAGGCGAGTCTGAGTTGGCGTGTTTGCTTTGAGACGATGAAGTGCCTTATTCACCTCGTAGAACAAGATTGTGGAAAGCTGATTAAATTTACAGATACCAGTTGGAATAAGGTTGTTTTAAGTTTTAAAGAATGGACTAATCTTGATGGAAACGAGCTTAAAGTGTGCCAACAATATAAAGATGTATTTGAGGGTAAGTTTATCAAATAAATCAAACTAAAATTGAAAGTAGAGTGGCCATTTTATTTTTCCGCGAAACACAAAATTTTTTGTTGTTTACATTTTAAATAAAATTCTTAATGATAGGCGGATTAAATCTTATAGACACCTGTACTCATCACAAATGCTCGGGACTGTACAACGCAACGGGAGCTTACGTCCGTATATAATATTTCTTGTTTGTTGTCATTAGGCTATAGCGCTGTTAGATAACAAACTTGTTAATCTCTCAACCCTCCGTGTTTTGAGATAAGACATGAGCCCATTACCTATAACGTTGCAGCTGCGGGTGCGATTCACACCCGGCATTTTTAAACAAAATTGACAATAGTTTTAATCAAAACAACGATTGATTATTGTTATTTATAATATTTCTACAACACCCAACTACAATTAGGCATATAATCCTACCTGAAACGGGTACAAATCGTTGTTTTTAAAATCGAGGCATTTTTAGCCGTTACTAAGACCGCCATCTTTTTAAAAGATACGCTGTCATCATGGGCTAAATATAAGGCTTTTATAACAGCCAATCAAAAGGACAATCGAAAGCACAGTAACTATGAATGGATTTCGATGGCGGTGAAATGTCAAACAAAAACAACGCTTCATAAATTTAAACGCGAATATTTGGAGTAAAGCGACAGTTGTGCCACTACATTGGCCTCTGTAAGTTTAAATAATCATAATATCATAAACTTATCTATTTTAAAGATGTTACATGCATTAATAAAGAAATTGAGTTTGCCACTTGGAACTAAAGGCATCCAATCGTAGCTAAAAACAAACACATCAGTATATCATCTCAACGTTTTTAGCTACGTTCTCGTAGCTATAGCGCTGTGTGCAAGTTACGATAAATAATAATAATGTTTGTTGACATTCACATTGTATAGTCTCGTTATATAGTTCATAGATAGGTTTGTTTTAAAATCGATAGCATTCATGCTAGCCTTTGGTTTTATTTTATTAACCCAAGATTGTCTAAGTGTCTTTTCACAAATCAAGTGCAAACAGGTGACAGTGTCTTATTGTTTTTCATAAAAGAAAAGTAATTTTTATTATGGATATTTGTTGCCACCTAAATTCTTCTCTCGGGTTCTAATTTGCTTATTTTGTTTTAATGTGTGCAATAATATTAGGAGTATGTTTGTATTTATAGGGAATAAAGATGATGCACTACCGGTTTATGGCTATCATTCCAAGTGTTATTCGAGATTCACAGACAGAACAAAGATTGAACGGGCTACTAAAAGTGTTGCATTACAGTCTGGTGAGAAGCAAACGAGTGATGAGAGTCCATCCACGTCTAGACAAGGTTTGCGATCAGCCGCCACTAAATTATCAACCACCCAAGCTGTCCACCTGCGAGGACATGTCTTGCCTCCTGTGTGCATTATCTGCAAAAAAGTACCTTTGTTCTACAGGTGTCAGAAAAAGACTGTCTCTGATAAGCTGGTTTTAGCAGAAACTAAAGATGGGGGTAAGTTTTTATTATTTGTTCAACCGTTGTGATTTAATATTGTCCCCCCCCCCACCCTCCTTTCCTGGCTAGAAATTGACCAGATTTACGGTGTCGACGTGTCATAAAACAATATTCATTCATTCATTCATTAGCTTTCCTGGCTATGTCACTGCAATAGGGTCAACCTCCCTGTATTGGTCTGTTATCAGTGGGGTTGAGAGATCCAATCACACTCTCGATGACCTCAATGGCAAAGTACAGTATTAGTAGTCTATCTGTTCACGTATGGGTTTTCAGGGTTTCCCTGCTGCGCAGGTTCTCCCAGCACGTGAGAAAATCACATGATTTGTGCAAAATAACCAGAATATGGTGTTGATATGACATAAAACAACATTCATTCATTCGTTCCTCCCACATGTACCAGGTCTGCCAAAAGTTGTCTAGTTCATTGTTAAAAGTAGGCTGCTTCATACAAAGCCTATTATACACATAAAAACTGTTGCATAAAGAATTTTGTGGGGTTTTTTATTTATGCATATGTAACCAGAAAACGAATATGCATTCTACTTCTAGTTGGTTTATGATATCCATGATATTTACAATTTTCCATATCTTTTTAGGGCGACTTAGAGAAGCAGCAATTAAGAAAGAAGATGAAACCATTCTCAGGCACATCAGAGATAAAGACTGTGTTGCTGTTGAAGTTAGGTACCATCTACGATGCTACAAGGATTATGTTCGATTCCTAACAAGAAAACCCACAGTTCAGTCATCAGGGTAAGTTTATTTCATACTTGTAGCAGTTGTTGTGTCCTTGTGGCTTGTTGTTATATCTATTTTATATCATAGGCCTACATAGGCAACTAGTGGGTGGGAAGGGATTTATATAGCCAAGTGGTTACAAAAAAGTCTGTCATCAATGGACTAGAGTTCGAATCCCATTATCAGCGACCTCAATGACAAGGTGTGGGAGTAGCCGATTTACTCTATAACCTAAGTAGTGCTGGTATCTTTGATGACAAGTGAATTGGCACAAAATGACCAGATTGTGGTGTCCAAATGCACTAAAACAAAGTACATCCATTCTAAGAATGTGTGAACATTTTTTACTAGCACTTTTGTACTGTCAAGACTTGTTTGTGTTATGATCAGTTTAAAGTGTATTAAAATATGTTTGTTTTTCTTAATCAACCATTGGCCAATACATGCGATTGATCGTTAAATCTTAAATGGAAATATCACCAAACATGAATTCATGCATCTAGGATAAGATTTCCTTGTACGTGTAGTAACTATGAACTTACATTTTTCAGGTCTTCAGAGGTGTCTGCATATGAGAAAACCTTTGATATATTTTGTGAAGATGTGATTAGAAAAAGAATTATTTTCAACAAAGTAATTCTGCGAATGGCCAAGTTATTAGATATGTTTATTAAGATGGCAAAGGACATTGAACAAGTCGACATTTCAAACTACCGGTAATAATTTGTTATTTCTGTACAATGGTTTTGTCCTTTGGGGGTGGGGGCGATTTAGCCAATTGGTCTGTCATTAATGGGCTCAACGTTTTGAATCCTCTTCTCAGTGACAAGGTGTGGGAGTATGCAGGGGTATTCCGGTTTGGCTTACTGTACTACTAGTATGTAGGCGAATTATCTGCCATTGCAAGTGGATTGGTGCAAAATGACCAGATAGCAGTGTCAACGTGCAATAAAACAACATTCAGTGGATATGATTTATGTGAATTAATTTTTTACTACCTTCGTACTGTAAAGACCCGTTTGTGATCAATTTTTGGGGGGTTTGGTATATTACCTATTTTGTATTCAAAAGGAGGGGTATTGGTCTAAACCCGCTTCTAAACCCCTTTCGTTATTGACCTTTCTTGTCAGGATACTGACACAGTTTCATATGAATTTATAGTAGGCAGATTTGCCATCTCCAAAGCCCCATTTCTTAATGTCTACACATTATCTACTACAAGAGTTTAGTGGGCTGTCATCAATGGCATCAAGGGTTCGGGTCCCATTCTCTGTGATTTCAGTGACAAGGTGTGGGAGTAGCATTTGATCACGCAGGGGAACCCCTGCAACACAAGTACTCTCAGTGCATAAGTAGATCATTGGCGATAACAAGTCACTTAGTGCAAATTGACCTGATTTATGGTGTCGATGTGCCATAAAACAACATTCATTCATTCATTCATTCCATATGCCACATTTATTAACTTTCAAGACATTTTCATACATTATGCACTGAGGTTTTATTACAATTGTATTCGGTTAGTACCTAAATGACGTTATGATTTCTATAAAGTATTATATTAGTCTTTTTATGTTGCAGGGCATTTCACTTGAAGAAAAGGCTACAAAGTAAATTTCCACAACTTGTTTTTTATTCTTCCTCGAAAACAATCAAAATTGAGAGTTCAGAAGTTACATGTAGTACCACAGAGACAGGCACTGATGCAGAGCCTGTGAATGTTAATAGGTATCGAGATCAAAACCAATTGCATACTTTGTACACAGCAGCAATGCATTTGAGACAAGGGCTTGACAAAACAGATGGACTTAAAGGACCATGGCCCCGAACAGTAAAAGATTTATCGGCTGAGGCTGCAAAGGCTTTAATACCAATTCCATTGTTTAACATAGTCGCATGGATTCTTGGGATTTCTGATGAACCAACGCTAGATAATTTTGTGACTGTGAATGAATCATCTAAACTAACATCTATTATTCAAAATTTGATCTACCTATACAGTCACATGGTAAAAAGCAAACACCGAAATCAATTTGCCTTGGTATGACAATACGACATCTGTCCGGATCAAAGATTATTATAGATTTGTTAAATAAGTTTGTTCACTGCTCATCTCATTCTACAATTTTAAGACTTGATACAACTCTTGCTCAGTTACAGCTTGAAAAAGGTAATGTGTACATACCCGATGGATTTCAGAAAAAAACAAACACAGTTCTAATATGGGATAACATTGATTTTTGTGAAGAGACCATATCAGGACATGGAACAACCCACCACACAAATGGCATTGGTATACAGTGTACAACACCAGTACAACAGCCTTCTGAAATTACAGACGGAGTGTCAATGCCTAGAATTCCTGTTCCTTTTAAAAGAGCATCATCTACTCTGGTGTCACATCATCGAAAAAAGAGACAAGGTCCATCTACAATTGAAAAAGATACAGAATGCCTTCAATTAAAAACATATTCTCCTGTGCACCGAATTCAACACCTCAAAGATTTTGCATATTTGATAACCAAATATTATGATGTTGGCAGATCTAGCCTACCAGGCTGGACAGGTTACAACACACTTTTAACCAGTACAGATAATTTATTGAAATCGGAAATAGCTTATCTTCCTGTTATCGAGGCATCACCCACAGAAATGGATACTGTTAATACAATTTTATCTCGTAGTATTGATATGGCAGACAAACTAGAACTGAAAACAATAACAGTGATTTTTGATCTAACAATTTACGCCAAAGCTCAAGAAATTAGATGGACTAATGATTTATACACTGAAAGACTTATTATTCGTTTGGGTGAATTCCACACATGTATGTCTTTCCTTTCCATTATTGGTAAACGATTTCGAGATGCAGGACTATTGGATGTGTTAGTAGAGGCTGAAGTAGTTGCAAGTGGAAGTATTAATAGTGTACTGGAAGGAAAACAGTACAACCGAGCTATGAATGCACATAGAATGATGTTTGAAGCTCTACATAGGTTAAGATTGAAGGCTTTTACAGATTCTCTGTCTAAAGAAAATTCCACGAAGATCGAACGATTTGTATCGCATATGACTGGTTCTTTTCCATCCCCTTTGTTTGCTGATCTGTATTTTTCAGATGAATTTATTGACATTGTTAATGAATATGAGGAATTTAATAAGCGGCAGTGTGCAGGAAGCAAGACATTTTTACTGTGGAGTACTTACTTGGATATGGTAGAATTACTCAAATGTTTTATTAGAGCAACATGTGAATCCGACTGGAACCTACATATTGCATCTATTAGGTCAATGCTCCCATGGTACTTTGCCTAAGATAAAACCCACTATGCTAGATACTGACCAGTGTATTGGATGGAAATGCTGAATTTACAGAATAGCCACAATGAAGCATTCAATGATTTAACCAAGATGGGGCAGTGGACTGTACAGCGACAAATTAATTATGGATTTTCTGCAATAACCTGTGATCAAACTATAGAACAGACTCTTGACAGTGACTCGAAAACATCAGGTGGAATTACTGGGTTTACTGTCAACAGAAAGGCTGTTCAACGCTGGATTTTGTCTCAAAGTCAGAGGGCTGAAATTCACAATTGTTGCAGGTTATTGGCTGGTATCCATCAGGAAAGTAAAGACAGAAGAGATTTAGGACAAACTCAGAGAAAACAAGGTGAAAATTCATTTGCTAGATTGATTGATTCTATTGAGCAGATGATAAACACATTTTCCCCTGAACTTTCCAGTGAAATGGTTAATATAAATACAGGAGTAATAGCAGATGAAGATGTTAGCTCAGATCTAGTAAATGCACATACTTTGGTGAAAAAGCATTAATGTGTTTCTTTGAAGAACGTCTAAATACAAATACAGTTCTCTTTCATGCTCCCATCAAACAGTTAAAATTGAAAACATTCTCCACTCAATTATAAGTAAAAACAAAAGCAAAGTCTGGTAATGAAATAATCTTGCAAAAAGACCAAAAATTGTTTAAACGATTATTAATTTTGAGCCAGCATAAACATTTAGATTTAAAGGAGGTACTTTCTTACTCTCTTGGTTCAGTATCCTATCCATTAGCTAGCTCAACTGGCTCCCTGGCAAAGACAAATAAATCAGCACTTTTACAAGTTTTGGAGTCCAAATCTGACAGCCTTGTTGTGGAATGTGTTCCAATCAACGGTGCAATGCTTTTTGACGGTATGGCATTGCTGCAATCTCTACCAAAACAACTTCCTGGTACATTTGGTGAAGTCGCAGATTGAGTACTCCTACAGTTATTGAATACAGCTAGATACTATAAATGTACACGCAATGGTAATAACAAAACATCACTTGTTGAATTTCTTTTTTCATTATGGGAAAATGTTGATCCCGTTATATTAGCAGAAATGGATTTATTTGTGGCTCATGGTGAACTCTGTCATAAATTGTGTGTTGTAAATAATGAAATTGTTACTTACTTGTGACCACGAGGAAGCTGACACACGCTTACTATTACATGCTAAACATGCTTCGGATTCATTTTATTCCACAGTACTTATAAAAAGTCCAGACACTGATGTTGCTATTATTATATTGGCACAATTGAAGAAATTACTGCTGATATATATTTCTATACCGGAGTGAAAAATAAAAGTAGAATTTTAAATATGCAACTATTTTATAATAATTTAGGAAGAGGTGTTTGTAATGCTTTAATTGGCCTACATACTTTTTCTGGATGTGATACTACAAGTTGGTTCCATGGTGAGGGCAAGAAAAAGCCTTATGAATTAATCAATTCAAATGTATTCTACTTAAATGTATTTTCAAAACTTGGACATAACTTTGATTTAACAGAAAACATTATCAATGATATCGAAAAGTTTGTCTGTGAGCTCTACGGTTATGATGGATCTGACATAAATGCAGTGAGATATAAGATGTTTTGTATGAACATTTCTTCTGGGCAAACTTTACCACCTACCCGTGATGCTCTTGTATTGCATACAAGAAGGGCTAATTATCAGGCAGCTATACACAAAAGATCAACTTGTCAATTTATTAAAGCGCCTAGTCCAGATAGCCATGGCTGGAAGGATCAGGATAGTGAAATATCTATTGTTTGGATGATGATGGACCCAGCACCATCTTCAATTTTAAATTATGTTCATTGCAAATGTAAAGGAAAATGTGATACAAAACGATGTTCATGTAAATCTGCAAGTATATCTTGCACTGACTTGTGTAGTTGTGGCAGATGATTATTTGTCACCAGATGAAGACGAATAAATATGTAAATGTAAATACTTTTCTATCTGTTAATTTCACTATTTTGTTTGACCTGTTTTCATGCTAACTATATTATTGAACTACTTTTATTTCAAGATCTAAATATATTATTGTTTTAACAGTTTAAAAAATAGAACAAAATATTTTTTTTTATTTCAAAAATAGTTTTGAAATGTTTTAAATTACAATACACAGACATGATTTATATCTATTTTAACCTTTAAAAAAAAATCAAAAAATAAATCACTAGATAATAGGGTTAAGTCCCGGGGTTCCATATATAGGATGTCAGTTTGGGCCGTCACAGGGCCCTCAATCGTCTGTTATGGGCAATTTGGTACTTAGTGAATGTACTCTTTCATTTATAATTGGTTTTGACCTGTACCCCGAATGTATGAGTATAACCAATCGGATTAAAACACAGATCCTATTTCGTTTCGTTTTTTATAGTTCAAAATTTCGTTTTACATGTCTTTACTGCACTAGGATCTGGAAGAGTTGTTCTCATTGACGTGTTCTGGATAATGTGAGAGATTAGCCGTTGAAACAGTCTGTTACGGCGAGCTTTAGGCGTGTTTTGCAAGGAACTTTGGGTAATCCACTAGAAACATCAATGCTGATAGGTTAATCAAATGTCTGACGTCATGGGGTCAAAAGCCTCTCGTATGACCTCTGGCGTGACCTATCGCTACAACCGGTCAGATCTTCATGTAGTGTAGGCCATCGAAAGTATAAAAAAAAATGAAAGAAAATATTGATCTGTACATGTATTTTAATCAGATTGGAGTATACCCCCCCCCTCTCATGTTTGGGATGTCAGTTTCTAGGAGACTATTCGTCTGTTATGGACAGGGGGTGGATGGCTGGATGGTTAGCGTGTGCGCGCTGTATCATAAAGTCTGTCATTGAGTCAACTGGCGTGGTTTCGATTCCCCGGTTGTACGTGACAAGGAGTACCCAGACAGCCACTCAGCTTTGGCCCAAGTATGGCCCACCTCCAACTGGCCAAATGCCTCAAAATAGCAACACAATAAATTTCGGCTCAGAACATGTCATCTAGTTTCCAGTAGAATTTTCCCTTGTTCTATATTAGTTTTATTACAAATAAATATTAAAGTCTTAAAATAATATTTTTTTAATGTACCGGTACTGTATATAATATAAATGGAATCCTCTCACCCCACCCTCCCCCAAAAGCCAGTAAATATAAATCTTTAAAGCAAAAATAATAAATTATTCTTGAAAGAAGTCAATGAAATAAAGACAAAGTTTATTTGAACACATCCTAAGTGTTGGGTATCATGCTACAAAGTAGTTAGATTTTAATTACTATAGCAGATTCTGTACTCAGATTATACAATTTGTTGAAGCTAGCAGGTCAACCATGTAAATCTTTCAACAAAGCATAATGAACAGCCCATTTACTATATTGAAATCTGTTTGGTCATTGGCTGAATTTAAAATTGTAAAATTCAGTGTAAACAACTTAATAGAATTTAGTACTAACAAGAAACTGAAGACATTGCAGTGGTACAAAACTGTGCATTATTTTCACAGAACTTAGTTAAAGATAAAAAGATAAGTACATTTTATTACTTTCTCTACAATAATATTAAATTAGATAGATTTATGTGATTTCATTATAAATAACGTCATTTAACTATTCTTTTGCCTTGGCAAATAATAATTATTTGACTTAATATACTTTGGTACATGTACTTGCATTGACAGACCCCTTGGCCATGCTTGATATAAAGAAGGAAAAACATGTTT